GGGCACGACCGTGCTGGGCGCCTTCGACCCGCTGCGCGCCCTCCGCGCCGTCTGCGACGAGTTCCGCATGTGGCTGCACGTCGACGGCTCCTGGGGCGGCGCCGTCTGCTTCTCCGCCCGCCACGCCCACCGCCTCGACGGCTGCGCGCTCGCCGACTCCGTCACCCTCACCCCGCACAAGATGCTCGGCGTGCCCATGACCTGCTCCTTCCTGCTGACCGGCGACCTGCGCGCCTTCCGCGCCGCCAACGCCCTCCGCGCCGGCTACCTCTTCCACGGGCCCGAGAGCCCCGACGACGTCTGGGACCTCGCCGACCTGACAATGCAGTGCGGCCGGCGCGGCGACGCCCTCAAGCTCGCCCTCTCCTGGGTCTACTACGGCGCCCGCGGCTTCGAGCGCGCCGTCGACCACGCCTTCGACATGGCCCTCCGCCTGACCGCCCTCGTCCGCGCCGACCCCTGCTTCGAGCTCGTCTCCCCCGACCCGCCGCCCTGTCTGCAGGTCTGCTTCTACTACGCGCCTGGCCGTCGCGCCGCCGCCGCCGCCGCCCCCGACGAGAACACGGCCCGCACGAGGGCGATGGTGCAGCGGCTGGTGGCTCGCGGCTTCATGGTCGACTTTGCGCCCGGCCCCCGCGGCTCCATGTTCAGAGTCGTCGTCAACTGCCAGACGCTGTGCGGCACCGTCGACGGGCTCTTCGCCGCCTTGCAAGACGTCGGGCGCGAGGTTTGCGGCGCCGACGACACCGAGCTCTCCCCGCGCACCGGGTAGCTGGACTTGCACTTGGGCGTCGTTGCAATCGTCGTCGTCTCGTCTTGTCTCGTCCCGCCTGCTTCCCGAGCGTGCCATCTGCACGCGCTTGCAGACTGCAACGGCTGGTATACATGTATCTATGTATGTACGTGCGTGTAGTATAATACCCATGCAGAGCGGGACATGGCAAAGCCGCCTGTTGCAGTTGAAAGAAATCCCATGTGCCCCGGTACCTGCCTGGCTCGCCAACGCCGAATGATGAGGTTACCTTTACCTCCGCCGCCGCCCCCCCAAAAACACAAACAAACAAACCCAGGAAAGTGCTCAACAATGCCATCCCATGTCGCCATGCTCCAAACGGCACGGCGCGGCACTCAAAACACACGACTGATGCTCGGTCCGACCCAGTGCGCCTGCTCGCAGTGCCTCTTACTCCTCCAGCTTTCGATGCGGTCCTGGACCCATCCACTCCGGTACTCTACCCACTTTCCTCGAGGCTTGCCGTCGACTTCATCGTCGGGTATTGCCTCGCTGCCCCCGCCGTCTAGCAGGTACTCGGGGTTCCGAGCCGCTCCGTACCTCACTGACTTCATCGCAATGCACCTCTTCTCGTCGCCTCCTCGCCAGTTCCACTGGAGACAGTCCCCGTGACCGTGACAGTATTGCTCGCAGGTTTCGGGGCTGTTGATGGATGCCTCGGCGGGCGGCGCCCAGCCGTCCCAGTCTCCGTTGTCCCAGTTCTTGAGAGTCCCATGCCCGCCGGGGAGCCGTAGATGCCACAGGTCAGAGTACAGCATGGGGCGCTGTCGGCGTGTGTTAGCTAGGAGGCCGAGGGCGAGGGGCGGGGGTGTGGTGACCACGCAGTCCGTGCCACTTACATGCAGCTGTCGTTTCCCAAACTCCCAGTGCCACAAGTCGACCATGTCTTTGGGCTGCGTCTTGTGCAGCGTCAAGGCCGGCTGGCACCAGTGCAAATCACCAAAGGGAATGTTGTGGAGGGGGTGAGGGTTGAACATGGGCCAGTACCCTTGCAGCTGGACGGTGCTGTTCCAGAGAGCCCATCCAAGCACGCTGTCGCCGCAGCAGTCTTCGGCCACGAGGTGCTGCCACTTCTCCGTGACGTGAGGCTCGACGTAGTGGCCATTGGCGTCTGTCTCGCGGTGCAACAGCGCCTTGATTGCGGCCCTGCTCAAAACCACGCCAGGTCCGCCATTAGCGAACCACGTGTCGGCGTCTCGGTCGGCGTCGTGGCGGCCGGGAGATGGCGAGCCCATGTAGATGGGCGTGTCGGGATCGAAGGCTTGGAGAAATCGAAAGACGTTGTCCCAGAAGACGTACGTGTCCGCCTCGTAGAAGAAGTAGAAGGCCTTGCCGGGCTTGGCCAGCCAGGCGCGTTCGACCATGGGGAGGAACTTGTACTTGTCGAGAATCCAGCCGTTGATTGGCGTCTGCGTCTTGTCCTTGAGGGTGCCGTTCTTTTGCATTTCCCGTTGCTCCATGTAGTTTCGGAAATCGGGATTCGCAGTCAGGTTGTAGCAGGCGGCGGGTAGATGGGCGAGCACGTCAACGGTTCGGTGGCCATGAACGACCTCGTCCGTGTCCGAGACGACCAACAAGTCGTCCTTGTCGAAGCATGACGACACAGAGCTGAAGCTCGCACGGAGCCTGTCCCCGTCTTCGCTGTGGCCGATCTTCAAGACGGGCTGGACGTGGTTGAGGAGATGGCTGGGGAAAGAGGCGCACAGGTCGGCCCTGCTCGTTCCTTCCGGATCGTCAAAGGCGACGGGAGAGAAGTGACTGGCTGACTCGGCGGCGTAGGCGGCGGGGCCCACGTGCTCCCGATCGAAGGGCAGCAAGCCTCTCTTGCTGGCTTGGTCGTGGCGAGGGAAAGTGAGCAACATGGCAGCGGTCAGGACGAAGGCCAAGACGCCAATGACTGTGCGCACGACTCGCCTGGTAAGCATCAAGCTCATGCGCCGTGCTTCAAACAGCCCGCTGAGCATCGTCATGATGTGATTGTGCCTTGTCAGCACGGCATCGCAAACGCAGTCGGCGCCCACCACTCACGGTCAGTAGCGGCGAGGCGGGTGCGTGATGAAAGAAAGTTGAGAGATGCGGGTGGCGCCGGGCTGCCATGGTATGGCCCATTGGCCAGCACGCGTCAGTGTCACACGAAAAAATGAGCGTGGTCCATGCCACACCTTTTTGTGTGGTAGACCACCTCGTCAGCTAACGTTATATGCGACAGGATGGCAACTCCACAAACGTTTCGACATGCGGATACGGGGTTGATTGTGGGGGGAGGGTGGGGTCCTCGGAAAATTTAAGCTCTTTCGCGCCAATAAATCCAATAAATCGTCTCGGACTATTTTTCCGCCTTCAACGCTCGGGGCTAGCAAAACGGGGCTTCGTGCGCGCGATTGACGCAATCGGCAAGCGGTGAGGGTCGGCATGCGCAGAGCCGTCATTTCTCGAACGAATGGTCAGGTCACGACCGAGTATGCCAACTTGGTGCCGATTCGTTCCTCAAGACGATGCAATTGCCAAAGGCAAAGTCAAGCAATCCGTCACACTCGCAGGCGGCGTTGAGTCAATAAACGTCATCCCGGACGAGCCCCGCGGCGCCGTCGCCTTCGCCGCCCAGCCCGTTTTGCATGACGCGGTCCGCTCCAGGGCCGCCGACGAGACGACCGGCGAGGGCATACAGGGCGAGCCTCAGCTGTTTCGCAAAGATCTGTGGTTCCGGGGGCACCGCCGGCTCGCCGTACTGCCCTCGGTCAACCTGTAGTACTCGGTCGAGAAGGGCAGCATGATCAAACAGTCCGATGGCTTCACGGGAGACACCGTGTCAGGGCAAGATGCGTCCGGGGACAGCATCTACGTACTAGCAGCTCGATCTGCCGGACAAGGTCAAATGCATGCCGACCCGGGACGGGCAGTATTGACAGTTGTGGAACGAGACTCTGAAGCCGTGACTTTCCACCGGGCCGGCCGCTGTGCACATTATAGAGCTGGTGGCTCCGGGCTAATCGGCGGTTTTCTCGTTTGCGTCACTAGTTCCCGGTTGGGTCATGGTGCTCATCTCTCGCTGTAGATGGCAACTGGCCAAGTGGATGTATAACAGTCATCGAGTCAACGCACACTGTCATTGATACATGCTAGTTTTAGAGTGCATGGCGTATTTGCTGTTGGATGATTTCAACGGCGCCGTTCCGACGGCTCAAGGGGCCCAACGATGTCCTCTCCTGCGGGTTGTCCAACATATGGATCGACAGCACTTGGGTCGGGGGAAGAAATGGGCACTCATCATGATATGCGGCCGGTAGAGACTCCGTGGTCAATAGCGCTCGTCATTGGCCGAATCGAGACACCCAAACATCCATGGTCCTGACCTCTTCACCGTTCAGCAGCTCAACCGCGCCAACGACGGCCTCTCTGGCCGAGAGAAGCGTGGTCCTGAGCGTCGCGTCCGTCACGAGCTGGTCAATTTCGTCGAGGAACCACTTGCTCTTCACCGTCCCGACTTCCCACGACCCGTCGAGAAGGGCGGCATCGGGGACGACGACGTCTTCATTCTCCAGAGCCCAGCCACTCCGCGCGGCGGCGGCCTTGATGCTCACGGGACCCAAGAGACAGCGAATGTTGGCTTCGCTCGCCCGGTTATGGGCCTCGAGCGTAGCGCGTGCAATGGCAGCCATGACATGGGGCACAGCAGCCCTCTCCCTGGCTGTGAGGGCATACTCTGCCACCAACAGCTTGGCGGCACGACCCTTGAGCGCCGCCAGCATCCTGTTCAACGTGTCTGGCGCGTCAAAGTACCAGACGCAGTGAGCCAAGACGGCAAAGTCCCACCTCTTGTCGGGATGGCCAGCGAGGAACTCGACGGGTTCTGCGTGATGCCAGGTGATTCGGTCCCCTACCGGACCGGCCGACAGGTGAGCCTGCGACTTGGCAAGGGTGAAGGGCGCGCCGTAGTCGGGACGACCTGGATCCATGGCATCGACGTGGCCACGGGGGCCGACTGCCTCGGCGAGGACGGCGGTGCAGGTGCCCTGTCCGCAGCCAATTTCGAGGACTCTGCCGCCCTGTGGTACCTGCCATGAGTTGACCAGCCTGATACGGTGTTGCGCCTGGCCGATTTCGACGGAGATGTGTTTGGGGTCGTCGAGGATGGCGTAGGAGGCGATCTTGCGAGCGGCTTCGGCCGCGAGGGGTGCAAATGGCGACATTGCGGGTTGGAATAGGAACTCGGCGGTCCGCCCATGCGGTTCAGGCAAGGCGAGGTTGACGCGCCGACACGGCTACTCCGTACACTTATGTTTACTCTCGGCTCTTACCCTCGACTAGCATGTCGATCAGTCACCAGTGGTCACTGATGAGTCCATTCAACTCCGGTGGAGCTGACTCAGCAGTCAGCGCAACGGCATCTGGCAACAAATACGCTCCTTACCCCATGACTCCCATCCCAAACGGTGATGCAATCGAAAAAAAAAAGACAAAAAGAACCAAAAGCAAAGGGGGGGGGGGGGGAGAGGTTCCAGAGACACCTAACCCTTGGCCCCTTTCACGGCCATTCGAAACTGGCCGATTGACTACCCTGCACCAAATGCCAGCTTCTTCGTCTCCTTCATCACCAACCGCGCGCCGTGCTTTGGTGTTCTCGTCCGTGGCGCGAATTCTCCTGTAGACGTGCGCCTGTAGCTGTCGGTCCCATTTGTTCGCTCGCCGCTTGCCGCGAGAGACCGCGTCCCACCTGGGTTTTTGACATGTCCATGCGCGTTTGTGATGAACGGGATACTACGAGGGCTGCAGAGAAAATCCTTGAGCATTCTCAAGCTACGAATTACGCTTGCCATGTCCTGTCCATCCTTGGCTTTGACGCCGTCACGTCACTCCGTCTTCCCTCGCAGCAAGGCCAATGCTGGGCCCGCGGGCGGACGAGCAACCGATTCTTTACATGTAAGTGGCACCATGTGTTACGACTACGATATGACACGTCTAGAGTGACTTTGGTGCCATCTCACGTACGACGACAGAGCTCCCGCCATCTCAAGCAGATATGAAATAGCCGCCGTACCGGATTGCCAAGAACAAAGCACTTGTCACGCACAAGTTCAAGGCAATATTCGGACCTTTGCGACTTTTGCAGCATTCGTCAACCCCAGAAAATCTCCAATTGCTCGGCGCGAGATGCGGGCGTCGCCCACGGCGCGATATCCAGTTCCGCAGCCTCGTAGTATGACGGGAGTCGTGCAGTGGGAAAGGAGACAAATCTTGTCTGCTCTGCGGGCCTGCGGGTGAGCCCATCCGAGGTGTCCCTTCTCCGTCATGAGGAGCCGCATGCAGGACTGGATGGTGTTTAGAAAACAATGTGCTTCCCGAGGGGGGAGTCTTTTCAGCGGCGGGCGCGGTCCATGTCCTCGTCCACCACTCGATAGTCCGCCCGTACACGACAAACGACCGATTCTCCGCCAGCCAGGTACACACGGACTGGTACGGAGTCGGCGATATCGCAACCGGCAGCAGCTCTTGCAGCTGCTCTGCAGACTTGACGTCCCAAAGACGGCACACGTTGCCGCCGGGAGCCGTCGACGACGACGCGCCCGTGGCCCCGTAGAGCAACTCGGTCGAAAGCAGGGGCCGGGATATCACAAGAGATGTTTCATCGTCCGACCCATGCGGCGTTACCAGCCGGTGCGGCAGGGCCACGGTGTGGGCGGAGGCGTCCTCGCCGGGCATGGAAAAGGCACTGCCCAGGCCGTCCACGGCGTTAAAGAAGGCACCCTCGGCGTTTAGCTCGAGGCCGGAGATGGAAATGTCCGGACGCAGACTCCCCCCGCCGTTGGCAGCCAGGGCATGATCCAGCGGAATTGTCTCTGAGCAACGGCGTCATCGAGGTCCGTCCAGTCGGGAACCCACGACGGCAGCTCTCACTCCGGCGTCCGACGGGCGCTCCGGAGGTAGACGACATCAAGGGGCATGTTGTTCTCCAGCAACGCCGTTGCGAACTCGGCAAAGCAGTCGGTGACGGAGCCCATGTAGCTCGGCTCCGGGACGGACGGCAGGCCGCCGAATGCGAGGCCCAGCAGGGCAAACAGCTTGTCCCGAGGATCCGCTGCCAGAGAAGACGTCGAGCGGTGCAGCGCATCCAACAGGCGGATGGGCGTCTGGGTCAAGGCATCCCTCCGAACTCGGCGCAGCGGCGCAAACCTGGCGACGTTTTTCGTCCGCCAGGCGTCCTCGCGCGTTGACGAAGCTTCCGTCCGGGCAGCAGTCGCAGCTGACGTCGACGGCCTGCCGGGGAATCCTATCCTCCCCGCAGTACAGAGTGACCCGCGAGGCGACGGCCGGCTCCTGGATGATCCAGACGCGGCTCCAGAACGGCCTCTTGAGCAGGCGCCGAAAGACGGGGTGAGTCGAGAGAGGCAGGCATCTCTGTCGAGCCTGGGAGCTCGGCCAGCCCACAGAAGTGAGACAGTTCCTGCGCTCACGTCACTCGACAAGGACATATTGCCGTGCTGCAACGCAAAAAGGAATCATCGACTCTATTCCTTCCCGGCGGCAGGGCAGCCTTCTAGGTGCTTTACTTTGTGCGCCCTCAGGGCCACGGCCATGCTTTCAAGCAACTCACTCACCTTGACAGCCTTGGCCAGCACTCGTCCGCAAAGTACCACCACCATCACCATCATGAAGTGCGGCATCTGCAAAGTCACGGTTCTCCTCCCTGCTTCAGTCGTTCTGCCTTGTCGCAGGTAAAAGCGCAAAATCTCGGGCAGAAACAGGTGTGTCTGGATAAACGTCAGCCTCTCCTCGCCTCCCGAGCAAGACGCTTCTGGGGTCCATGTGTCACATATTCACCCAAGTCACCAGTCAAGCTCGCCCGGCCAAGCTCCAAAGGCGTAATCATAACAACTACACAAGCAAATAAATGCACGAAAAGCCACCCCTTGCCCGGCCCAAGATCAAAACTCCATCCCTCCCGTATCAGCATCCCAAAGCCCAAAATATCCGTCCCATCTTCCCACATCTCGCAGTCCGGCCTCGCAACACTCTAGTCTTCCACGTACTCGTGCCCCCTCGTCGGACTGTTCGACTGGCTACGGCTCTCGATAGTATCAACCATCTGTAGCACCCTGGTGCGAGGCTTCTCGAATCGAATCGCCTCGGCGGTGAAAACCGCGCCAGACGACCTCCTCCCCGAATCGTCGGTCGAGTGGCTGAATCTCGGATCAGCAAAGTCCACGTGCAAAAAGTCGTGGTCCTCGTCCGCCTGAGAATACGGCCTGTAAGCACTCTCTCTCTCTGCCGGTTGCACCGTCGACACGGACGAGTGCCTGTCTGGGTCGACCAGCTCGGCGACCTGTGGCTCGTGCAGCTGGTCCGTCTCGTTGAACCTCGCCCCCTTGTGCGACGCGCCCTCGGCCCCCGTCTGCGATTCGGCGTCGCCGTTGACGACGCGCAAGCGCTCTTTCGGCACCGTGAACACGACCTGCACCAGGCGCTGCTCCACGGCCCGCTCGATGTCCCAGTCGTTTTCGGGCTGCGAACCTCCCCCGGCAACGGAGCTGGCCGCGTCGGGGCCGTCCTCCCAGTCTAGACGGCCTTGCTTCCTTCTAAGAAGCTCGCCGGGAAGACCGACGCGGGGCTCGAAGTCGCCTCCGCATTGCTCCATTTCCGGCTGCGTGGCCGAGTGCTCCGACGACGCTCCCGGCGGCGAGCCGCCCGACTGGGAGAAGACGCGCCCGAGGGACCCGAGCCAGCCTCGCCGCGGTTTTGACTTGGACGGCGACGGCGGCAGGGTCGAATCTTGGTCGTCAAAGGTGCTCGTGCCGGCGGACGGGGCCGGGCGTCCCAGCAAAGCCGGCCCTTCGGCCTGCAGCGGCGCGAAACCAGATTTGGCGGTGTTGTAGCTGCTCGAGGAGGAACTGCTGGGTTTGGGATGATCGGCCCCGGGCAGCATTCCGCCGAGAAAAGTCGCTGATTTCCGATGAGACTGCGAACGTCGCAGACTGTCTGTCGCGCTGCGGTTCGACTCGGACAGGTTGGAGCTGCTTCTGGATTCGTCGTCTCGCAGAGCCGCTGAGCGCGTCGAGCTCTTTTGTGTGGGCGACCTGCGGCCCTGCCGGGAAGAGTTGTATCTGTCCAGCAGCAAATCGGCGGCATCCACGTCGGATACCCAGTCTTGGACGTCTGGATCGTACCGGCGGCGTGCCTCGGGACTCGGCGTGGCCGGCGTAGCCGAGGAGGACCGATTGCTAGGCGGGGACAGGAACGAGGGCGCGGCAGCTGTGGGCGTCACGAACGGATCCGAGTGCTCCTCTGAAGTTGGTGTAAGCGGCTCCGTGGCAAGTTGCGGCGCCTTGGGATATTCGTCCTCCTCGTCCTCCAGGATGGGATGGATGCGGCCAAGGGGCGAGGCGAACGCGCTGAAGCGAGTCTCGGCGGGCGAATAGCCTCCTCTCATGCCCCGACTCATGACGGGTTTCCTCGTGACTGCGCGTCCGTTGCCGTCGTCGTGAGGCGCCCTCGTCCCTCGAAGAGATTCGTAGCCCACGGACGTGTCCGATGCGCCCTGGTGACCAGCGTTGCCGGGCGCATGCCACGGAAACGCATCGTCACGTTCCGTCGTCTCGTCCACATCGTGGGTCAAGTATCTCGCATCCTGCGCCATCATCTGGGCGGTCCCGTCACTCCGCGACGTCTGCCGCCTCTCGTTGAGCCTCCTCCTCCGCATGCGGAGTGCGAGAACAACAAGTGCCAAGATCAGCCCGAGACCCAGGCCGAGACCTAGTCCGAGCCCCAGCTTCCTAGACTGTGCGGGCTCATTCCCGGCCCCGGGGGCATCGCGCGACCCTTTGCCCGCCAGGGTTTCCCCCGGCGTCGGGTTGGTATAAGAGTCCGACCACGACATGGACGTGACGTTGAGGAAACGCGGCGCGCCGCCAGACGAGGCTTGACCTTTGGAGCTCCCGCCAGGAGCAGACGTCTCCCAGCCGCCATACACCATCATCACATTGCCGGGCAGCATCGCGGCTCCGTGGCCGTAGACGCCGTTTCCGCCAGGTTGTTCCCGCGGAACGCTCCACTTCCAAGAACTGTACGCCTGCGAGAGCTGCAGGACGACGAGTTGCGGCTCGGCAGCGTTGCTGACATCGCCAACCCATCCGCCCAGGATGACAATCGATGCTCCGTCTTCGGTCAAGACGGCCGAGTGCCCAGATCGGCCTTCGACGTCACGGTCAGCCCGTCTGGCGAGCTCGTTTCCTGCCGCGGCATCCGGCGCCCCAATGTTGATGTAGGACCACGACTCTTCGGGGAGGTTCCACACGGCAGCCGTGCTCATGTTGATAAAGGCCTCTTGGGTGTGGCCGCCCAACAGCACAAAGCCGGCTTGCTGTGAAAGCTCACCAGAGATGTTTGTCACCGAAGCCGGCAGCTGGGTGAGGGTGAATCCGGCAATGGGCGTCCGCGGACCGGCAGTCGATGCCACGCGGAGGGAGTAGGCCGTATCAGGGGCCCGGTCACTCGGCACCAAGCTCATCATCGACCTCGTGTAATTGGCGCTCGACTGCCACGTTTCGGAGCCGGGGCCGGGAGCGCGGCACATGCCTCCGTAGGTGTAGATGGTGGGCTCGTCCATGGGGGGCGAGAGCCTTGACGAAAACGCCAAGGTGCCTCCGAGGAAGTACGGGCCTCGCGAAGATGGCTGCGGAGGGCCGCTCGAGCTCGTCGTCCGCCTCGACCACGCGCCTCCCCCGTCTCCCGACGACGACTCGCCCGAGAAGCTCCATAGCGAGCCCGCGGCTCCTTGGCACGACCCGGAATACACCACCACCGACCCGTTGCTCGTCCTCGCGGCCGCAAACGCCGTCGTTGCCGGCTGGTCCCTGAGAAAGGGCAGGTCCTTCGTTACCGGCGCGGGTTGCGCACCGGCCGTCACCGTCGTCGAGTAGTTGAAGGCGGAGAACAGCACGTCGCCGTCATCGCTCTGTGAAAAGACGTAGGCCAGGTCGGCGCCGCGGCAAGTCGACTTGTTCATGCACGCGGTTGGCATGAGGATCTGCGTCGGCGCGTAGGGGAACAAATGCGCCGACACAGCGGCCGGTCGTGCGGCCGCCAGACCTAGAGCAAGAAACGAAGCATTCCGTTTCCAGGCACCCGTCGTCTTCGTCCTCGAACCACGGGCCGCAGGTGCAGTTCCGGAGCCCGAGACGTCCTCGACGTCCCGCATCGCCCGCCCAGTCATCCGCCTTTCCCGTCCAAGTACGTCGGTGCTCTGCATATTCTGACGTGGTTCGATTATCTGACCAAGAGTTGTGGTTGACTCAACATCATGGTCGCGGCAGTAGTCTCGAGCGGTCTGGTCCTGTCGAAGCTGCAAAGCGACGGCGCAGCAAGCAGACAGGAGAATCGATTCGACTCGATGCCGAGGGAGCAGCGATGCCGGCGTCGATGCCGATGAATCTGGGCGCCTCCCTCACAAAGCTTTGTTTGCTTGGGCTGTGAAACAGGTGTCTGACACACACGACTACCAGCGGCGGCACGGTGAGTTGCAATCACACCTCGGCGACGTGTTTCCTCCTCGGACAATAGTCACGGGAAAAAAACAAGATCCGGCCAGCTCGCTCGTGCGGGTGTCCCCGATGGAAAAGGCGCACCGCTCTTCACGGTTCAAACAAGGCCGAGGAGCAAGCGACACGGCGCGCACGTTGCGGCCGTTATCACCGTTGGAAGTATGTACAAACAAACAGAAACTATGCTGCGTCTAGACCGTGGGAGGGGAAACGCAAAGTTCGAAAGCGCGAGGAGACAAAGGCAACGGTTGCCAATGGTGTTTGATCAACCCTGCCCCTGCACACACCGTCCCACCAGTCTCATGCAAGGCGAAGCACAGATGAGGGGTCCAGATGGCTCGGGGTCCCTCTGCCCACCAAATATTGCCGACGCAAAAGGCATCCCATCCCGCCAAGTACGGAGTACACGAGTCACTCTTTCAGGTCCAAGTCTAAGACTGAACCACGGACAGTGGTTGCGGTGGGTGTGACGGGCAGAACACGGGTCGCATCTTTTCATCCACGCATGAAACGAAATCTCGCCGCAAACCCCGCCAATGCAGGGCGGAAGAAGGCTCGGATTTCGCCTCAGCAGTGCGCGCGCAATGGGGATGCGCGCTGCCCGGGTGGGTGTTGAGACGGTTTTGTTGTGACGGCCGGTTGCTGCGGAAACCGAGAGACGCAAATCCGGTGGTTGGTCAAGCTCGCGGAGAAAGGGGAGAAAGGCGGGGCTACCGGTTTGGCACGGCCCAGTGTGCTCACGAGGCCACAGCGCCGCGGTATCGCGTGCGGCCAAAGGTCTGTCGAGTAATCGGATCAATTGACGATGAATACATCACGGAGCGCACGAACAAATAAATCCCATTCGGCTGCGGGCCGAGTAAGTGAACGCAATGCAGCCAGCGCGCCCACGCAGCATGACCTGCTCCTTTCCGCATCTGCAAGTCATATTTGCCTGCGCGGGCTGCGGCCATGCGGGAGACCCGATGTCGCGCCTATCTGATCTCATCCACGCATTGCCGTTGAACAGGTTGCATCACATCCTGGACGACACTTGGTGTTTTCTTCTCAAGCAGAAAGAGAGCACACTCGACATTCGCATCCAGACCAGCACTGCATCGCGTGACAGGTGCAGGATTACTCCGTGTGCGCAAAGTTATCCAAAAGTGGCCGCGGTCGCGTCCGAGACTCCACAGAACAAAGAGAGTCCCCGGTGCGACGGACAGTCGACAACTCTCAAGGTTGAGCTCACGACTCTCCAAGAATACGAATAGTCGTGCATGCAACCGACCGCACATTTCGAGAAAAAAAAAAAAAAAAAAAAAAAAAAAAAAAAAAAAAAAACATCCACGGCCCAACGTGCACGCCCACGCCCTGCCCCGTACTGGGAATTACTGCAAGGCTTCATTCAAGTCGCAGCAATCAATATTCCAAGCGCGGCCGTGGGTGACGTAACCCGTTGCCCAAAGGTACCGAGAAGGGGGTCACCACATGCACGTAAACAGTGAACCTGAGGGGGTGACCCACCATCTAATCCTTGGCCTACTCCGCACTTGCCAGGCCTGCGTCGAAAAGTGGAGCCTCGGCCCTCCGAGATCCCTGCGCCCTCATTTGCATGCAAGAGACCTGCCACCCTGTGATCCTGTGCGTCGCCACGACGACCACGTCGCTTCGTTCCGTCCAGTGTCCAAGCTCAAAAAGTTCCGAGGCAACCCAGCTTCCGCAAGGGTACAGAGACAAGGTCGTCGACTTCCGCAGCCTCGGTGTCCCTGCGGAGAACGGAGCATCAGGCTGGTGCTCGGCGCGGTTCCCATCCCCTTGCAACCGTGGGTATAAAACTGCATGGTATAGTATATATATAGTACTGCAAAAAGCTTCTACGATTAATATTTCCACCGCCTCATTACCCCTCCCCCTAAAAAGGGACAAAAAAAAGGATACGTCTCCCCACGGAACTGCAACCAACCACTTCTCATTGTCCCCAAATCTCAAAATAGATCATTCCAACCATCAAGCCACACCAGGGTATCAGTTCAAAACAGCTCACAGCTCAGCTCTAGTAGTAAACCTTTTCCTCATGAATAGGAGGCAATTCTTCCCTATTCGTCAAATCCTCGGACCAAACAACATTGTTCTTCTCGTCCAGGTAAGCGCCCTTGTCGCTGATGGGAATGACACTGCTCGTGAGTGCAATCTCGTGCCTCGAGACACCAAGGGGATCCCGGGGAACCCAGAGTTGAGGAGGCTGGCTGTTCACGCTTGGTGGGAAGTAGGCATTGCGCTCGTTGTCCTCGCCTGCCTGGTCCAGCTGCGCAAAGTTGATGTTTTTCTCCTGGGGCACCATGTGCCGCAGAGTGGCGTAGTCCGCAAACACCCAGGGCTTGAAGAAGCGACTAAACATGTTGCCCTTCTTCTGAACTCCGTAATCGTTTCCTGGCAGAACCTTCTTCGCCGACGACACGCCCGTGGCACCGGTAGTTCCATCAGCTTCAGTGCTCGTCTCCCTGTTGACTTCTTCAGTGTCCAAATCGGTCCCACGAGCCTGGAGATTGGCCTCCTCGGTTTCGAGTGTGCGGGGAAGGCCATACAGAAGAGGGTTGAGACTCCGTGTCATGGTGATGTGGAACAGAATCGTGAAGACCAAGAAAATGGCCATGAGAACGGCAGGACCTGGTGACTTGACCACAGCGAACATGCCAATCATCACAATCTCGCCCAAGTAGATGCCGGTAAAGAGTTGCTTGAGAGCTCGCGGGTAGATCAGCCCCTGAGTGTCGACGGCGGTGTCGGAAACGAAGAGCAGATTGTAACGATAGGCCAGATAGAACATGAAGAGGGCCAAGGTCGACCAAAACAGAATGAGAGGCGCGATGACAGAGAAGACGATACCTAGACAAGTTCTTATCAGCAAGAGCTCCCAGGATTGGCGACTGCCAGGCAACAAATAAACTTACTGATGACTACAATGTTGGTATAGACTGGCAGGAGACTTCCCCAGAGGATGGCGCTCAGAGTAGTCCATTTGGTGTACTTCGCGCGAGGAGTGCCGGCAAGGAACTTGTACAACAACCTGAAGATGAAAAGGCCGACAACCTGGGTCACAACCCCAACAGCAATGGTAAGACCTTGGACGATAAAGTAAGAAATATAAAAGTTGGATGTAGTCGGCAGAGCGCCTCCCAAAATGGAAAAGACTGAGCTAGGATCACCAGCAATCTGCACAATTGCAGTAGATGCGGCGTCGGTGACAGACCGAATAAGGAAGACTTGGAGAACCTGGAAGCAGAAGTACGCGTTCTGGGTGAACAGCTCGGCTTCGGTGTTGGTCTTGGCTCCCGCCAGACGGGACAGCGCACGCATGATTACGGGAACCAACGACATGAGAATAGAGATGGCGACCGCCGGCAACAGGCCCGAAATGACTCCGAGGATTTTCTAAGTCCCAGAATTAGATGTGAATTTTTGTCCAAGTTAGACCTTGATGCAAAAGTTGACGCCACAGCAGGCCAGCTTACCTCGGGGATGTCGTTCAGCCAGCTCAGGCCAGGAAGTTTGGTGAGAGTGGAAACTTGGGAGACGATGCCGACGATACCGACAGGGATCGCCCAGAAGATAATGAGGGCCGCAACAATGGCGTATACAGCATAGCGGCGAATAATGAGTTGCCACCACGGAATGGACAGGTTCTTCCAAATGACGTCGACGGGCTTAACACCAATCGCCTTGGGGCTCATGTGAAGAGCTTGGTGGTGTGTGACGACCTGGAAAGCCGCTTGGGCGTCGGCTTGAGTGTGAAACTCGACGAAAAGTGATCCGATCTTTTTGAAGTTTCCTTCCTGCTTCCATCCAAGCTGAGCTCTGTGGACCTCCGGAATGCTCTTGGCGAGCTCGGAGCGGCACCATTCAATCGTGTCGACCTTCTTGCCGATAAGGCCCAATGGGCCAAGGCGATGCGAGGGTCGCTTCTTTTCGGGCACCCATCTGGAGATGACGTCGGCAGTCTCCGCGTCGTGCTCCGTCTCGTTGTTGTTTCCACCCTTCTTCAATGCCTTGGTTCGAGCAACGTTGACAGCCTTGATCAGCTTGACCTCGGCGCCCTCCAGCTTCATGGCAACCTTGTCGCGTTCTTCAACCTTTTCGTCCAGTTCTTTTGTGTTTCCGGCAATCCAGACGTTTTTGACCGCATTGTTGAACATTTGGCGAATCTTGGCCTCGTTGAGATATTCTTCAGGCACACAGGTGAACAAAACGGTACGAGCCGAGATGCGGTTAGCATAGTGGGGAGTCAGAAGGTAGGCCTGGCGCAAGTTGATGTAGAAGATGCACTCGCGCGTAATCATGTACATGAGAAAGCCGTACACAGCCCACGCAACGAAAACGTGAGCGAAGAAGTAGTTTGGTGACGCGTCTACGTTGACGTTACTGTAGGACAAAATCTCTAGCTGCGACCTGCCTCCCTTACCCGTGGCGTTGACGGGGAAAAGAATGGGCCAAGTGATGCACAGGCTGACGAGGCAGATGATGGCGCAGATTTTGAGGTAGCGGATGAAAAGATAGGCATCGAGAGTTTGGTGGGTAAGCGCGTAGGCATCTGGGATCTTCCAAAATGCGCCGATCCAATTGAACCACCCATGGGGCATTTCCGGACTCCGTTCACTGCATCAGGCTTATCAGCATGTTTGCCGCTCGACACTCGAAGCAAAAAGTTGAGCCGAGACGAGTCGTGTGGTGCGATATGCCATGGGTCGTCAACATGGACGGGCGTGTACTCACGATTTGCCACCTAGATAGGTACGCGGCGCGTAGTATCTGCGTTGGGATCTTCTGAATATCAAGAAGAAGACCAAATAAATGGCCGAAATGATCAGTACAGGGACCAAAGTATCGATCATGCCTGGAGAGCAAATGGGTCAGTTGATTCGACTCGACTCCCTCTCCGAAGGTACTCGGGGGCAGGACTCACCCCAAACAGACTGAGGCTTGTTGGTCGAGTCGGTCTGGCCATTGCCATTTTGCTCGCCAGAGGGCACATTCTTGTTGATCCAGCTAATGAAATTGCCCATGTTGAAGTTGGGGCAGCCGCCAGCTGCTCGTGGGCGCTTTCAGATACCGGTGAATAGTATACTGGTCGACCGCCTGGCCTCGACGAGATGTGGTGTACGATGATGAAGACAGGCCGTCACAGTTGCGGAGGATAACCGAGTTCAGCTCGTTGGCGGGCGACGAGGTGATGAAGAAAGCTGCAACGGCTGTTTCGGCGAGGAGAAGATGGAAGAAGAAAGAGACGAAGAGGAGAACAGGAATGCAGATTCGCTGGCAGGGGCAGACACGCAAACACGTCCTGTCCACTTCGATGTCTGGGATAAACAGCTGCAAGCTCACTAGTGCCAGTCGGAGGATGGAGCGAAAACCCAAATCAGGTCTGCGGTCGACTCATGATGTCGTCTCCTCCCCCCCCCGTGCCGTACGGTGCAAGTTTTTCAGCCGTCCGGCGCGTGGCTACCGCGGGCAGTAGCTACTTGCTAAGCCAAGTGCCTGGCCAAGGAAGCACCTGGCAGCTGGCTGCCTACCAGTCCTCTTTGCAATTGATGCCTTGCCCAAGTGCCCTTCATCCTCCGTCCTCCATCCTCCATCATGCTGTACTCCGTACCTCATTTCTGATAGTACCTAGCTCCCGCCCGCGACGCACCACGACGACGGCAAGCAAGCCCGCTCCGTGCGACGGGCCCGACGAGGCGCATGGCGTGGCCGATCTTCCTACGAGCTAGGCCCACGGGCTGGCCCACGAGCAAGCAACATTGAACTCTCGTAATCTCGACCGCGACACGCATGGACCGAGGCTAAGCCAAAGAAGAGCAAGCTCCTCCAGATGTATACACATTGTACAGTCGTGCGGGCCTCCAATGTTCCAAACAGGTCCAGGATTTTGGTGAGCGCATCGATCCATCTGGTCTGGTCTGGCTCCAACACTGCAAAGTCGAGCACAGGTTGAAAGGCGAAAAGCTGCCGCCAACGGAGCAGCCAGCCAGACAGCGAGCGGCATGGACGAGTACGAGGCACGGAGCCAGTTGCTGCTCCGATGGACTTTTCTTCACTGCTTTTGCACTCTAGTACGAAGCGCTTAGGACACAGCCCGAGCCAACTACTAGTCTGCTTTGTTCATGACGCTTGCAAATCGGTCCTCCGAAGAAGAACAGTACCACCTCGCTAGTTTCAGTTTCAGAGGAAGTTTGGTTTGTCTCTTCCTACCACGGAATACTCCGTACTCAAGCTGCAATTTCACTTGCTGGGGCATACTGGACAGACACTGCACCGGCGCGCTGGTCGACCGCCAACTCGGCCGGCTTCAATCTGCACCCCCTGGTCCAGTACCACGGCGGATGCGTCACATCCCTGTCCAGCTGGGCACAGTGCAATCTCGAACAGGAAGTCGGCCGACCGGGGGCCGTTGTACAGACGCGCCTGTGCCCCGGTCCATGTGCCGGCAGTTTTCTTCAGCAACGTCTTGTACTCCGTGCTGGCGCCCAATCCACGCCGCTCAAGCAAACGGGCTCGCCAAGCTTTGGCTCTGCGCAGGGATGAGAAGCACCATTCATTGCCTACAGGACTCCGTAGCCAGTCAGTCTAGCTATGTGTGGACAAATTCAGGTGTGTCCTCCACATCCATCATTTTATCCATGCTAGTACTAGGGGATGCCATGATGGTTTTAGGCTCGTCTTTCGGTTCGCCGTCCGAAAACACCAAGGCAATATTATCGGCACGGAGCACAAGCATCGCGTCGTGATGTCACCCTCGTCCCCCGCTCCTGCGACTAGCTGTCATTGGCTGCACCCACCTCGGGTAGGTGAGGTAGTACGTACTGTGTGTCGTCGAAAAAGGAAAGAAAGAAGGAAAGAAAAGAGTACTCCGTATTGTTCAGTCGGCCCTGGATCCGTGACACGTAATAAGCCGCATCCAACCATGGCCTTCAGAGGAGGATGACGGCGTGAGGAAGAACAAGATGGTCGCGTCGGAAATAATCGAAGCCATGGAACAGGCGGAGCTCGCTGTCAGACGGTGCCCAGAGCGCATTATTGCAGAGGCAATCAAGTGCCCGTCTCCACCAAGGAAGCGTGGTTGCCAACGAAGCTGCAGTTCAATCCTATCCTGTCACGACCTACCGATCGTTAACAATCCAGGCCATTTGGCAGCAAGATGGGATATCAGGCAATTTCCCGGGAATTGACTAGGAGGCGCCAGAGTTTGAACCACCACGACGGCGTATGACGGGATTGGCTGCAGGAACGGCTGGGACAGTGCATCACCGCAACTCTCGATATGAAGACCCATAGACGGCGCAAACTCAAAAACAGCACGACAGAGTAGTTGCTGGCTTAGTTACCGAGCGGCAAAGGCGTTGATATCATCACGAGGTTAGAGGTCAGAAACGACGTCACAAACGACGTCACAAACGGTGTCAATTCCAGCGCTCGCTGCCAAGCCTTGACACGAGCGTCAAATGATTTCAGCGCAGCCAGCGGCGTCCAGCTGCAGAGCTTGCAGCAATGTCACGCCGGGCCAGCACAGCTGAGAATCGCCCCATCGTCAAGGACAGGGCGTGGTTGTGTGGATTCCACGAGTTGGTGGAGGGCAAATTGTCCTTGTCCCAAAGCCTTCCTTGACGCCAGCCTCCGCACAGTGACGCCACACGAGTCACGGCACTAATATTGATGGTTGTAATAGCATATGGAGTACTGCTGCGAGAATTTTTTTACAAGATAGAAAAAGTTTTAAAAAAAAAATCGACAAACTGGCTCTAGCTAACAGGACGATTGGGCAGACGCGACTTTGTCGTCATGTGACGATTCACATGCATCCCCCGATGGGCCGGGAGTTCTCTCTTCTTCCGCCGAAACGTGAACGATGATGACGACATTTGACGGCGAGCGACCTTCGGAAATCTTGAGCCTGGCATGGGCAAGCTACAGTTGATTCGAGAAGGTGCCCAAGTATCTTCCATATGATGTACCCACCAATAAATGGTTGCTAAAGGATTGAATGAAGCGCGATGCTTTCCGCAACCCGTGCAAATGATGGCATCTAGTCGCGACCTTGCGTCACGTTGCAGGGGAGTACAGGGTAGGCAGGCGGCAAAGATGTCACCTCGCCAAGAGCATACGCCCCATTAGACGCAAAGACACGTCTTTCCCATTGCTTACTCGTCTTCATCGACTCCGTTACAGCCATACAGCCATTGTACGAACCAACTATGCAGACCGATGGCGACCATGGCGATGCCACATCTCACGACGACAATAGGCTCGATGTCCCGGCGGTGGTGCGCGCCATGGATGCAAGATTTTCGAGCCTCCCTTCTTCCCGGATGACTCGCACTCGCCGATACCAGACGCTCAGCTCGCGAGACGAGGCCGAGGAGCGGTCGCTCGCCCACGCTCACCTCCGCAACTGCAACCTCTGCCCGCGCCTCCGCGGTGTGAATCGATACGAGAAGACTGGGCTGTGCCTCATCGGGGACAAGGCCAAGGCGAAGGCGAATGTCACAGCGCCCCATTTTGGAGAAGGTGGCATCTCTGTCCCCGAAAACGCCATGCACCTCGTCTCCCCACACAAGACCAGTTGAGCCAGAACCACTTATCGACCAACTTACTAGTCGTACACATGCCACGCTGCCCTGTCTGGCTTTTTTTTTTATTCAATCGACTCCCAACGTTTGCGCCCGCCGCCGCCCCCCTTCTATTCAGAGCCCTGCATCCAGGGCCACAATGGCAGTGGCGCGGTATTTATGAGCGGCTGCAATCTGCGGCGCGTCTTTTGCCAGGACTTTGACATTTCCCACAGGCGAAATGGCAACGGTACGTCAAGTTGCAAGAGGTTGGAAACGTGCACAACATCAACATTGTCACGCCGGAACACGTTGTCCCGCAGGTGGCGTTGAGCGTCCTCCACGCAAAGCAAATGGGGCTGAGAGTCCCGATTGTATACAAGACCTCTAGCTTCGAACCCACTCGCGTCGTTGGAGCCGATGGATGGGCTGCTCGACATTCATCTGGCCGACTTCAAGGCATGGGAGGCCAGCTCGTCCAGGCGGCTGCTCAAGGCAGATGACTCCGCCACGACGGCAAAGGAAAGCATCAAGGCCATGCACATGCGAGCCCACGTCGGTGACCTGCGCTTCGCCGGAGATGGCATTGCCAACAAGGGCCTGCTGATACGGCGCCTGGTCGTGCCCGGGAAAGAGCGTGAGGGCGTCGAGACAATGAAGTGGTTGGCATCCCAAGTTTCCAAGGATCGTTTCATCAACGTCACGGAGCAGTACCGCCCTGAGGCTCACGTGGGGAAGAAGAGGCGCAAGTCGAGCAACTGCGGCGACGGAGAGGTGCGATGCGGCGACCTGGACCGTGCCGTGACGGGCGGAGAGAGGTCTCTGTGGTCCAACAAGCCGCAAATGAGTCTGGACTTTGGAGATTCGACGAACCGCCCAAGCACGACGGGTTCGCCATCTAGTTAGTGGCCGCTAGCACACCAATAAGAATTGAGCAGGGACTACAATCTTCCCCCCCGTCAGATAGCATCACGGTAACATGAATGGGGCCGTGTTTCATTGCGAGCGAGTCCCACGTAACATGTGGACTGCCGCGAGGAGTCAACCTCCTTTGTGCCACCGCCACATTGCCAGCCCCAAGCGTGGCATGCCGTGAACAATGCAATGCTGTTGAAAGGCTCCAATGCTCCCTGCCACGTAGGTCAGAGACTCGGATGAAGCAGTGGCGCCGACAACATGGACTCTCGGATCTGATAAAGGCCCGAGTCAACCACCCGTTCCTAGTAGTTGGGTCCTTGACCGTGCCTTGGGTTGCGTGCACATGGGATGTGAACAAGGCTACGTGACGTCGGATGCTGCTACATCGGGATTGTCTGACAGGAAGATCTGTGGCTCGGCCCGAGACTTACGAGGAAGCAACTTGGATGTATGCTGACCAAGTTCAACATTGACGCGTCCGACCTTTTCGGCTTTACTCATCTCGGCTCACTCACAACATTGGGCGTACAACAGGGAGCCAGATGGAATCGAGACCATCCCAACATGTTGACCTTCCCACCGCGGCGCCATCTCTCAGCAGCGATAGGCAGGAGGATGAGACCTCAGCACCATCGACAAGTTCCTCGCCAGAGTGCCAGAGCAGCACCTCGCAGTCGGCGCCGTCGAATTCCACCCACGACCAGAGTACACGTCCCCACCACTCGCGCAATATCAACAGAAGAGAAAGCTGCCAATCCCTCGTCCGCAAATCCTTCTCCTGGTCCAAGTCCATATTTCATCCTCGGTCGTACGAAGAGATTTATGCCGAGCAGGCCTATCTGAGCATCACTCTCCAGGCACACACGGCCCACTTTTGCGACCTGATCCAGAGATATTCGCTGACGGAAGTCGAGTCGTTTCAAGGAGAGTCGCGGAAGTGTAAGCGCCGGGCCAGGAGGGAACTCGGCCTTTTGCGTGGTCAGCTGGTCCAAGCAGCCGGACAGGAGCAGGCTATTTTTGCCAGATTGGGGGAATTATTCCTCGAGGCGAGAAGCCGAGAGACGTGGAACGTGGCACACAACCAGCGTCGACAAAGCCTTCCGATTCTCGAGCGCCACACTCACTCTCAGGATAACCAGGACACGCGATTCCCATCACTGTCGATACTCAACGGTGCGTCTCCGGTGTTCGTTCCTCAGAAGGAGCTATTCAGCCCCCGAGAACGAGAATATGACAAGGACGCCATGAGCACCACCGACACAAGCGACAATGAAGAAGGAAAACAGGGCGTGCAAGGTTCCGGAAACAGCCTGTGCGAGCTGAAGATGGACCCGGTGCTCGAGCCCGACGACGCGGAACCCGACGAGCAGAGACCGGCGTTGCGCAGAATGTCAGGAGACGACTGCGCTTCAACACTCAAGAGGGACAGGAGACTCAGCTTGCCCACTAAACTGGAATCGACGTGAGAAGCCTGAAGGAACGAACAGACAGAAGTCGAACGCAATATCAAAAGGTTAAATCGAAGGAGATAATGGCATAGCTTTCACGGCGTCGCCGGCGCCATCACGTAGCAGCCTCTGTAGCCGTTTGGCGCGGACCAATACGGCGACATACCCCCCTGCGGAAAACATGTCCTCCGGCATCAGACGCCGTATGACGCCTTTACTGCATCCAGTTCATGTGACGTAGATTGCCAACTCGTTACGCAAACTCGCCGAATTTGCCGTCGTCAAACCCCAAATCTCTCAACGACTGCCTCTTCCTCTTGACGTCCTGGGCGCTCGGCGGCGGCGGCAAAGAAAACCCTCCTCCCGGTTGCTGAGAGCCGTCCAGGGCGGAGGCGGTGCTTGGCGGAGGCGGCAGCGCAAAGGACTGCAACGCGGCCGGATCCGAGGTGCCTGGCGACTCGTGTAGCCTCCTCCTCGTTGCCGACTTGCTCCCAAAATTGACGGTGATGGTCTGGCCCTCCTTCAGCCGGTAATCCTTCTCTTCCTGCCTCGCCTCGCTCTTCCTGGCGCCAGCGTCTTCCAGGCCCAGCCCCCTCCGCGCCGTTTGCAGAACAATGCACAGCTCGGACGCCTCCGACCTGTCTTCGAACCCGATGCCAATGACGGCCTTGCGCCCCTGAGGATCGCGGACTGTCAGCGCAAAATAACGGGCGCTGTCAACGACGGGCTCTACGACAGAGCCGTGGGTATAGGGCGCGGCGGCGAACACTTCTCCGGTGGAGGGGTCCTCGAGCACCAAGTCAACCCTGAGCATGGACTGGCCCTGGCCGCCGTCGGTTGCGGGCGACTCAAAGGAGGTTTCGACGACGCGCAGGTTCGCTTTGAAGATGTCTCGCGAGGGATCAGCGGTCCATGAGGCTGCGGCGTGGCCGGCCATGGAGGCCAGCGGAGGGATCCGGTAGACATGGACGTTGCGGCAGGTGAAGAGGATGCGCTGGATGGCATCTTCGGGGAGCGGCTGGCGGGTGACGGGGTCGGTGAGGTCCATGTTGGAGGGCGCAGAATGTGGTCTGGTTCGGTCGTGTGTATGACTACTTGACGAGGCGACTTGTTGAGTGTAGATGCGTGCTCAAATGGCAAAGGTGTGGACGACGATGTCGGATAGTCGAGAGGGGTTAGGAAACGACGTGCTGCGTCAAGGCAGATGGATTTTGAAGAAGAAGGAGGGACTTGTAACGGTTGCTGACATGAAACTTGAGCGCGAGCCAGGAGGAACTGCGATTGTACGTGTTTGGCGGCTTTGTGAGCTCCAAGGGAACAAAAACTGTGGGCGGTCCTGCGAGAAGACTGAAGATGGAGTATTAAAGCTGATGGATGGACACCTTGGAGCTTGAAGCTCCTTGTCGGGCGCAGCCTGGGGCCTGGGGCCTGGGGCCCGTGGTCGGGCTGGACGCAGGCAACGTGATGCATAAAAATCCCATACAACTACATGTTTTATGCAATTTCTTAGTGCTGGTGTGCGCCGACGATCTAAAGTCAAAGTACCCAGGCTCAGGTACCCAGGCACGTACTTGAGTACAAGTACGGAGTAGTAAGTAAGTACTTGAGTACCCAGGCACTGCCAGCGCCAACCAGCGGTGCCATCACTGCCGTACCACAGCTCCGGCCCCTCCAACCTCCGAGGCAGGCACGACAAGGCCTTTCTTTTGCTGCCTCGACTCACCGTCATCGCGGGTCTAATAAATTTCAGTCCACACGCCGCCGCGCATCGCGTCGAGAACTCGACCTCGCAATCCAAACGACCATGACCTCCCCAGACTCGGCTGCCGGTACGTCTCATGACCCGAACCACAGCCACAGCCACAACGCGCCGAGCAGAAAAACCATTAACGCGAAATGCCAGCCGTCGAGCACGCAGCCTCGGCAGATCTTCCCACACGCAGACCATCCACATCGTCCAACTTCGAGTCCGTCACCGCCACCTCACCACCTCACCACCTCCCCCCGCAGCGCAGTGCACCCAATGCTGACCCCAACCAGCATCGTCTCGACATACCACAAGCTCCTCGCGTCCGATCCCGACCTCACGAAGCCCGTCGCCGCCATCGAGTCACTCATTGCGCTGCTCAACACCGTCCCCTCCACAACAGTGTACGAGACCCTCGACACAGTCAAAGCCCACTCCGACCGCCTCAAGGCCTCGGTCGAGAACCCCGTGCCTCTGACCGCCGGCACAGACCTCTTCCTGCAGTACCTCGTCTCCTCGCTTAAGCAGCAGGACGGCAGCTTCGACGCCCTGAGGCAACACCTCCTCCGCAACGGCCGCCTGTTCGCCCAGAGAGCAATCGACGCCCGCAACGGCGTCGCCGAAGCAGGCTGGCGCTTCGTCAAGGAGGGGAAATGCGTCCTGACGCACGGCGCCTCGAGGTCCGTCACGGGCCTGCTCGCCCGGGCCGCCAGGAGCCTCAACGGAAAGTTCAAGGTCGTCTACGTCAGGGACAAGACCCGCGTCGACGAGAGCGACGCCGTCGTCAGGGACCTGCGCCGGCTGGGGATCCCGGTGGCGGAGATCCCCGAGGCCGCCGTCGCCCACGTCATGGGCCTCCTGCGCCAGGTTCACATGGTCATTGTCGGCGCGGAAGCAGTGACTCAGAACGGCGGCATCATTTCCAGAATCGGCACCTACCAGATCGCGCAGCTGGCCTCCAGGGCCAGGATCCCCTTCCTCGTCGCCGCCGAGACGCACAAGTTTGTGCGCAAGTTCCCCCTCGACCAGCGCGACCTCGGCTTCGCGCAGCGCGTGCTTGATTTCACCACCGGCGCCGCGAGCAGCCTGCCCGACAACGCGGTCGACTACACGGTGAGTTGTATACGACGCCTTGGACGAGGCCGACGAGTGACGGTGCTGATACGCTGACCGCCAGCCCCCAAACTTGATTGCCAACCTCATCACCGAAAACGGCGTCCACCTTCCCAGCTACGTCTTCGAGCAGCTTCTCAGCATCTACGGTAGTCTTAATGGGTGAATCGAGCTCGAGGGGCCACTCGCAGCGTCACGTCTCCACGGACGGACGCATGGGCTGATGAATGGTTGTCTCGGTAGCCCGCGCTTCAAATGGCATGGAGAACGATGGGGTCTCGATGATGTTTTCGTCGCATAGGATAGAAGGTGGCATACCACACAAAATGGTGCGGCGTGGCCACGCCCGTTTTTACTGTAAAAACGGCTGATACCATAAATCGTAGTCTTAGGACGCGCTTATCAATTTCATGCTCAGCAGCAACCCACGCACGTCATTTTTAGACACGAAAAATAAGTTAATCAAGCAAGCATGAATGACAAGTCTTTAACGGGCCGGTAAATGAGTGTATCCTCGTCGGGAAATAAGAGCTCCCCTTAGCAAGGGCTGTCTGTGCCACAATTTGTAAGTCCCATGACATGTCCAATTTGGTGCCCTGATAAAAAAAAAGATCATAGCGTCGTCCATATCCAAACGTATTTGCTCTTCTTCTCTGTCGTGTGCCTCACAAATTCAATCACGTCATATTCGCTTACTCGACGTGTCGCACCACCCGCGCCCCAACCCAGGCATAAGGATAGTTCCTCTGATACCAGTTCACAAAGCTCTTGCGGCCCGCGATCCTGGGGTGGGTGGCCCATGAACCGCCCAGCACAATGTTGTGCTTGTCATCGAAAAAGTCCGCCGTGTAAAGCGGGTACAGCGCCATCGGCTCGAAGCCCTCGTGTCTTCGCAGCGGAGACGAAGTCCATTCCCAGACGCCCCCCATGCCGGACTGCCCAGCCAAGGTGTTGCCTTGGGAAGTCACAGGCACCGGGTGCCAGTGTTTGAAGCCGACGTTTGTGCCGGCCAGGTCGACAAATAGCGAGGTGCTATTGTCGACCGCGGAGGGGCATGACGATGGTGGTGTTTCTTCCACACCGTCGTTGGAGAGATGTCTGTTTGGTTCCCGAAAAAAACAAAAGATTCCCCCCTCAGTGTTAGAAAATAATTCACTGTAATGGGTCATTCACCGTCAACGGTTGTGCTTACCCGTTCACTGCGGGAACCTTTCTGGAAAGTCGCCCGCCCATCAGCAACTCCCGCTGACTCTCGACAAAGGCGTAAATGCTGCGTGCTTCCTCGAATGTCGGGATCCGGCCGCCCATCCAGGACGCACAGCCGGCAAGTTCGTCGTAGGACGCGACGACGGGCCAGTCGAGTGCGTACTTGAGCGGCACGGGGCCGTACACGGTGCGGACGGACTTGTCGCGCAGGAAGGACTCTGGTAGGGTCGTGGGGATGAATTTGTAGCCATTTGTCCCGTTTGTCCCGTTTTTTCCATTCGTGCCGTTAGATTTATGGGCGGTGCCGTTGGTAAGGCTGTTGGAGGACCAGGCCGCGGGGAGTTTGGATGTGTTTGTCGTGTACAAGTATTGCGCGTACTTGATTCATATTGCGTTAGAGACTTCACGTCATGACGGTTGAGGTGAGTCAACGTACTTCTTCGTTTGTGATGGGTCTGCCTCGGGCTTGAAAAGCGCGAACTTGGACCTTTCGCTCTGGTTTCTCGTTGTCCCTGGTATGTTTCAACATTGGAAGAAACAAAGAGGCGGCTCTAGATAACGAAAAAATCACTCACCATCCGAAATGAACATTCTCTGTGCCGCTTTCGGGATCATTCATGCCTAGGGTCACACTCTGGGCGGGCACGTCGAACCACTCGTTCCCTACCCTCGCCTCATGGGCCTTTCTGGCCATTCTCTTAAAATCGGGCGTTCCCGTATGAGGCGGCGGCAGTGTCCTGTCGCTCTGCAGCATCATGTAGAGCAGTGTCTCGATGTGCATGAGCTCGTGCTCGAATCCGACCCAAATGGCTCGTGCCACGGGGCGAGGGAGCTTCTCAACCCCTTCCTCGTACAACTTGCTTAGACGAGCACGCACTCTCCCTTGGTAGTCTGTGATCTCCTCTACTGGCGGCCATTCCTCCGGAATCTCTGAGTGAGCATGACAATGCTCAGGGTTGTCCACATCCGGGTCTATTCCACGCTCGAAAATGGTAGCGTAATATGCCGGATCTGTAGGGGGGAGTTGCGTCGTCTTTGTGAGCTGTATGTCGAGAAATGCAGGGATATGACCCAAGTAGAAAATGCATGCGTTGCGCAGCTTGATGGGCTTCTCGGTGAGTTCCTGCTTGGGCAGCATTTGCTTCGTGACAATATCCCACGTCGACCAGACGGCTTGCCAGTCCTTCAGGGTGGGAAGCGTCTGGGCAGCGTAGAGCGAGGGGGTTTTACTGAAAGGAATCTGGGCCTTTTGAAGCATATGAAGGCCTTGGGGATGGTTAGTCGCGGGTGGTTCTGCGGCATCATGGGTGGGTGATGGTTGGACGAGGTGGATGAGGCTGGGTACCGTATTCATCTCCGCGGGTCCACGTTCCGATTTCACGGAGACCAGCGTATTTCCACAGGTTTTCAGCACCAATTTTGGAGTACTTGAGACTCTGCTCAATCTGAACACGTTCGTGGGGCTTGATTACTGATCCAAGGATGTTGACATCCTGGAGAGGAGACAGGAAGGCCTGGTGGCGGCCGCCCTCCTCATCGTAGACGTATTCTCCGACGACCTTCCAGTCTGGCAGGTGAAACACTTCTTTACCGTATATGCGGTTGGCATTTATGAGTCCATTGAGGATGAATCTTTGTTAAAAACTCAGTCAGCGCGGCGCGATATTTCAAGGACCAAGTTTGGCTTACTCATGAGTTACGCCTTTGGTGTCTGGAGATGAATGGTCAGTAGCCAAACGAAGCTGATGACACGATATATTTCTTACCATTATAAGCGTGGCTAGACCAGTTAGATTGTTATCTCTTTACCATTACTTGCTTCTTGATCAGCACTCACTAAATCTTGTCAGGGTTCCCGCAAGAGTCCAGGCCAACGACCATGCTGTCTTGGGGCTTCAAGATATCCGCATACGACTGCAAAAACTCAGCAGCTTCATCTCTGTGAAAATTTCCTGTCCAAGGAACGTAAGCCTTGAACCGCAAGAAATTTAACCGCTAAAACAGGTTCTCTGGAACCAAGAAAAATTACGACGCACACTAAAACGAGAAATGACTTACCAATGCTGGATCCCAGATGCAGGATGCACTTTGGCCTGTCCACTATAGAAGGCTGCTTCAACCAGACTGTGCCATCGTCATATGTCCCCAGTAAGCCGTGGCAGCGAACGTACTTGAAGTCAGGAACGTGTGATAGCGTACGCCCCAGCTCCTTCTTGGAGAGGTCCAGAGCGTAGTAGTCGATGGATTTGCGGGCATCTTCGAACGCCTGCAGGAGGAGACAGACCTTGCGGAGATTGCTGTATTGCATTAGTATCCCCATCCGTCCGCAAAACCTGCCCAGACGCTCAAATCGAGGAGCCAGAATCACAAAAGGAGGGGGGCAGGCAACATCTTCGAAGCGTGGACGTACCCGCTCCCCAACTCAATCACCATGGCTCCATCGGGAATCTTGGCCGCAAGCTCGACCGAATGCGTCTTCAGCAGCTCGATCTCGTAGTTTGTCAAGTAGTACTCGTCCAGATACGTGATCTGGCGGAAGATATAAGTTTGGGAGAAGCAGCTCGGGAGGAGAGGGGGCGGAAGAAGAGGGGGGATAGAGTCAAACAGATGATTCAGGATCTGTGTGACAAATGTACAAGAGTCTCGATGTGCTTTCAGGGCCTGGGAGCCATCACACGTACATCCTCAAATAACTGCAGCCCCCTCTCATCATACAACAACAGCGTCGGGAGTTTGCGGGCGCCTCCATCCTTGGGGTTGATCATGCGAGCAACTTCATCTTTGAGATTGAAATCGTCCCTGTTGCTACGGATGTCGATGATGTCAAGGTCGCTCTTGTTCTTTGAGGCAGGTTTGCTCGGCGGCCGCTTGATGGGGAATGACGCCGTGATGGTCGGGACGCACTGCATGACGGCGGGCATTTTGACGAAACGGCGGCGCGGTCAAGGGCAGCGAGTTGGGTGGGCAGAGACGAGCCAAGTCAAGACTCGAGTTTTGATTTCTTTCTCTACAGAACGGGGGGAAGGGGGAAAGGGGGAAAGGGAGGGGGACAGCGAAGGATTCAAATATGATGCCACCAGGAACACGATCAAGTGTAAAGCGTTGCAACGCTTGTCACGGTTTCTCAACTTGGGGCAACGCGGGCGGAAGGAGTCAGTCGAGTCGACCCTGCTCAACCAGTCGGTGTACCGGACGGTGTACAAGACGCGACATGGAAAGCTACAGCCGCCCATGTACTTGCATCACACCAACTGGCCATGGCGCCCAAATACGTACTGCTTAAGTGGGTAAGGAAGCACAGGTACAATTTGCCCGGAGCTTCCAGAGCCAATGAGACAAATCGGACGGTCTTTAGCTTCCATGGGGCGGTACATCAAGACCTTGGTCGACCTTGTACCTGCGCAAGTACCCAGCTACTTTGTACGGACCTCGACCTCGAGTCAGGTGGAGGATGCGAGATGCGACTTGACATGATGCGTGCGAGATGCGAGATGCTCACACGTCGATGCTCTGCCAGCCCAGCCAGCTTCACCCAGGGACGCGGAACCTCAACCGATGCGTCTTCTTCTGCGCCGCCCCCGAGGTTCCGGCCGGCCCCAATCTTGAACATTGAGCCTTTCCTTGCCGGGGCCTGCATCTGAACGCAAACGACGCAGCCATATGCAAGTCACGGTTGCAGAGGCTTGCGCGTCGAAGCCCTGTACTCCAGACTGCAGACGGCCGGTCGACATTGTTCCATTTGATACGTCATCGTGTTGGGTCCGGCGGGACAAGGCTCACCACGAGCTTCAGAAGCGGGAAGCAAAACACCACGTCAAGCAGAAGTCACGACTCAGTCAGACCCGTCATGGAGCTTCTGATCAACAGCTCCAGCCGCCAGGCTGGCAGGTCTGTCGAACCATTGGCTTGAACCGGCCCAGATTCATGCATGAGATGAGACGAGCGCAGACCCGGACTATACGCATTCTAATCCCAATCCAACGGCCCCAAGCCCCACTGGCGGAATCGTTCGGAAGGGCGTTGATATTCGGTCGTCGGTCCTGCGTGAATTCGAATCCCGCATGTCTCATGTCTTGCAGGACAATTGCCGGCCCCCAGCCACGACACGACGGGGGTTCGTGATTCCAGAAAGCATGTCATCGTTACGGAGTACGTGGTACGAGACTGGTGCTCCGTACGCAGGGAGGGTCAGACATCAAGACTCTCACTTCTCACTGATGGAGGTGTGGGTTGGCCGAGTTCCATGACGACGGGTCGCCTTGGTCAGCAACACGGAATTCGTATTCGTCAACCAAGTCCCAGCACCGAGTATACACGTGGGCCGTGGATAAGCGCCCAACGTCGGATCATCTCCCGTTGTGAAATTTTTGTGCCGCGACTCTCTGCATCCACGGCGGGATCCGCGAGATAACCGCCTCGGGGTCATGTCGTCGTGCGGACAACGCATCGCATTATCGCCAACACCAACCTGTAGCTGTATCCAGCAGCTTGCCTGCAGTGCGACTCTAAGCTTCGCCACCGCGTTGCGTATGTGCAGCCAAGAAGCTTGCCCGCTTTCGTGATGCGGTGCCACCGCCATCACATGTTGCGGCTAATCCCGCCGTGGGAATGAATGCGCTCCTTGTTGGAGTTGTCTTGTCCATCTTTGGCCTGAACATCCATCGTCGCCGAGGTTTTGACGTTTCTTTTTCCTTTTCCCTTCCTCCCGAAGAAAAACACATCGTGTTGTTCCTTGCGCTGCCCTGTATGCCACGTATTGTGCCGTTGATCTCGATCCCGATCTCGACACGCGTAGCACTGACTGTCACACTGTCCGGATGCAGATGCCGTCGAGTGCTCTCCATCACGGAACTGTCTGCGAGAGCCATGCCTGTTCTTGGCCCGTCCGATAAACCCTCGGAAGCACCACCCGCCAATCTCTTCCTTGTCCGTGCTCGATGCATGGCTGAGCAACCGATCCCTTCACCCGTTGCTCCGGTATGCGGTGTCGAGCTTGTAGTGCTGGTCTTCAACTGTCTTCCCTTGCATCAACTGAGGGCCGTAGTCTATTTTGAACATGCCCTACATAAGCCCTGGTGCCCGACGCCTGAATGTAATCTCGGGATGTAAGGCACAGGGAACTTGGTTCTAGCCAAGAGGTAGAATCACACCTTGGAACAGTTTCCGTGAGGCTGCTTGGATCAATGTCCACGTAGACGATACCGGCGGTTTGGCAGTCATCGCCTAGAACACCTCATCGCGGGCTCTTTAGGTAAAACTTGCAGTCGATTCCGAGTCCTTCAACGTACTGCGATCCCACCTCTCGACTCAATCACTCTCAGAGTCGGCACCGACCAAAAAGCTTGAAGCTGAGTTGAGGGCCTCGTGTGTCGCTCGTTGCAAAGAGCGTACACGGCGTGATGCAACGCCACACAGCCGAGTCCTCGTAGCAGATGTGTCTAATATATGCGCCTCGGCAACTAGTTGCAATGATGATGTTCCTTCGCATTGTGATTAAAGTTCACGGCGGATGCGGAGGGTTCCTTGGAGTGGAGTTTCTGACTGCGTCGAGATGGTTTCTTCAATGCAGCGATTTCTCGATTTGATGAGGAAATCACGTCATTTCTGGACAGCATATATGCACGCATGGAATATGGCCATAGGGGTGAGCATTCTTGCCACAATTTTTGCACATGAATTTACAAATGAACTCCCCGAGGTGCACTTTTTCTCTTCAACTTGATGTCTCTACTGTTTGCGGTTCAAACAAAAGTCTTTAACACCGAGCGTGTCCACCTCTACAGCTCTACTGAGGAGAGGACAGGATAAAGGAAGCTGCTGACTGGGACAGTGTGTACATGGACCTCAAGTACGAGCAGCTGGTCTGGGATTTCCGCGGCCTTTGTCTTGCAGTTGAGGAATCGCCGTGGTTGAAAGAAGCTCTGGACCTAAATCTGTCCCCAAGAATTCGTCGCCATGACGAGCGTGTAGATCCTCGTATGGAGGTCATCGCCACCAACTGGTTAGAAGCTGACGAGGGCAAATCGACTTATGGCGCTTGACGGCTGCTCATCCCTTTAACTTGATACATAAAGGTCAAAGGGAATATGATGGATACAGAGAAGTGCTTGCACTCGGGAGCGTTTTGCGACGCATCAGGAGCAGAGTACTCAGAATTTACAGAGGAGAACTGAAATGCTCGTGTGGCCGGGTTTCTTCGAAGAATGAATAACCAAGGTGGCAACATCTTTCTTCAGGGTAAATTGCGTGGAACCTATCGTTGGTCTCCAAAGATCTTTCCCCACGACGGCTTGCTGGTAGATGCCTCATTTGAAGACGAGATTCCCGGGCGAGGGCCTAGGGGGACGGGCGTATCGGACAGATGAAAAGGACTGCCAATGCTTGTTCTCAAAGCTGCAGTGAATACAAGTTGGTTGTCTTCTGGTCGAGCAAGGGTTCGAAGGACATTCCCGATACATTGGAGCATCAACGAGCTCTGGATATCGCTCGCGAACATGTCGTATTATGTGCACTTTCGGCTATTCCGTCTCATGCTCGTCAAAACGAAAATTGCTAAAAAAACACCTAGTTGGGCAAATGTCTTAGCGCCGGCTGCACGGGATACCGTCGATATATGGTACTGCAGGTACTATTAGCTAAGGCGTGGGAGAATAAGTCTGTACGACGCACGCAAATAACGAAACTTCGGCAGTCGGACAAATAACATGGCGATGGCGATGGCGATGGCGACGGCAAATACAGCAAGTTAATTCGAGGAGGGTTATGGAATATGTTGGCTATTGTTGCGTCGTACGAGGTAACTGTTGGCAAGAGTCGAGGAACGGAGTGATGTAGAAAAGAATTGAAGTTGATTTTGTGAGTTGAAGAGCACAGCAAAATAAAAAGAAGTAGGGTTGAGATGAAGAAACCAGGTCTTCAAATCCCGACAAGGGAGCATTGTAACTACCATGACCGAGGGCTTCGCGTGTGATGACGTAAGCCAAAGTGAACAGAGGCGGGCCTGAGGAAACTAAACCTAAAACTGCCTGGAGCAGTTGGGCGATCGGGCTTCTTTTTCCCCCATTGAACAAAAAGCCTCGGTTCCCACCAAGGAAGCACAGCATATAGAGCCATCTGCAGCGAGCGACAACAGGTCTTATCAAATGCATGGCATTGGCTGGAATGTCGCCCCATGACTTCACAACGAATCGATTCTGTCCATGGCCAAAGGCAACCTCTCTCTCCCAGATGATGTCGTGCGCCAACACCGCGTATCGAACCCGGGCCAACCATAGGAGAGTGGTATATCAAAACAAGACACGAGGGCAGCGGGTGATGGGATGAACGAGGCCGATAAGCAGGCACGAAAACGAGGCGGCAGCTGGAATCTGCGGAGGTCTGCGGATGCCAAATTACCTGGCAAGGCGGAAAACTGATTCATGGGATCGGCTCAGGACTCGACAAGATCCGGTAGGCCAACCCTTTGGGGGAAGAGGACTAAATGGTCACGTCGTCCTGTTGGTGAAACACGGGTGACGGCCATGTAGACGGTGCAGAAGAAGAGCCAGTCGGCAAACGAGGCAGGCGGCTCCATGTTGGGCAAGGAACGGTTGTCCTTGCTGGGGGTGGTCATCGATGCGATACATTATTGGCACACTTCCAGATGGCATCTAATATGTCTTTGTTGGGTATCAGGCCCTGAAGAGGCTCGGCCATCTCCGCCTTGCTGTTTGGTAAGCCATTACGGAGGTCACGTTCAAATGTGCCCTCTCACCACCCAACATCTTTTGTTTTTCAGTGTTGCACTGCACAGCGGCCCGGCTGGGCGACCTGAGAGAAAGTTCAGGAGATCGAGGTCGGCAGCGATGGAATTATCGCGTGTATTGCGGGGGGGCTACGATCTGAACGCGGATAATTCCGACGGAGCACGTTTCTTGCGTCTTGTTTCGGTGTCTCGCCCAAGTGTGGCATCTGTGCCATCGTGACTCCAATGTGAGGCTTTTCCTTGCCCAACTTGTATATAAAGGTCTCTTCCAACATGGGGCTAATGACTCACGCTTGGCTCTTCAAATCCAGGTCATTGTTTCTGCACTAGCACAGAGCCATCGAAGATTTTTGGTGCCAACATCGCCGGTCTCAACGAACCACTTGAATCACTATTAGCAGCTGCCTAGGTACACGAGACCACGTGTCTCGGTCAGAGATGAAGACAACTCTCCGCAAATGCTAAAATGGTCACTCTTACTCCGGAAGCAATCGTTGGCGTTGTGGGCTTGGTGGCTGCCCTGCCGCCGACTGTTCTTGTAGTCATGCGCTGGCTTCCGCAGCATGTGAACGAGAACCATGATGGTGTGTATAATAAGCCCGGTTGCTAAACAGGCATCTTATCTGACTGGTGTTTACGAAAAGAAGAAGCAGCAACAGCAACAGCGCCAGCAGCAGCAGCAACAGCAACAGCAACAGCAGTAGTAATGGCAGCACAGCCTCGACAGCAACAGTTTTGGTTCGCTGGCGAAGGCCCGGGGCGTACTAGCACTCGCGAGGCTATGCAATTCCTTAGATACGAGCGAAGCCAAGTCTCGTGGAAGGAGGCAACACTATTGAATCTTATGACGGCCGGCCCAGAGCAAGCCATGGAAGTTGGTTGACCTGGTACAGCGGACGGCAGATCACAGGTCAACTGATTATACCATCAATGAGAGCATCGGCATGACAAGCTTTCAGTTGATGGGCGCAGGCAAGTATAGAAGCCCGTCTATTGCCTTTCTCCTCTCCAGGTGCTACAAATATTGACCGTTCTCATGCCGACTCAGGGATGCACGCAGTCCGCGGCTCATTGTAAGCGGGATGACAATGACAGCCGTCAGGCATGTTTGAGCAGTGTTCCAGAAATAAACTGCCTTCCTCCACATTGCAGCTCGATTCATGCACGACCGTACACGTGCGCTGGTCTGAGCTTGAAGAATGTGTGTGGACCATGTGGCGAACAAAGCTCAAACCAATGACGACATGACACAATGACCGTCCAAGCACAAAGTACGTAGCTGCCGAGTGCTCGCTCACAGCGCCAGCGGTCCCTGTCGGTCTGCAGCTCCGGCGCTTGCTGGTCCAACCGTTGCCGGCTTTAGAAGATTGCAACTGTACGGAGTAATTGGTGCTTACTGGGCAGGGCCTTGCATTTCATCATTCGTCTTTGATTTTCCTTTTTGTCAGTTATACCGTTCTTTCTTCTCTTCTTTTTTGTTTCTCGCTCTGCCAAAGGGCCAAAGGGCAGCAGGCCTCGTCTTTTGAATGTCGAGTTTCGAGAAGCGTTTATGAACAAGGGAGGCCGCCCGCCCGCCAGACTTGGTTGGGAACCCCGCCCTGGATCGACAGTTGCTGAACATCGTCACCATCCAAACCTTGATTTTTGATCTACACGCCCCCTTTGAAGCTAGCGCTCTTCCTTTGCATACTGTTGCCCGCAATGGCCTCGGGTAACAATGTAAGTTGACCACGGCCACCTTGTACTACCTTTCTTTCCTCCCTCCTCCAACACCAACATCAACACCAACACCTGCTGACCATACATCCCATCCACAATGCAGGACCCGAAGCTCCTCTACGCTGTCGATGGCATCAAAGCCTATCATATTGCCAACGGCACCGAGCATCCCCTAACCCCAAGCGGTCCCCAGACGCTGTCGCTGCTCATGGTTCCGACCGCTTCGGGTTTTGCAGACCCTTCTGGCATCGGCTCTGGCGAGGAGGACTTTTACCTCCATCTGCATCTGCCTCCCGAGCTGGACTTGCCCATGCCCGCCACCACTCAGATATACCACCAGCCTCCGACGAGCTATCTGATTCCTCGCTGGGACCTGAGCCCCGACACCGGCGCTTTTACGCGCATTGAATTTCCGGCCGTCGGTAGCCGTCCCGGCATTCAGGAAGATGTAGATACATTTGAGACGATTCTTGCGCAGTGCACCGCATTCTTAGAGCGTGCGCCTCCACCCAAGTCAAACAGGTCCGAGACGGCCCCTGTTTCTGGAGCTTCGGCAAAGGCGATGGAGGCACGTGGCGAGGAACCGCCCCCGTATAACCCGGCTGACTACACCCAAGGCGAAGGCTATGTTCCTGGGAGTCTGAGTTCAAGTGGCAAAGGCGGCCGAATCGTCTTGGTGGATGAGGAGGACGGCAGCGTCATCGGCGAATTGAGCGAAGGGTTTCAAGTCGTGGAAGATTCCGGCATCAAGCCTGGATCCAAAGGTATGAATCCATCATGTTCTTTCGTCTCATCGTCTTTGATCTTCACCTTTTGTTTTCTTCCAAATGGCAGCTTTTCCATCGACAAAACACACTAACTTGTGTCTTTCTTACCGACCCCGTCGAATTCGCGTTGCCCGCAGACGGGTCCCAAGCCATCAATATCCAGCCAGCCCCGGCATACGGAGAGCAAATCCATCCTGCATATAAAAAGTCTACAATCTTCAACATGGGAATGAGGGCATCTCGTCTTCTCATCACGACATCAGACTACGTCTCCCACGCCCTCCAGGGCCAGGCCGACAATTTTACCAAGAACACACGGCCTGTGGCCAAACCAGTCACCTTCACACCCACCACACACGCACATATCCGAAAGATCAACCAGTTTTCGAACAAAGCCGCCGGTTTGTCCGCTGCGACTGTTGGCTCCATTGCCAAAGTAGCACAGAATTTTGGAGCCAACCTTTCCCGTCGCAAGGACGGAAAGGCCCGGGGATACGATGGAGACGGCAACGTCGTCGAGACATATAAACCTGGCGTTTTGAACAAGAGCTTGATGGCCTTCAATACTGTAGTAGATGGCATGGAACAGGCCGGCCGTAGTCTACTCACAAACACATCTTCAAGTGTCAGCCAGGTTGTTGAGCATAGATGGGGGCCGGAGGCTGGTCAAGTGTCGCGAAACCTAGGCGGTGGCTTCAAGAATGTGGGATTGGTGTACATCGACGTAACGGGTGTGTCTCGTCGTGCCATTTTGAAGAGTGTAGCAAAGGGCATGGTTGTCGGAAACGTCAAGGGAGGCGGCCAAGTTATTGTTGGTGGGGACGAGAAGAGCAAGACGGGACCTTCCACGGGGGGGCGTGGGGGCGGGGATGGAGAGAAGAATCAATACGGCGAGTCTTCGAGTGTGTCTGGCGATTATCAAAGCAGTGGCAAGAAACCTGCTTCGTAAGTTGGGCTACCGGGATTCCAAATGCCCCACGATGGCGGGAAATTGTGGTCGACTTGTACATATCTTTTCAATAGTGACTTGCGTAGAGGTTATCAATCTTGACAGAAAATATCAGAACCAAAGTGTTGCTTTTCCAATTCGACCCGAGGTTTTATTACTTTCGTCAGCATGATTCAACTGTGATGTGTGTAGAGGGAAAAGTGGATCACGTGTCGACGTGACAATCCTCGCGTCGCGACAAGATTCAAGGCTTCAGCCCCACGTCACCTGTCGAATCACCAGCCAACATTTGGACTACTCAACGATTCCACGCTTGAGCCCCCATGCTAGGGGACTGAGCAATCGTATTCCTTCGCTATCACCGTGGGTTTTTTTTTGTCATACATGGCAGGGAAACACGTATCGCCAGCGGCAAAGTCACCGTCATAACCGGAAAGCAGCCCCGACGCCTCGTCGCTCAACCCATGTGTCGCTACGAGCCGCTCGGAGTTTTCATCCTTACTTTTTACGATTTGTCAGACGCGATCAAACGCAAACGGGAGAAAAAACTGTACGAAGAGTTTACTGTCAGACTTTGACCCAAGTTAATGCTTTCCACCAGTGCAGCATGCTCCACGAAATCCTCCTCTCCCTCTCTGGTCACCCATCTCCTCTTCTTCATGCACCTTCATCGCCCGAAGCAGACGCCCTAGCAGGCATAACACCCCCCGAACGACAGCTTCTGTCGTTTGCCAGACATATCAGTGACCTGAATATCAATCTAATCGCCTACTCCACCGAACTATCCACGACGCATTCTTCAACGATATGTCGAGCTGTCGCCACGGCCATAAGTTCCGTCCATCTGGCTGCGTTTCAGCGAAAGGTCCTGCAAGTCGAGGAGAGCATACTAAGGAATGACGCCGACTTTGTGGGGGCATATAACATCGTTCCATTGACCGCTGTCATGGGCGAATTCCAGCAGTGGACGAGACGCTTAGAGTGGCTATGGGACACGGTACAGTTTATCATGGCCAAGAACAAGGATGGGAGCTCGTGCAGGGGGTCAACATTGATTGACCGGTTGCGAGACGAATTGCAGAGTGGGTATCAAGACATTGCCGACTCAGCAGAGAGCTTGGTGAAGGTCGCGGAGACGGCGTGGTTGAAGCAGGCGGCCGCGTGGGTGCTGTACGGGAGGTTGCCTAGTTTTGGGAGCGATGACTTCTTCGTGCAAAAGTTGCATGGTCCTCCAGAGGCACGATACTTCCCATTCGCACGCCTCGGTTTCGCAATCGCCGGAACTAACTGACTGCAGGACTATGTTTGTGTTGAGAACTGCCTCCCATCATTTGTCACAGGAGCAACAGCGGCATCCATGATATTCATTGGCAAATCACTCAACCACGTTCGCGCCATGAACGACACAGGCGCCTCCCCGGGCGGAGTTGCACACGTGTCCGCAAAGCTCCAAGAATTATCAACCTTGACACTTCCGCTAGAAAACTCGGAGTTTTCCAAAGCAATCAGAGCCATTCGCATATCCCTGTCGCAAAACACCTTGCAAAAGATGCTTCCGCTCGCCAAAGTTTCAGAAATGTTCCAGCTTCTTCGAGACTTCTTCCTCCTTGGCCGAGGTGAATTCGCCATGGCCCTCACACACGAAGCAGACGAAAAGAGCAGAAACCGCTGGCGGAGAGCAGGCAACCTCGCACACGACAAAGTCGATGGCCTGAAAAACATCACCGTCAAGGATGGTGAAGTTGCTGCGGTTCTGAACAGGACGTGGGCTGTGCTCGTCTCCATGCAGGGCCAGCACGCCGAGGAGGATGACCAGCTTGAACTCGCACGAAGCTTAATACAACTCCATATCATCACCAAGTCTAACCCCCCTGCTGCTCTTGTCACCGGAAGAGGCTTGGACGTTCAAGCAGCAAATGTGCTCGCCACCTCTCCTTTTCGCAACATGCTCTTCTCCGTCCCGGCCATGCTCAGCCTCGATCTGCCCTCACCTCTAGACATGGTCATCTCCCCGTCCGACCTCCAGCTTTACTCCTCCGTAAACGCATACCTCCTCTCCCTACGCCGCGCGCACGTGCGCCTCACAGAGCTCTGGAAAATCACCTCGCTTCGCCGTCACTTCCCCTCCCCTCGCGGGGCGTCTGACCACGCCGTCACGCTCCGAGAGCGCTGGTCCGACCGCGCCTGGCTGCTCCGAGGCACGTGGACCACGGCGAGCGCGGCCATCTTCTTCCTCGCCGAGACGGAAGCCTACTTCCAGACGGAAATCGTCAAAACCCTCTGGCAAAACTTTCACGCCTGGCTTGCCCCGTCGCAGCCGCCGCGCTCCGGCCTGGCTACCCCCGTGGACCACCACCACCAATCCCAGCCTCCGAGCCAGCAGCCTCACGATCCGCAAACCCTCTCCGACGCGCATACGTTCTACCTCCGCACCCTCGCCCACCGCCTCCTTCTCACTCAACAACCTTTCACGGACCACTTGTACGCCCTCCTTCAACACATCGACCACCTCGTCACACACGTCCACCGTCTACACTCAATATTCACCTCCCTTGACCTCGAGCACGATGCCGGCGTAGTAGATGCCTTTGTCGACCTTGAGCGTGAGCAATCACAAGTGTTCACTTCACTACACACCATACAACTAAAAGTGAGACAGAGCATAGACAAGGTGGTTTCAGCGTTGAGAAACTTGGAAAACGATGCTGCATTCTTGGCGGAATGGGACGGGCAGGGACTAGTGGATGATGAAAATGACGAGAGGGCGTATATGCCGTGCCGTGTGGGAGGGGTTGATAGGTTGTTGATGAAGTTGGATTTCGGCAGCTGGTTGGGCGGCGCGGCGTGCGAGGAATAAGGTCGGTATGCAGGTAGGTAGGTAGGTAGACTTGACGTAGTCGGAGACATCACGAGCCTTGGGGACCCCGGAGAGGTAATGTCGCGTCTTTGCATGAATGATGAATTATTGACTAGACGGCGCAGCACAAGATGGACCGCAGAACGGTTGGTTTGGTGAAGAAGTACAGCGACGGACTAGACCAGACGCGGTGATGGGAAATAGTTTACCCTTGTCTACGGCAGTATGATGAGTATATGCGTGCTATTGCGTACATGTCGGCAATGCCGAACATTTCATGACTATTCGTGCTACATTTCTTGCAAGAAAAGTGTTTTCAAGACACCTCAACGCCACATTACACATTGCTCGTGCCTTCATACTGCATTTCGTGCAATGCATCTCGGACAATACATGCGGTAAATAAGCATTACAATGACTGAGACTGCTTTTTTCGGCAGTGCGTTCAATATACAGCAATCTGCTTTCCCAGACGGAAAGCTTTGCTGGACTTCTGTCTCCGACGACTAAACAGTCCGCGGCTGGGGGATGGGTGAATATCCTCTGCATCGGTGCCGAGGTGGGGCTCTCCGGGCCGCAGCGGGGCCGAGCCGGAGGTGGCCTTCTTGGATTGCCAGCATTGACGGATACAATAATCAACCAGGGTGATGAGACCTGTAGAGACAATAGCACTAGGGAAATTTAGCTGGGGTCTGCAGAACCATCAGCGCAGGAAGGGCGAGGGACGTACTCAGCTACATCCGTCACGGCATCAATGGTGGATTGATCGCTAATCCACATGTAGCAAGGCGGAATCCATCCACCGGCTCGCTCCTCGTCGTCGATCTGACTAGGGCTTCGGATTTCCTGAGCAATGTGGGCTACCGGTTCCTCCTGGTCATCGCGGACGAGGTGGAAGGAAAAGGTGTTGAGCATCTTGTCAACAGCGCGCTTCCAAGTATACTTATGACCCCACCACTCGAAGTCATAGCGGCCAGAGCTGCGGCGAGAAACCTCGACACGGGCATAGTTGTTGAATTCAAGCTTGATCGAATCGGTAGGAACTAGGAATTCCGATGGAGGCTTCACAGCCAGATGGCTAGACGAATTGTCTAAAATATCGGAGCCGTCGCCAATTGACGCAGATGACCGGGCAGCCATGGTGCCCGCAGTGGAGGGACGCCGCGAACCCGAGGAAGTCTTGAGGGAAAAGGAAGACAAGTTGGAAGCATTTGATCGGCGGAAAGGGGCCTTGACGGATCGAAGGGCCGAGGAAACAGAGTGGTGAATGGTACCACGTGAAATACCAGTTGATTTGGTAAAAGCACGCTTGGAACTACACACTTCCCTGCCAGAGTCGCGGCTATGGCGACGGAAAGAAAATTCTCGATTGACCAAATCATACATGCGGAGATGGAAGAGCTGCATAGTGACAGGCCGGCCATGAGAACCTAGGACAGAGCCTTGGCAGACGCCGATAAGTGAACCAGGCGCAACTACCGTCTCCACGCGAAGATTCATGTTTCCATCCGAGGTAGTGTCGTCATGTCGAATGGAAAGGCGGTTCATGGAGGGGAATAAATAGCCAAAAGTGCGATGGTCCGACGGCTTGAGCGTGGGATCAGTAGGTCCTGCACGGTAAAGAGGGAGGACGGACGGAATGGCGGCATCGTCTGGCCCTTGCAGACGAATGGGCTCGGGTTCGTAAGCGAATGATTCATCGCCATGGCCTTCCTCGGAGTCACGACCTAGATTGTTTTCAGAGAATCGTGGGTCATATGTATTGACAGATGGCGTAGAATCTAAGGGTTCGGGGGGGAAGTAAGTGATGCTCGGTAGGGCCGACTCAGGCTCTTCCAGTTGTCGTGTGCTCTCCTCTTGTCTGCTGTGGCAACGCGAAGAGTAAGGTTCGTCATCACTTTCATGCCCCTGCCTTTGGTTCGAGCTGGAAGCGGTGGATTTCCGAGGATAGGCCAAAGCCGCACGGTCTGTGGATGAAAGAACATGTGAGGTTGAGAGCACACTGCTTGGTGTGGAAGAAGCCGACGAGCTGTATGAGAGTCGTGAAGATGATGAATCGGGCATGCTTCTAATTTCTTTTGGGGCGCCGAGATGCCTAGGTGTCGTGGTGTAGTCGTCATAAAACTTGAAGTAGCATGTGGTTGGAGGTTGCAATGTCGAGGAGCGAAACTGACGGCGGGTGGGTCGAAAAGTTATACATACAAAGGACCAAAACGTGTTCCCTCAGTGGTACGGAGCATGCAGGTGAGGGATAGGAATCAGGGTTGACGGGAAGAATAAACAATCCGGGTTGAATGGGGTGTTAACAAACCGAGGCAACAGTGAATGGGGCGTCCTTGCCATCTATGGAGTAACTTACTCCGTATGGGGTGGGTGAATGTATGCAGAATGAATGGGACTGCCGGGGAAGGAGCGGCTCGAGATATACGTTTTGCAAAACCGGGAAGTCGCGAACGTGCCCGAGATGAACACCTCCTTCTCAGTATGCTCACATGGACATGAAGGCAAGGCCCATACTCCGTGGTACCTACCGTACTCTGTTCATGTCTGGTTCAACGAGAACCTTGCACAGACCAAATCAACCTCAGGACCCGAAAGAAACACCACCAAGCACCACCAGGCACCCACGGGGACAACCACCGCTGCGCTGTGCTCGTCGGCCTTTCGTCGTCGTCGCAGTGATGATGAGCCGACCGGGGGTGTGGCGTGAGGAATCCGGCGCACTCTCCAGAACATTGGCGTGGCGGTAATCGTGCCCGCCCCACTTTATGTGGTTCGGCTAGCAAAAGCCCTCACCACCAAAGGTGGTGCTCGACAGCAAGGCGGGCCGGACACCAAGGCGGGCCAATTTTCAACCTAATAACGCTATTAACCTCTTCGCCTATAATGTACACCCTTCTCGTCCCAAATTTCTAGTAGATCTAGTACAGAATCCAGACGCCATTTACGTGCCTTTTTAGCTGCTTCAAAAAACGTCCTCTTGGCGTGGTTGTGGCGCCTTTTGTCGGCATGCTCTTTATGCTTGCTGTTCGCCTGATGAACTCGAGAAAGGTCTTTGCAAAGGCGTGATTGGAAGGAGAAACGGCGAATGGTTGACGCGACAGGTATGCATTTGTTGGCGGTGACGGGAGGGGAGCCATATGAAGAGGTGCATTATCTGTTGACTGTTTTTCTAGACCGGGAAATAAAAATAGGACATGTATAGAAAACCAGATATTACAGCCCTTTTTAAAAAAAAAATCAAAAAAATCAAAGGTCGTCACTCATTCATTGGAAGCTTCAACGAAAAAAAAAACCCCGGATGTAATTACGCAGCTCATTAAAGATCCACCTGATCAATCGCCGGCCACCATTGAGACCAGGCCCCCTGCTCGTCGAGGTTATTGCTGACTTCCGCGAAAAGCTGGTTCAACAAGGTATTAGTGTCGAGCTCGTGCTCGTGCTCGTGCTCGTGCTCGTGCCCTTGAACCGGCCAAGTCGCCTGCGCCGAGGGCCGCTCCGCGCCCCGAATCTCCCGAGTATGCGCGTCGGATCTATCCACGACACGGAACTCGTGGACAGACTGGTGTAGAGTATCAAAGTCTGCTCGTGTGCGCCCCTGGTATCGTGTCCGGTCCTCGGTTGCTCGCTCGTAGAGCACGGATGCATGGTGTATCGTTTTGATCTTGCGCGTGCCGCCCTCTCAATGTTAGCGCAACGGTGGCCACGGTCGTGTCATGCTTGCGGGCGGCTTACCCATCCGTCGGCGATTTTCCAGACAAGTCGAAACTTTTCCAGGTAGTCGAGACACATTTTGAGACAGTCGCTTGCTCGCGGGCTGCGGCCCAGGTTCATTCGGGGGTATTTCGCCACGTAGAGGTTGAGGTAGCCGGCTGAGAATGCGCAGAACCCGGCAAAGGGCGTCATGAGATGCACGCCACACTCGGAGGCCTCGTGTAGAATGGCGGCGATGTGCTCTGCCGCGCCGAAGAGGAGTCGGGAGCTGTCGTCCCACCAGCCCTCGGGGGCGGGCGCCCCCAGCATGGGCTGGTCGACTGGACCCCGTGGCTCCGACTCCGGGGTCGGCAGGAAGGGGAAGTACTCGCGGTGAAGCATGAGGGTGCTGACAAGGCGTAAGCAGGGGCGGCGGCGGCAAGTTGGGAGCCCCGTCGACCGCTACCGCTGTGGGAAGGGGATTCTTACCTCACGTAGTACAGGTGATCTGGCTCTGGGCATCTCCAAGCGCCGCTCAGAAATGTCGCCTGCCCTCGCAAGGATGTTGGACTGCCCCCTCAATGGGGACCCTGCACCGAGTCTCCTCTCGGTCCTGCTGCTACCTCTCAGCTGCGTGGTGTGTTGGCGCAGAGTCCAGGTGGGTGGCCGTGAAGGGGTCAACTGGGTCAGTCTCGGAAGCTGATCGCCGGTCCACCTTGTCCAAGGTCGTCGTCGACCCCATCAGTTTCCGGGTCTTCCCAGCGGATTACCGTACAGAGCTTCTGCTGCTCTGAGAACGCCGCACCTAATTCGGGAAACAGTAAGCCCAGGTGTTCCTCCGAAGGGGGCTGAGCACGAGGGCTCTTTGTCCAAGCCTAGGGAGGAGCGGGTTTCGCTCTTCGGTGGGAGAAGGCGACTGTCCGTCTAGCGAGCCTCGGGCTGGGCCGAGCGTGTCATTCGCGACGTATTACGTGGACGCCTCACCACGCTCGCAACTAAGCCTCCTGCGCGCGGAAGATCGACTGGTGCGATTGTTGTCGAGGTACTTTTCTGTCTCCAAACTCGCCTCCGCAAAGCAACATGCCAGAGAAGCGTACGGAGCATCACCCCATCATCGGCTGTTAGCATCCTCCACAACCCGAACACACACGTGTAATTTTAAAGAGGTTGGAATGAAGAGCCAGAGTTTCTCAACAAATGCCAATTACAACGCCTTTGAATGAATCATGCGCATTGCTGGGACAGGCAGAACCTAGCAGCGTGCTTGCCGGCGCCGGACAGTTCGCAGAGGATTATTCAGTCAGTGTGCTTTGCATTGATGAAGAGTTGTCGCTTGTTCTTCTGAACTGTCAGCTTCCTCCAGCCTCTACTTGGATCTGCCGCGCGCAAAACTAGGGATCCCTTGAATATTTAGCTCGTGGTACCAGATGGTACTAGACAGCAACCTCCTGATTGTCTTTGATCACCTTGTTTGCCTAGCAGCCTGTGTGTCTGCACGGAGCAAGCGAGAGTGATGTACGGAGTAACTACAATCTTGGACTCACAAAAGCCAAAGGCCCGTTTGCGTCATGTTATTGCAGCAAATGTTTTGGCATGTGTAACTACTACCACCCTGTTTTCCCCTCTCTTGCCTCTCTTCATTTAGGCACTGTCTGTTGGTTTCAGCTGACATGACAAAAGCAATCAGAATGTTCCAGCAGCCAGAAGCTCTATTCCTGGCCGCCAGAGAACAACCCCAACAGTCGGTCAGGCATGATTCCAAACCTCCGCACACACCAGCTAGTGGTCTGGTGGCTTTGGCTTCGGAATATTATTAGTGGTACCGACACCAGAACGGCAAACATCACATCTGGATGCACAGTCGGGTCGTGCCTCATTGGGCGCAGCGACTGACCTACAGCAGTTCTTTTGGCAGCTTGTCAACCGAGTTTCCCCAGTGACGGCGAATGACTCGATCGAGTGGCGGTTCAATAGTTACTCTGGCTTTTGAAATACGCAACCATATACGAAGTACATTCGCGACACATGCATGTTGCGGTTGGCTGTTTGGCTTTGATTCCTCCCTTTTGGCATCTTCTGTCACCATCAATCCTCTTTTGACTTGTGACTTTTTTACGAGCCGCAAATGACTCCAACATAGCCAAGGTCCTCGTAAATCGCTGATAACCCACCCGGCCAGTCACAACAGGTCAATGAAATGCATCCTCCAGCGAGCAGTGCGCTGCATGTGTCATCTACTCGGTCCGCGTTCCACTGCAGCTGGTGTGTTTTTTTCCATCGAGGGGACTTGACAGTTGTTGCGTTACTTGATCATGACATTTATTGTAGCATCGACAGTTTAGCTGGTGGATCGACTAGTACGGATCTTCACGTCTATCGTCCGATGTCGGTATACTTCTGATGAACCACGTGGCTCTCAATGCTTCGCTGGCTGACACAAGATAGGTAAAGACACCGCTTGACTGGCTGCCTTTCAATTTGCTTTCCAGCATTACGTGAAAGATACCGCCTTCTGGGCGTTACTCAATTGATGATTCGAACAAAAGGACACCCTTCTGGCTACAAGCTCTCAGCATCCAACTTGCTCAGGTACCAAGGCAGGTAAGCTCTCGCTGTCGCTTTTGACGCCTGGTGATAGGTTTGAATTGTCGAGTTACACGTATGTACGGAGCAACGACGTCGTCTAATAAGGCCCATCGCTTCGCTCAGGACCTGAGTCTCTATCTCTCCTCCAAAGCCATGCCATGTTTGGTGCCTTACAGCCCAACACGTCGCTACTCTTGGGCAATGCAATTGGTGTCGGTCGTGTCGGACGCTGATTCGCTTCCCCCAAGGCCCTTTGGTACTCGCCTCGTGGTCGCTTCGTCCTTCCAAGTCGCGCCGGCGCGGCTCATCCTATTGGATCGCGGCGAGGCGATTTGGTACCAGATCAATGGCTGATTCTCATGCCCAGGGATCCTGGTGTCTGTTTAATATTGGTGCCTCACGTTGTGCGTGAAGTGTCAATACGCCGCCGCCCTCCCCCGCAGACAACCAGTACCGAGCATGTCGGTGGACTGAACAAGGCCGATGAGGTTGGGATTTACGACCAATATTTTTGCCACCGACCACTCGTCCCTACTGGTTCTGGACTACAAAGAGGTAGCATCCATCGGAGAAGCGGCAAGGCCAGCAGTGACCGAGAGTCCTCACGCCCTCGTCACTAATAAAGCACTGCCCGCCTCGCCCAGGGCACTTGAGGTCTCGTCAAATCTCCCGTATTCGTCTTCGTCTGTCACTCGCCAGTCACCACGTCCCATGCCTCGAAACATGCCCTCGCTTTCTGTCAAGCACACAATCGAGCCAATACCACGGCAAAACCCCCCGTAGCACCCGCATGCGTCGTCCTCATCACGGGACCCTCTTGCCTCACGGTGACGGTGTGTCGTGTACTGCATGCGAGGAGGACCAACATGAAACGGTAACCCGCCACCACTGTGGGATGACTTCTTCAACGCCAATTCCAGGAAATCTTGTCCCATCGTCCTGGGTGCGTCATGCACCACTTCGCGTCGGCGTTGGTGCCCAAATGGAACATGTCCAATGGAAATCTACGGCTTCACGATTAGCCAATCGCGCGATGATCAGAGGACAAGCCCTCATGCTTGGACGTCGCAAAGGCACGGCAGGGCTGAATGCAGAATTATGTAGCCTACAGGAGGGTCTAAGAACTATGCTATGCGAGAGAAGAAAGAAAAGTGAGCGTTCGATACGGCTACTCAGTCAGTTCAGTTTACCATTGAACAATACACCCTCGGTTTCGTATGCCAACCTCCCTTTCACGGAGTCCTCCCCCCCTGATTTGGCCAGCTTTCCGTCCAGACACTTACCTGGACTTCGGGCAGCCATCCTGGGCGGCTGCTCCTCCAGCTCCACTAGGGCTTTATGTTCCAGCCGATCCAGGTACGAGGCACCACCCTCCAAATCTTGACCTCGCCGCTCCTCAAGTCATCCAGCTTATAACTCTCCATCTTGACCTTCTTGTTCTCCCGTCCCTGCTCCCACGCACGAACCTTCTTCTTGGTCCCGTCCCATTCAGCAACCACCGCGACGTGATCCGGCTTGCCCACTTCCGTCGAGTACTTGGCGTGCATGGGTCCATGTTTGCCCTGGAACTTGGCGTTGCGGAACGAAATGACATCTCCCGCCCGAATGACATCCTGCTGCTGCGTGGATGCGTTGGCCATGTTGGCGTAGACCAGGGCACCGTACGAGCGCGTGCCAACAGGCGAGAGGGCGCCACTCAGGGGTCGCAGCAACTCCATGACGAAGCCCTGTGGCGTGCCGTCACTGACAACCGTGTCCTTCTTGGACGTGGCGGCCTCCGATATCTGCCTTCCATAACGTTCGTAAAACTCTTCCATCTGGTCCTGACGAAGGGACCGCGGGGGCGGCTCGTGTCTCTGCTCCAGTTCCACGTCCGACGGGTCATATGGGTCGTATCGGACGGTAATCACCGTCTGCGAATAGTCTTGGAAGAGAACAAACACGTCGCGCGTGATTACCGTCTTGGAGCCCTGGTTGGTGGTGGTCGTCTCTTCGCTTTCGAAGTGGATGTCTCTTCGTCCTTGGAAGACGGGTGGAACTTGATTGGCCTGCTTCCACCATCCGCTTTGCACTGCAAGGTCGACGTCGTTGGCGATGAAGTCGGATTCAACCGAAGGCCGATGCATGTCCATGGACCTCCTGTTGCTGATGCTTGTCCTCGGGACATCCATCGACTGCTTGTTGCCTGGCCGAGGCGGCGGCACTGAAGGCGGCGGTCGGCGGTCCGTGGGCGAGGATGGTCCAGGTGAATATGCATTCTTTTCATCAATCTTTGGTGTGCTCTGGCCATAACTAGACCCCATTGGAGGCGGCGCTGGCGCCGGCGAAGAATAACTGTAAGGACTGTAGTCTCCTGTGTCGTGCTCGTGGGCTGCAGTGGGAGCAGGCTCCCTTGGGGGCGGAGGTGGAGCCACGTGAGGAATATCTACCGACCGTCGCTTATGATCCGAGGCTTGTTGGCTGGGAACGGGAGGTGGAACGGCTCGAGGAGCTGAGGCAGATGGAACAGGAGGAATATTAGAAGCATTAGAACGAGTGTCTCGTGTCGGCGACGTCAGGGTGTTATCCTCCGCGCTTGAGTCACGGGCGTGAGACTTCAGAGCATCCTTGTGAGGGACGCTAGAGGCAATATCAGTATCGTAGTCGCCCTCATACTCCGTGACCTCTTCATCCTCCTCCTCTCCCGCCTGTGATGGGCGACTCGGTGTGGGAGCAGGAATATCCGCCGTCGATGGTCGACTCGAACCTCCAGGAGGTGGTGGCGGCGGCGGCGGCGGCCGGCTCGAAGCTGGCGGGGGAGCCGGTGCGGATCCGGGTATTGGAGGTGGTGGTCGGCTGCTTCGCTTGCTGGCGACAGTGGTAGGAGATGACCCCAAAGCCTCGTCTGGGCGAGGAGACTGCGGAGGCGATCTCGAGGGAAGAGCAGCAGGTGCTGGTGGCATTGGCGGCAAACGTCTGCTTTGAGTGCCGGCCTGCTCCAAGTCCTTTTCTCTCGTTCCTGCAGAAAGCTCGTCATCTGATTCCGATCCTTCTGTGGGGGATTTGACATCAGCTTGGGGTGGCGGAGGTGGTCCTCGAGCTGGGACACATTAGCAATGAGGATCAACTAGGAGACATGTGAAAGTAGCAGCACCTACCCTCAGCAGGCACCGGGGGAGGCGCCGGTCGACCACCAGGAATAGGAGGAGGAGCGCTTGTATCTCGACGAACTGCTGCGCAATCGTTAGCTCCTCTTCGGCATAAAACAGACGGCAAGTCCGCTACATACAAGACACCTCGGAAATGGGCGCCGGGGTTACTGCCTCATCTTCTTCCTCATCGTCGGAATCTGCTTTTTGTTCCCGAGAAGGGACTGGAGGAGGCACCATCCTCGATTGAGCTGGTGTGACGTCGCCACCATCAGCATCCTCCTCTTTTTCCGCCGGTTGGCTTCGGTTGGAGGCTCGAGCGCTGCCTATGCCGGGCAAGGCCATGGGAGTCGGGACCGGCGGTGCCGCACGGGTGACGGGCTCCTGAGCATCTTCATCGGCTCCTAACGCTTCCGCAGGTTTGACTGCCTTCTTCTTAGGCGGAGCTTTCGTCATTCCTGGCATTGGGGCACCAAACATGCCATGGAAGCCCATGCCGCCACTCATCTTTGCCATTCTAGCCCGTAATTCCTCTTTCCGTCTTACCTCGGGGTCGATTTCTTCTTCCTCCTGTTCTTCCTCATCGCCTTCCTCTCCCCCATAATTTGCTTCCTCTGGCTCGCGAGAGAGGTCGGCGGTAGCAGCAGTAGATGTCGTCGGAGCGCGCGGGGCATGACGGGACATGTCTTCACCGTCTTCACGCTCAGTAGTATCGTCATGACCCTCCGTGGTGTCACCAGCGCCAGACATATCGGCCTCATTGCCATCATGAGACTCATTGGGCGTAGGGCCTTTGGAAGATCTGCGTCTTGTTGGAGGCGCGATGGCATGAGGATCATCTGTAGAAGTTCTGGGTTGAGTTCCCCCAGTTTCAACTCGTTCGAGCGATGTTGAGTGACGGCTTTCTTCGGCTTCTTCTACATCTGCCCCACCTTGAGGGGCGGCTTCGGGTTTCTTCTTGACTGGTTTCTTTGCTTTCTCTCTCTTAGCAGCCGCATCGGCATGACGTTGGGCCTGTTCCATCTGCTGCTTCTGAAGCAAAGCAATACGCTCCTTTAAGCTGGTAGGCTTAGGCTGGTCATCCCCCGCACCACCCTCTTGAGGCTGTTCCCCTGCAGCCAACCCAGCTAGCTCTGCCTGGTCCTGAGCTTCGGCCTGCCTTTCCTTGATTTCAGGATCCTCTTCGCGACGGTAGATGCTTGTGGTCGGCTTCTCCCGCGGAGTCGGCACGTATGCGTTACGACTAGGGGGCGGCGCGACGAATGGCTTCTTCACAAATCCAGACGAGCCGCCACTTGCGCTCAAGCCGCCGGGCTTGAATGGAGCGACAGGCGGTGCCGCTGCTTGATTGAACGCGGCTATGCGATCTTTGAACGAGTTGCTCGAGGGCTTTTCGGAAACCGGAGGCGGACCGGGTTTGGGTTTTGGAACTGGAGCTCCGGCTTGTTTGGAGCCCGCTGGTGGTGCCGTGACAGCCTCGTGAGACTTGGCCAGGCCCGGCTCCGAACGCATGGCTGTCACCGGCACCGGGACGATCGGGACGGGGCGCTCGGCCTCGACAGGCTCAGCTTCATGTTCTGGTTCTTCTTCTTTTTCGGGCTCGGGCTCTAGCTCATGAACTGGAGCAGGCGGTGGTGGTGCCGGAGCAACAACATCCTCCGACATGTGAGCTTCGGGTTCCTTCTTGGGACGTGATCTCGTCGGCCGAGGAGGAGCAGTTGGTTCCAACTTCTCAACAAAGTTGCGGGGGAAAATGCCCTCCTTTCTCACGCCATGGTCGACATATTCGCCCCCATACCAATCGTCATCTTCCTCTTCGTTGACGGTGATGATCTGGCCAACATCGAAGTTGAGGTCATCCTCATGAGGCGAGCTATACTCGTAGAGAGCCTTGACCAGAAACGGCACAGTCATGGCGGCGTAGGATATATCCCGCGACACAGACGGCCCTGTGACACGTCTACCGCGGCTAGATGAGACCGTTGGTCAATATGTAGTGATTTCTCGTTGCAGTTGTGGGGCGGCGATGCGATGAATGATGCGGAGAGTTGGAGAAGGCTTTCGTCAGCTTGGAAGAAGCGGGGGGGTTGGCTGGGAAGTGCTAAGCCCAGGCACAGACAAAGAGGGCAGCGTCGTCCAACTCCCTCGGGGCAACGAGTCGAGCGCGCGGAGCTCCCGGTGACGGCAGTGCAGGATGGGTGAAGGGACGGCGGCTCGGGAACAAGAGCAGCAAGATGACGCTGGGCCTGGGAGGAAGCGCAGGCGGAGCAGACGGCGGAGGCTGATGAGGCGTTGCGCAGCGTCTTTGAGAGTCGTCGGAGCCTTGACGCGACGCTGGTGGTTTATGGGTGTCGACGTCAGCGCCAACGCCCTGCTCTCTCTTGCTTTTGCTCAACAACGGACCAAGAGACCAGCAAGGGACGGTCGAGAAAGCCGCAGATGGTTCAAGCAGTTTGGTCCGCATCAAATGATGGTGGAGTGGGGGAGTCAGCCAGCGAGCCACAGCAAGTTCACTGGTCGACCGGCTCCCACCGTTCACAATCTTTGGCTTGGCCCTCTCGTTTGCGGTACCGGAGCCAACGCGGAGCTGGCTGCGATCCAACTTGTACATGGAGTCGTCGTCTCAAACTTGTCAGACGCTGGGCGAGGCGGCCTGGGGCAGGCGTTTGATTCGGCCAAGCAACCGCTAAGCACTGCGAGAGGTGGGAAGGCACATGAGGCACTGAGTGTTTGACCATCTCGACTGCTTCCGCACGTGGCGAATTACGTGCGCGCCACTGTCAACTCCAGAGTCTTGGTTGACCAGGGCTGCAGAGGCAGGCACGAAACCTGAACCCGACTGAGACGTCAATGTCGGCCGTTGGAGCCTGCACAAGATGATGCAGCGTCTGGCTACCTGACTAGGTGCAAGAATTGTGCCCTTCATGGCCTTGGGCCAAGTAGTTATGCTGTCGCCTCCTCGTCATGTCCATGTCAGGCCCGGGCAGGCAAAGAGTCGAGTGGGGTTCTGCAAGCACCACTCGAAAACTTCATCCACACCTCTTTTCGTAGAACCGCTTCCATCATCCATGATCCGTCTGCCCTCCGGCGGCAGGAATAGTCCAGTGCTACAAGACCTACGAACACTACGGCCGACGGCGGACGGAGCACCTTCCTGCGAGTGCAAGATGGACCACATCGAACAAAAGCAGAGACAGCTGAAAGGTATCCTCAAGAACTCAACTTCAGAGGCCGGCACAGCCGCACGCTCCGAGAGCGAAGCCAGAGAGATTGCCATTGCCCACGCCAGGCTCCTTCAGCATCGCAAAGAACTCGAGGCCGAGATACTGGACAGCTTAGTGCTTCTTTCCGAGTATCCGCTAGTCAGGACGACGCCGTACTCGGCGGCGAATCCCGCAGAGAGCGACGTGTCCGGGTTCAAGACGCACGTTCGTCTTTTCCAACCGTCCGACTATGACGACCTGATAGAGGAGCGCAATGTCAACGAACAGTGTGGCTATGCTCTGTGCGGAAGACCACGACGAAAGGTCGGTCCCGGCGGGGAATGGAAGCTCACGGGCGGTGGCGATATCGTGAAGCGCAGAGACCTCGAGAAGTGGTGTTGTCCGACGTGCGCGAAGAGGGCACTCTTCGTCAAAGTCCAGCTGAATGAGACGGCTGCTTGGGAGAGGGCAGGCATCCCAGATATACAGATCGACCTACTGAACGAGGACGAGTCTGCAGAAACGGACGCGGATAGAACTGCCCGCCGGCTGGGGAGGCTGAAGCTTGAGGAGCAAAGACAGGCCGCCAGGGACGCAAAAACTCTTGCTTTAGAGAGGGGGGAGCGTGGCATCGGTGAGAGCGCCGACAAAATTAAAGTTGAGCTCACGGAGAAGGAGACCAGAGCTCCCAAAACGGCGAATCCTTCGACGCAAAGTGCCGATGACCACTTGAGAATTGAGGGCCACAGATTCGACCTGCCGAGTAGGCCGCGGGCGCAGAATTGAGATGCGTCGCCTTCGGCTTTGAAATTTACTCATGTACACTACACTACGAGTCGGCAAAATGGGTGCCTGCATGGCCGGCGTTGATCAAGGTTTGGTATTTGGTTGTGCCATGGTTCGGTCAATGAATCGACTTTGACACGTCCCTTCCGATATCGACGAGTGGCTCTGTCGCACTCCGAGCAGGTAAGTTGCAAAACGCACCAATCCAGTTCAACGTCAAGCCGGCATGAGCCCAGTCCCAATGATGCTAGCTCGCCGGAACGTCACATTTCACGCGCAAACATGATGAGACCAAAGTCTTGGCGATCAAGCATCCCACTCCAGACGTCCATGTCCAGAGGTTCAGCGACACCTTGTGGGGATTGAAGATCTTTCTTTTGAGATCTATGCATTCACTACCGTCCTCGGACGCCAAGACGCAAAAAACCAAGCCAAATGCCCAGAAACCCAACTGCCCACAATCATTAGAAGCTTTTCTAGCCCGTCTAGTCGCGGCGAGGACGGTCGCCGAATCGTCGAGGACCGCGCTCGTTGGGATTGTTCTGAGTGACCTGGGTGACGTTGACGGGGATCGAGTCAAACTGGCAAGAACTCGTCAGCACTAGAACCCAGAAATGTAGTAGACATGGACAAGGGAAAACCTACGCCAAGGTGCTTGAGGAGGTCCTTGGTCTCGGAGTCGATCTCAAGCTGGCCGGACTCGTTCTGGGTGTAGTCGAGAGCAGAGACCTCGGGGACGTACTGATCCTTTCGCTCACGCTCCTCCTCCTGGAGCTTGAAGGAGATACCACGGACAGGGCCACGCTGGATACGCTTCATCAAGTGGGTGGTGTAGCCGGCAATCTGGCCATTCCCCAGTTAGCACACCTTCTTTTACGGCTCTCTCCAATGCAAGTCACAACTGTTTTTTTTTTTCTTTTCCACGTCCCCAATGATTCTTTTCGACCTGCAAAGGATATTTAGTTCGTGCTCACCTTGTTGCGGAGGCGCTTGGAAGCAATGACAGCGATCTCATCGCAGATGCGCTTGTTTGTCTCAAAGTCGAGGGTGAGCTTTGGGTAGTACCGCTCAATGATGACCTTGGCGGACTTCTTCACGGTCTTGGTACGGACGCGACCCATTTTGTCGGTATTGAACTGGCTGCTAAGTTCGTCGGGCGGGCGAGGATGGTAGGAGAGTCGGCGGCTTCTCGAGATCTCCAAACACCAGTACAGAAATTTGGTGGTCCGGACTAGTTGGTGGGGCACACAGACGATTAGGGCTCGAGAGAAGGATGTGCGTGATATCGCACGTGACTGACATGGCGGGTTTCGATTATGTAAGAAGGCGTTGTGCTAACGCTCCCGCCGTACTGTGAACGCATCCGAGTGCGAAGTCAATTGTGTACCTCGATTTGCAGACTCAAAAATGATTCGGGAATTTTGTTTTTATTTTGGTAACTTTGTAGTTTACACAGGTCCTTTTGTACATGAAAGACCAGTCGCTTGGTCTCAATATACAGCCCAAAATCACAATCGCTGCGCCAACATTACGACCGTACACTTCTTCGCCCTGTCTGCTCAAGAATCATGAGCCTTGGGTGACTCATGGAGCATCTCATCTGCAATCCTTTCGATCCGTCGTTATGTGCTCTAATTTCCCCGTTGTGCAATTGCCGTTCCTGCCTTGATTTCGTCATCATGATAAATTTGTGATTGGCCTTTGCTTTCTTTGACAATGAGTTGGGCCTCGGGATGGGTTTCGCGAAGTTGCAATACCACTTTTCCGCTGGGATCTACAGTAGCAGTTATGGGCTCGATATAGGCCTTGGCGCCGCCATATGTGGTAGTGTCAAGGTGAGCAATGCCGTTGAGCATCTTCTTGACTTGTGATCTATATCGGCCGAAGCGGATGTTGAATTCGTTGTCTCCCACGGGAACGTCCGCGACGAAGCCACCAACACCTAGTTTGGCGGGTTTGTGGCCGGCCCTTGGATACACCACTCTTGTCAAGGTAGGTGTGCGCCGTGCTTGAGGGCCGTAGACTGGGTGGTTCTCCATGTAGGAGTTGGTTCGCAGGTAGCTAATACCAGCCGAGGGGTGACTGGGCGGCGGGCCTGAGATGCCGTAAAGGCTCTCCGGCTCCATGCTCCGTATGCCCTCGTAGACTCCGATTGGTACAGACAGCGGCGCCAGATCCAGAAATTCGGAGACCAAGCCGTACAATGTTGTGCGGTCATTGCGCAAAGTTCGCAAATACTCTGAAAAGTGTGCCTCTGTAATGTGGTGAGGCTCAACCTTGGGGGGTGCGGGCCTACCCTTCTCAATGGCAAGATTGTTCTGGCTCGTGGTGATGTCTTCGGCAAGTTTGCGCTTCAATAGAGCTCTAAACTGGGCACGTTTCGGGTGCACTGTCTTCCTCAAGTATCGAACGAATTCGCCTTCGCCCATCCTGGCTAACCATGGGCCGTGAAATTTCCACCGCTTGTCGTCGCTCCATCCAGATCGAGATTGGGTGGAATCAAATTCGTCTTCGAAGACAGACTTGGGCCACATGGAAGCCGAAGGTGGCTTTGTTCCATCCAGCATCTTTCCTCGCGGAAGCGACATGGGAACATGCAGCTCCCGGAACTTCTCCAACGACAGTGAGTGGTCCGCAGCTGACGCGAAATCCGTCACATTCTCGACAGAATCGACTTTTTTAATCCGGATGAAGGGGGTCGACGTGGTCATTGTAGACTTCAACGGGAACGGTCTCTTGTAGCCCCAGTCGCCCTTCTCTCGTGATGAAAGGGGAGTCGTAATCGACTGATGCTGAGGGTATTGTCTCGTCATTGTCGCTGACTTGTGATCGCCGATGTGCAGGTTGGTAGACGGAGGCTCAGGCAGGGGCTTTGGTACCGAGAACATTCGTGAAGTTCTCAACAAAGCCCCTCCGGGCGAAACAGCACGCGCCCCCATGGTGTATGTTGTAGTTTAAGAGTAGGCCCAATTCCTCGATGTTGATGTGCGTAGATGCGCAGCAAAGAGCTCTTGTCGGGTCAAGGCACTCGGTAGGAAAATTCGCTGCGCAGGCGCGAGGGCTGGTCCAGCTCCTAGCCGGTGATGAGCCGGCCCAGCAGCGTCGCTCCACCTGAAGTCCTGCTGAAAATGACGCCCGAAGATATCTGCCTGGCTAACCTAGACCTTCGAATGTCGGACTCGAATATCTGTGACAGAGGCAAACAACTCGTCAGGGCGAAGTTCTGTTTGCAGAACAATGAGAGCCGTCGCAAAGATGGCCTCTAGTGTTTCCTCATCCCCTGCACTGTCGTTTGAGCTAGTGGCTCGTTGCACGGTGCGTACTTCACTTTGAAAGATCTTTGTGAGACATCATGCTCATGATAAAAAAAAATATAAAAAAATCCAGACAACGCGAGCTCGAGCTTCCAACTTGACACTGCCTCATGGCCCTGTTCAGCTCCCCATGTTCATGCCCGTAGCCACACAAGCTTCGCTGAAGGGAATAACGTCTCAGCAACTGGAAGAAACTGGCTGCAGGCTTTGTCTCAACAATACGTACCACCTGGGACTCAAGCCAGGTCAAGAGGTCCTTGACGCGATTGGCGGCGCACACAAATTTCAAAGCTGGAATCATAATCTGCTGACTGACAGTGGAGGGTATGTGCAATGACATTTCCCTGTCTTGTTGAAGGGATTGCTTACGCCCTCGCAGTTTTCAGATGGTCAGTCTGCTAAAGTTGGCAAAAGTCACCGAGGAAGGCGTCCGTTTCCTGAGCCCACACGATGGATCTCCTATGCTCCTTACCCCGGAACACTCCATCTCCCTGCAAAACAGTATTGGCAGCGACATCATCATGCAGCTCGACGACGTATTGGTCACGACTTCACCAGACAAGGTTCGTATGCGTGAAGCGATGGAGCGCAGTGTTCGTTGGTTGGACAGATGCATGGCAGCACACAAAAAACCCGACAGCCAAAATCTATTCTGTATTATACAGGGCGGTTTGGACTTGGAGATGCGAAGGGAATGTTGCGAGCAGATGTTGGCCCGAAACACACCCGGTATCGCGATCGGTGGACTGAGTGGCGGGGAGGCAAAGGCGGATTACTGCCGCGTTGTCGAAACGTGCACAGCTCTCTTACCAGACCTGAAGCCTAGATACGTCATGGGAATCGGATACCCCGAGGATCTGGTTGTCAGCGTGGCTCTGGGGGCAGACATGTTTGACTGTGTGTGGCCGACTCGAACAGCCCGATTTGGCAACGCCATCACGAAGCACGGCGTCTTGAACATTCGAAACGCCATGTATGCAAACGACTTTGGGCCGATAGAGACTGGCTGTGGATGCATGTGCTGCAGACGAGGAGAGGGAGGCATGGGCATCACCAGAGCATACGTCCATCACAACACGTCCAAAGAGACGGTTTCGGCACATTTGCTGACGATCCACAATGTCTGGTATCAACTCAATCTGATGAGGCAGATACGGCAGTCGATAGTCGAAGACGGGTTTCCGGCATTTGTTCGACAGTTCTTTGCAGACCGGTACGGTGTCAAGACGAACTATCCCAACTGGGCCGTGGAAGCATTGAAGCGAGTAGGCGTAGATCTGACGGTGGAAGGGTAGATGGAGATGGACTCTAGTAGAATATACGGTGAAGAAATTCCGGGTTCGAAGCCGAGCTGATGGCTCTGCAAAGAAATTGTGCAGAGTGACAGTTGAATGATGCATCACCAAGCGAAACAGGCAACTTGCATCCGCACGTTGAAGCCGAGAGTCAATTGGCTGGGCGTGTCTGGGTATTAAGTGGCAGTAGTGGCAGTAGCACCTGGCGAGTGACCCCCTACGTCACCTACACGTGACCCCGCTTCACTGCCGCGCGCAGCCCGCTTCTTGGATGCCAGACGCGGTCCCGGCACGCCACGAGCGTTGGCCTGGCGCTTGACGGGGATCCGGAGTCGCAATTCGCCCCGACCCATCAAGTTGGTAAAAACAACAAACAACGGCTGCCTCCCTCCTGCGACACCAAATTGCTGCCCATCCGTCTCTCGTGAGCATCCCCGGCCCCGTGCAGTGACCAGTGATTGCATTGCGGATAGATTAGCTACATCGACATATTTGCTGGCTTTGCAAACCGCCACGCGCTCTCTCTCATGCATCGTCGATTCAGGTCAGAATGTCGTACTCTATTCATGGGTCGCCGTCTCCACGACAGGGGCCAACGTTATCTGCATCGGACAGACCAAATGACGACAACAACTCTGCCTTGGCCCAGTCGCTGAGCCGACTCTCTTTGAAAGACGAACCTCAAACCTTGAAGCCTCTTCCAAGCCCAAGAAATGCCGCGCCAACGTCTGCGAACCCACCATCTCGGAGATGCTCGTCGGCTTCACCTCGTCCTCGGACGCCCTCTCGCAGTCCTTCTGTTGGGCCGGGCTCTAGAAGTGCTTCCCATGCCGGGACGCCGCCACTGCTTCGAAAGGCCTCCATGAACTCTCTACGCTCTGCGAATGGTGTCCCACCTGCAAGGCCTTTGGCTAGGCGATCGAGTTCATCCCAGACAACCCCAACATCTCCAGCAAACCGGATGCCCTCGGAGGAGAAGCCCCCCACGACAGCGGAAAGTATCGCTAGCGATTACTTTGCGGCTGAACTTTCTGTACATCATGGCCCCATCGCTACTTTGCCTACAGACACCGTCGTCGTTCTTAATGATGCTGTATACGGACATCGCTTTTCGCGCCCCCGAACTTCCCGGAATGCTTTAAGCACCATTGTTGAACGCCCCGAACGTATCAAGGCTGCTATCCTAGGCATATCCGCAGCATATGTACGGCTGGGGGGTCGACATTGTCAGGGTCACTTGCCTATCCATCCCAAGAAGAGTCTCTCCGATGTTGAGAGCATTCCGTTTCGCATTCACAAGACCTCTAGACAACTGTCACTGCTGTCTCCAGCGGTCACCAATGTGCACGGCACCAAGTGGATGGAGGAGTTGAAACTCATGTGTGGTTCGGCTGAATCAATATTGGCCATGGGAGGTAAGGAGCTGCAACGGCCCGACATTTTCAGAGGACCAGAACACCCCGTACCACAGAAGCTCCATGAAGGCGACTTGTACCTGTGCGAGGAGTCTCTCAATGCTATGCAAGGTGCTTTGGGCGCAGTGTGCGAGGCCGTGGATATAGTGTTTGACTCTGGTCCTCGCAAAGCGTTCGTCGGCGTAAGACCCCCTGGCCACCATTGTTCGGCTTCTCATCCTTCTGGCTTCTGCTGGGTGAACAATGTCCACGTGGGCATCATGCACGCTGCACTTCAACATGGTCTCACTCACGCAGCCATAATCGATTTTGATCTTCATCATGGCGACGGCTCTCAAGCCATTGCCTGGCAACACAACGCCCGCGCCAACGCTGCGAACAAGAGCCACGCCTCCTGGAAAAGAACGTCGATAGGCTACTTCAGCATACATGACATCAACTCTTATCCTTGTGAGATGGGGGACCAAGAGAAGGTCAAGAATGCGAGTCTATGCATCGATAATGCCCATGGCCAGACCATCTGGAATGTCCACCTGCAACCCTGGAAGACGGAGCAAGAGTTCTGGACTCTGTACGAGAGTACATATGTTATTCTGTTGGAAAAGACACGAAAGTTCTTGAAAAACGAGGCAGCCAGGCTTCGTGCCTCAAACCAAGTCCCCAAAGCAGCCGTGTTTTTCTCCGCGGGCTTTGATGCCAGCGAGTGGGAGAGCGCCGGAATGCAACGCCACCAGGTGAACGTCCCGACTGCGTTCTATGCCAGGCTTTCTCAAGATGTTGCGAAGCTGGCGGACGAAGTGGGCCTGGCTGTAGACGGCCGAGTGATTAGCGTTCTCGAAGGCGGATATAGCGATCGCGCCTTGTGTTCAGGAATATTGAGCCACTTGAGCGGCCTGGTCGGTGGTAACCACGGGCAAAATCCAACGAGGATGGAGCAAGGACCAAGCGGTCTCGCCGACGAGATGGGACGGAGGATCGGAGCAATCAACTTGAACGCGGACCCGGCAACGAAACCTCTGGCGTCCGTATACGATGCAGCATGGTGGGCGAAGAATGAACTGGACCTTCTCGAAGAACCAGAGGAGCCTCTGGCAGCACCCAAGAAACCACGCAACTCTACTCCTCCGACCTACTCATCGCCAACCCACGCTTCTGCTGCTAGAGTTGCTGACCCCGCCAAGCTCAAGAGTAGCCTCTCCATTTCGTCCGTCAGCTATCCGAAAGTCCCCGAGAGGCCAGCGTCACCCCCACCTCCCGAAGTGCCCTGGCACGTAGCTGCCAAGGAACTGTGTATGGCCCTGATACCGTCAGACCGTCAGACAGGCAGTTGCACAGCCGAAGATTTGAATGCTGAAGCATCACGAGCCCGGCGAGATCGCCAGTCCCTGTTGCTCGGAAACCCACCCCCCACGCCATCCGGGTCCGATAAATCATCTGCGAGGATGTCGTTGCGCGAACGTAAATCGAGACCGATCGGACCCATTGGTGAGGAAGTTGGTGAGGTGCCGCCAAAGACAAGAAGAAGACCTACAAGCACGCCAATGACCTCTCCAGTAAAGGTTTGTTGTGCAGCACAGGACTCTTGCATTCGCGATGTGAATACTGACATCGAGTGCAGGTTGGGAGAAGTACTCCTCAGCCAGCTGGAGCCCAGTCGGCCAGAAGATCTAGCCGTCGCCTGAGCGTGACGCCTACAAGTTTGTCCCCTCCCAGGGAAGAGCCACCTCCAGTCCCTCCTGTCCCAGCCACAGCGCCAGTTCCTAGCCGAACGACTGGCCGGCCAAACTCCAGGGCGGGCAGGACGCAGAGCAACAACAGGGTTCTGGTGAGGAAGACGCAAGCATTGCCATCCCGAACAGACCCTGCACCAGGAGAAGGGCGGAATGCGACAAGGGCAAGCACTCCCACCAGAGGAGCGGGACAACCAGCCCTCGGGGCGGACACGCCGACGCCGGCGACGGGACTGCCGCTCAAGTCGGCCGGTGACGACGCCAGGAGCGATGTTGACAGCTTGGCCAGCGGCGTCAAGAAGATACGGATCAACTTGATCACAAAGGCACAAAGAGATGAGAAGCAAAAGGCCAACTTGGAACCAGGCACGGGACAGGATGGCCAACTTGGGCAGGACTCGAGTATTGTGAAGTCTGGAGCACCACCCACACCCGATGACAAGTCTCGTATACCAAAACAGCCCCCAACCCAACTTGCATTGACTCGTGGCGCCCCTGAGGCGCCATCAACACCGTCGCTAGGCGGCGGAGGAGTTTCCACTCCGGTTGAAGGAATCTCCGCGTCCAGTACATCATCGCCAACGCCGACGCCATCTGCTCCTACAGAAAGTTCTCCCGACGTACTTCATGTCACCGTCCAACCAGCTAGCGACGCCGGCGATATCTTCATACCGTATCAGCCGGAAGGCCCTGAGCCCGTCGCCATGGGGCAACACGAGGACCTGACGTGGCTTCCAGTCACCACACCTCTGCCCAGCGCAGTGAAAACGAAAAGCAGCCTGTTCCACTACACCTCGGAGATCCCGTTTGCGCCGCGGCCAGACACACAGCCACAAGGAGGGCCGAAATCTGTGGACGCGCCACGCACAGGGCTTGACGAGTGACGACAGTCAAAGACGACATACCTACAGCTCGCTCGGCCGGGGACCTTGCCAAAGGCCCCGGAGATTAAAATTCTGCCCCAGGAATGAGAAATGCAGTCACCAAGGCGTGGCTTGGTTGTTTGTCGTTTCTTTTGTTTTGATTTTGAAGGCGAATGGAAACTACGTGGGATATGGTCCGGCCATGACGGTAGCATACACTTGGGTCATTTTCGCGCTCGGAGTTTTGTCTAGTCAGGCCTGTTTTTGATTACTCTGCTCCAGGTATCTGGGTTTGACTAGTGTGATACCCCCTTTTGGGTGCGCCTCTGCCAGGAGTAAATGGCAAGATAGCACCGGCGTTGGATCTGGGATTTAGTGCAGTGCACGACCATGGAAACTTTTGGCTCTGTCCCCCCCTTGCCCAGTGTATCGTGGCACATGTCTCTCTGTGTGTGTGTGTGTGCGTGAGTGTGTGCGTGCGCGCGCGTGTTCACGACTTGAAGTGTTGCCTAAACACCTCCACGGGGACAGCCTTGTCGGAGAGCGTCGCCTTTGCCTCGCCGGCAACGCCGGGATGTGGTTGGCGCTCCAGGGTCCAGAGCCGCGCGACGCCCAAGCTCTCCAGGTACGACAGACCGCGGCTGTAGTTTGTGCCGACCTGGGCGATGCCGTGGCTGTCGTCGGACATTGTGAAGGCGCCTCCCATGCCGATCCACTCCTGCACAGGGACGCGGGTCAGAATCCATCCTGGTTTCCGGAGCACGGCGGGCCTCGGCCTCGGCCTCGGGACTCACCTCTGCGACGGGCCTGCAAGGGTACGGCTCCGGCAGGCCCTTCCTCAGGGCGGCCGTGTTGAGCTCCAGCCAGCCGCCCTGGTGCTTGACGAGCCTCAGGTTGCGCAGCACGCGGTCCCACACGCCCTTCCACCGGCGGATGTCGCGCTGGGGATGGGCGCTCTTCAGACGGACCAGGTCAAAGTGGCCTACGACGCGGGGCGCCAGGGCGAGGAGCATGTCGTGCTGCAGGTCGTAGTAGTCCTGGTACAGGCGCTCCTCGGAGCCGCCGGCGGCCGCGACCGCCGCCGCGTACGAGGCGTCGTCGTAGTCTATGGGGATGCCGTGCACGTGGTGCACCGAGCCGACGAAGTAGTCGACGCAGGGCGGGCGGGCGAGGCCCCGGACGAGAGGCGCGAACGCGGGCCGGATGAACTCGGCCTCGAAGCCGATGAGGATGTGGATTTGGGGGGCGTACTTGTGCTGCAGGCGCCGCGCCTCGACGAGGTACGCTTCGTGCCGCGGGACAAGCGCCGCGAGGGATGCCTGCGGATCGTCTCTCTGGGGGGCCGGGCGGCGGCGGCGCGGAGCGTGAGCGTTGTTAGGATCCGGACGTCTTTGTTCTGCACGCGCCGCCGCCGCCGGCTGACATGCCTCGGGGTCGATTCTCTCTCACCTCGTCGGGATACAGGTCCCGCTCCTCGTACCGCGGCATGTGCTCTGTGAGGCCCATGGTCCTGAACCCCAGCGAGATGGCCTGTCGGACAATGTCCTCGAGCTGGTCGGCTGCGTGGCCGGGGCAGAACTGCCCCGAGTGGGAGTGCATGGTGAAGGCCATTGTTGCTGCTCGTGAAGCCGAAAAGTTGTGTCGGTCGAGGCGGCGGATCCACGTGGATGGATGCCGCGCCGGTGGCTTTTGGGCTTTTGGCTGCGACGTGTGTGTGTACGGAGTAGTTCTTAGGGCTTGCTTGGACTTGGGGGGTTGGGACGCGATTCTTCTTTCTGCTTCCCCGCCACCTCGTTTTGTTGGCATCGCCATTCGTGGTCACTTGCTTGTCGCGGGATTGACTTTTGAATTTCTGTGCGTTGCTGCCGCTTTTGCTCGAAGCTTGGCGTTTTCCTTGTTGTCGGGAGGTTGGTTCGCGACCAGAAGAGGAAGGAGCGGACGAGGGTGCGGTGGTGATTTCTTGACCTTGAGCCGCGCCGCACAATTGACGGCATCGAGTGAACGACATGAATCTTTCCAGGTGGTGTGCGCTACTCCGTGTCCTCGACTTGCACACAACTACGATTACCTTTTCGTTGCGTGTTATTGAATTAGCCGCATACGCCGTGTGTGGAAAGCATTTGTTAGTTACATCCCGGCGAGTTCACCATCTGATTTGCTTCGGCTGGGCTGGATGTCAGCTCCAGCGAGCGAGCTAGCTAGCTACCCTTGTCGAATTGCGAGATTTAGTCTGGCCCTTTTCTTGGAGCTGTTCTCTGCGTGTGTAAGAGGTACAAGCTGTCAAAGTCACTGCGACTCGAGGTTACATGCGCCGGCATCTCGAGGAGCCATGGTTCAGGCCGCCACCACCACGCATCCCCGAGCGGTTTCCCATAACCCCTTCTCCCACGACCGACCAATTAACATGGATCCGTGTCAGAGTTGCGCGAGTACTACGCCATCTAAATATGGATGTGGTGTACCCGTAGATCTGCGGCCATCGATTCATAACACCGTGCGACAATGGTACGGGGCTCGCTCACAGACCCGGGAATTCGGCCGGCGTCAGTGGCTTCAGTAGATGGTTGGGAGGTCGAATATGTAATCGTGCCCGCCCCACTTTATGTGGTTCGGCTAGCAAAAGCCCTCACCACCAAAGGTGGTGCTCGACAGCAAGGCGGGCCGGACACCAAGGCGGGCCAATTTTCAACCTAATAACGCTATTAACCTCTTCGCCTATAATGTACACCCTTCTCGTCCCAAATTTCTAGTAGATCTAGTACAGAATCCAGACGCCATTTACGTGCCTTTTTAGCTGCTTCAAAAAACGTCCTCTTGGCGTGGTTGTGGCGCCTTTTGTCGGCTGCCTCAACAACCCGACGAGCAGTATCAAGGCGGTCATTCTCGTTTTGCTTGACCATCTCACGCGCGTTATCCACAGAAAGAACGCCACCAGTTTGTAGGGCGTGATATTTATGAGCTCTACGTCGCTGTGATAGTAATTGAGCTGCTTTTGTACGCCCAAGGTCTCTCTTCGTCTGTATAAGCTCAGTAGCTGCAATAAGAGAGCCGCGGATAAAACGACTGATATTGCGTGCAAACTCAGGCTCAAGGGATGTATCGTCTTCTAATACCTCCCCTAGCTTGTTGGCAACCTTATTTATCTGCCTGAGTGTTGTGGGCGTCTCAAAGTCGGAAGAGTTGTTGTGATATAACGGCGGCGGCGATGGTGTTGATGTGTAAATTGCAGCTCGTTGTTCAAGGGCCTCAATTACAGGCTGTGGATTGTAGGGTGAAATTCCAGTTTTTCGAAAGGCTGTGAGAATAGTAGTAGTCTTGAAAGCTTGTTTTCGTACAGCTTGAATGCAAGCAAGGAATTCAATCTTTGTAATATTCAACACGCCGTCTCGAACAATGATATCCAACGCCTTTGCATGATAATGCTTTAGTGGCTGAAATATCACAACATCAAGAGGTTGAAGGATGTGTGTAAGGTGCGAGGGCAACGCAAAGGGAATTATATCGTGCTGTTCGCAGTATTCAACGAATTCAATTGTATGGTGTGATCCGTGGCCATCTAGGATTAAAAGGCGATATCTGCCTATTGGCGTTGCAAATTCCTGAAAATGCTGTATCCAAGCAACTGCAATTTCGTCATTCGTAAAGCCGGTTGGTGAGACTGTTATTTTGGTATTAGCTTCAAGCTCCTTTATCCGATACCAGGACTCCATGTGTTTTTGCCCTGTAAGGATAAGAAAGGCAGGAATAACTTTGCCGCCAGCAGAAATGCATTCTATTGCTGTTGCAGTCTCCCTGTTTTCTGGCATTGAAAATAGATGCGCTCTTCTTCGCTTTGTAACAACTAAATGGTCCTTTCCCATTCCAATACGAAAGCCAGTCTCATCCATATTCCAGATATCTTCAGGAGGGACTCCGTACTGCTGAATAGCCTCTTTAAGCTTGTTGTAATAAGAAAGAGCTCTTGTCACATCTTCTGAAGCTTTTCGACTTGAATCAATCTTTTTTTGAAGACCTTTATGATAGTGATGCCGCTGGATAAAGCGTGTAGTCCATCGCGTTCCAACTTGCCTAGGCGGGGCAGTTGACGATGCCCCTCGGATCAGATCTCCGTACAGAGTGTCATGGTCAGAACTCATCCGAGCTAGGGGAATGCCAGATTACCATGTAGGCACGCCATGCCGCGTCCTAAATCATCTGCGAGTGCTGTACTCCGTCCGCTGGCAGCCACATGAGCGTTTCCAAATTTGGATAGACGCGGCCCAGACTTGTGACGGTGCTCGCAATGGGATGGTGTCAAAGCTGCGTTTGTAGACCGTCAAGCACGCAACGCCCGAGAATGCAGGCTTCGCCGGCATTTGCGTGGATATGCCGACGCCGAACGAACAACGCGACCAGACGACGAGGCACCTTGTACCGAGCTCTTCCTGGTGGCTTGCAAGACGACCGACGAGCTGTCACCCGGGAGCCTGAGACTTGATCTCGGGCAGACGGAAACAAGGCTTTCCGTGACAACTCAGGCCGTGTCGGAGACGCACATGCAGCGGCTTTCCAGTTGAATTATTACAAGCGGCTCGGAATACTTGCTTCATCGGGATCGCTTCGCTTAGTGCCGCCACCTGTCACATGTGTGATTCAGCCCAGCTCGCCGAATCCCGCAGAGGCGTATGTGGTACGTAGTCAAGTCGCACGCGGCGTCCCCATCGACAAGCCCGCTTCGCACCGTGCCGAGTTGAAGTAGCGGCGGCGGCGGCGGCGGCGGCGACGATTTCCGCAGCCCGCGAGAACGGGCTTGGGGGGCCCAGAAAGACGGATGGGCGGGGCGAGTCAAGCGTGTGAATGCGATGTGACGTGACGTGACTGACGTCTTCTGTTGCTCACAGACATGGCTGATACAGCCAGGCTCGGCGATACGTTTTGGGAAACATATACCAACCGACCAGCCAGCAGCCAATCTAGGGAGACGAGTTATTGTTGCACAGCATGACGATTACCTCAAAGAGAAAGCACCAGACATTACCAATCCCATTGTCATGTGCTGCTACAAACGGGCTGAACCATTTGATGCAAGTTTCTCTCAAAGAGTTCACTGACCGTTGGCTAGTCACTCGACCCCTTTCGCCCAGGGAAAGCCAACAACAGGGTCCAGTTGCGCATTATTTGATGCTCTTCGACAGGGTCGACAAGGCGGAAACTTTCGCCTTACGGAGTATTCTTGCTTGTCTCGGGTGATTCTGTTTTCAACAAGGTGTCGGTGATGCGCTGCCCCCCGAGACATTCCGCTTTCAGTTCAGCTTTTTGCCGGATACGCAAGCTTTTGACCAAAAACGAGAGGGGGTTCAATGCAATGCCTTGACTCGTGTCGCTGGCCCCTGTCTGCTCCGTAAGTGCCGAGCACAGCTCGTCGTTTCGAGCATTGCGGCAAACGGCTTGCCCCGGTGCAGAATCGGTGGGCAGATGACGTCCAGGCTCGTGCGTCCCCTCGAGTTCTCATCACATACATGCACATGGCATTTGTTGTCGACGTCTGCATGCCGGGACTTGGGCTCAGTCGGCCTGTTGCGCCCTCAGACTTTAACTCCGCTTTGAGGCTAGCAAGGCTGATTTTGGGCTACACCCCCTCTCTGGTTTGGGACCGACTGATGGCGGAGCTAGAGAGAAAAGTATGAATATTTTTATGATAAAACCATGAGACCGGGGATTGATCTGCATACGCCTGGTGTTCGCGCGGGTGTTTTGTGCGACGGCTGATAGAAACAAGCCCCGGGGTGTTGACGCAGCGTGGTGTTTACACAACTACATACACCAAAACGATCACCTAGCTGTCTTGTGGTGTTGTGCGTTGCCAATGATGGCGTTGGAGCTCGTTTGAATCATGTGATGAGCCGTTTCGATGCCGCTCTGTCAATAATGTCAACAGTGCTGCTGGTAGACACGGCGTCGATGCGGGAATCTCACGTCGTAAGTCTGTATATATTTAACCCGAGCAACCGTGCTCGTGGTCTCTGCTTGGTGACAGAAGCGCCTTGGACAAATACATCGCCGCCGTTACGGCTAGGGTGCAGGTCGCCACGAATCAAGGAGATCGTATTAGGTTTCCCGGCGCCGTGTTTGACAGCGTCCCCCGAGTCCGAGAACCTCTCCTTCTTATTTCATTGCGCAGTTTCGCCGGTCTCCCACTGCATTCCTTCATTCCCTCCGACTTCATCAACAAGGTTCAAGAGCACGTCTTCAACCGTTGGCCCGGAAATTTGACGAGGGATATGAGCATGTTCCAATGTGCGAACGACTTCCGCCGCGAGGTTTGATGAAGGCGCAACGTAGGTGACCATGTTAAAGAATTCCTCGCGTCTGACGCTGGGCATCATGGGAGCATGTTTCATGTAGTTACTTGGCGTTGAGAACATGCACCCGATAACCAGTACCAAGGTTGTCTTTGGGCTGGGCAGAGGACCCTTCAGCTCGAATTTGCCCCTTGAAAGAATAACGATATTGTCCGCGAGCAAATCGGCCTCGTCCAAGAAATGCGTGGTCCTGATGATGGTCCTGCTTCCTCTTTCTGACAGTAAAATATCCCAAATCCTCCTCCTCGAGATAGGATCTAGACCGGATGTGACCTCATCCACGCAGCACATAGCACTTACCTCCAGTTAACATCATACCCAATTGTAGCTTGCGCTTCTGGCCGCCTGAGAGAGTCTTTGACTTGGCAGTCGACACTTGACTCAGTCTAGCAGCCTTAATCAATGCTGCCGTCTCCTACTTGGTGCGTGTCGCTGCCGCGACTTGAGCTGATTGGAAATGGTGATATGCTCTTGTACGGTAAGTTCATACCAGAGCACATTTTTCTGCGGTGCGATTCCAAGACCACCTCGTGTCGATCGGGACCTTCACCGCCGTGAAGTTGCTGATAGCTGCGATAATAGCCAGAGTTGTATTCTTTCTGCTACCGTTTGCACTAAGCAAAGCTAGGATTTGACCCTTGTTCGCGATCAAGGTGAGTTTACCAACGGCGACAACCTTAGGCTGTGGTGGCGAGACCAAGGACAAGAATCGACGCAGTAAGCTTGGACGGTAGATTTTGGTCATATCCTTGACACGAATTGACGTCGTCCGCGGTCTGGGCGACAGCATTCTCTGGCGACGATGCGCTGCGAACGCCAGTGGCTATCCCAGGCAGGGCGCGCTCTAAAAAGGCAGCAATGGAGGGACAGACAACGAACTGCAAAATTAAAAATACCCGCAAGACGATTCCAGGAAGTTGCGATGGGCTATCTTTATGAGCTTTGGTCATACACGCTCTTTGGCCGTCCTGCTCGTACCGAGCAATATACGTAATGAAGTAGACAGAATTGCGCGAAGTAAACAACGGGCCAAGTATGGTGACCGTCACTGTGCTCTGATCTGGAGCCGTCTGCGCGGTAATTCCCAATGCAATCCATAACACGGTGGTGACCGAACCAGACATCTGGGCTTTCTTCCAGACACATGCGCCAAACCAGGGACATGCATGTGACTGCCAGTCCACTGAGGACGAAAAAGACAATCACAATTCCGACGCTGGTATTTCTCCAGATTCGGGCTCGACAGATTATGCATATAACGACCCAGCCGGGCAAGCAGGTGATGATGAAGGCAATTTCGTGTGACAGCAAGCGCGTGCGAGTTGTCGGTGCCAGCCCCTGGTTGCAGGCATCATGGCGTCGATGAGCTGAGAAATACCAATCTCTCTCTCCGTTGCGATCACGCCTGGCATGTGGTAGCATACTCCAATCAGGGCAATCACGAATGATACACTCAAGTAGTCGATGAATGTCTTTTGATATTCGCGAAGCACCCGTGCTTGACGTTCATCTCCCGTCTCCTGCGTGTAAGGATACTGTTGCAACTTGGAGGGGAATGACGATCTAGCAATCGCCGCAGCAACGGCACGTCGCAATGGCAGAGTGTAGACTTCGGCATCATTCTCCCGGCGGTCGTTTCTAGAGTAGATACCCAGCCCGGCATCCGCTCGAAGCGTGTAGTTCCATATGCCGCCGCTGCCCTCATCAGGGGAGTAATAAAATACGTACCGCACCGTAGCAGTTGGAGGTGCCGCGAGTGGTGCTCCGGCAAAAAAATCCAGGGCCATCTTCGCTGGGAATCTTGGTCGCATTCCTGCCTGCGTCAGTGACAGTCCTCGGAGCGGAGTCAATAACGCCATCAATTTGTCCACCAGCATGTCCCGTGTTTACGAAAGCGACGGTATCGCGACCTCCTCGGGCTTTGGTTGACGCCTCTGCAGGAGAGAAGATGTTGTGAGGAGTTCCAATTCCGAACTGATCATTGGGCTTGTTGAACTCCCGGCTGAGACCGAGGTAGAAAGATGCGATGATAGGAAGAACTAGGGCGCTGTAAATGGTGATTGTGGCGTGATGGGTGAGAATGATTTTAAGCGTCTTTTTGGTGAGGCTTTTTGTTTGGCGGTACAGATCCACGGGGAAGAATCTCTGACCGTTGTAGGCTCCCTGTTGCGATGAAGCTTGTTGTACCGCGAGTTAGTTGATCGAGGTCAGTCGCTCGAGGGACTGAAGCTAGACGGGGACGAGCTGCATTGATGAAGCCATGGGGATAGTGTGGTGTTATTGCGGCGGAATTGATTTGATAAACACCATCAACCTCAACTGTTGCAGTGGATCTGTATCGAAGGGCTCGCATTCTAAAGCGAAACTTTACAAAAAGAAAAAAAAAATAGAGTGAGACCAGTGTCTCTGCTGTTCGTGATGAGTACGTAGTTGTGAGACAGGGAGCACAATGAAAGAGAGATCAAAAGCCTATTGGGGTGTTGGGGGTCTCCACTTTCAAGTCCAACAGGCCAAGTATGAATTGTTGGGAGATGTGAAGTGTGTATAAAAAAAATCAGAACGCCGTCATAATGTGTCCGGCATTGTGCGGTTGTAGTTATTTGACTTCACGGGCCGTCTGCCATTTTGGACCGCCGTGTGGATCTTCGCAAAATCGAATGGCTGTGCTTGGACTCTGACGCTGGGAATTAGCTTGGTAGGGCTGATCTTATTTGCGCCAAAGACTGAATTTGTTTCCGAAGCAGTATGTAAACCAGACCTTTCTGCTTCCTCATTTGACCCTCTTCAATACAGCCATAGGCGGAGCCTCTCTCTGTTTGGCATGGTCCGCAAGAATAAGCGCAGTGTTATCTGCATCATCGAAACTAAACGGGGCAGCTCAATGGCTGGCGTAACCCAGACAGAGGAGTTGACGTATCAAGTCATAACCTTTTTGGCATTGCCGCATTGGCCTCTCAGGACAATAAGTTGCGGAGATCATCGCCGAACCAAGCTCTCTTTGCGACCGACTTGACACCTCCATTTGTTTTCTGTTGAGTTGTGAAGACAAAGACAAATTGTCAATATCCTTGGTACCTCATCGCACAAGCCGTCTCGTCCCCGAACGAATAAGGATCAGGACCAAGCAGCCACAGAAAAGCAGTCAGCGGCGCAGCCAGACCAGGGCGCCGTAGATTCTAGGCGACCTTAGACCGAACCTTCGATTGTATGTCAGTTGTCAAGTGAAGCGAGGCCAACGAAATCTGCTAGGAATGGTCCTAGGGGAACATGACTCTTACTTGCTTGGAGGCTTTTGTCCGATCATGCAGCAACGAGAGAAGGCTTTGCTATTTTGCCAATGCTTCGTCATGCCAGACAAGCCAGTCACCCGCGACAGGAGTGGCCTATGGGGCAACGTAAAATTGAAAATCTTTAGCAGGTTAAAGCCGCTCGATTCATCGACTTCTGCAAGCCTCAAGTCCGATATTTTTTCGTACGCAAATATTCCACAGCAGTCATGTCGGACAGGGATCTGTCGCTCGAGAACTGGTTGCTATCATGAAGCAGTTGACCTGCTGCCTTGCGGTTGGCCACGGCAAATTCGCCACCTTTCTGTCGCAATCCGCCCTGTTTTCTGTCAAGGAGTCACCTAGTTTTTTTGTCTCTTGTTGCTTTCCTTTACAAACGTGGCGAAGATTGCTTCTGAGGAAACATCTCCTGCACAAGACCCTGTCGGAAGCGGGAAATGATGCCCAAGAAGTGTGCTAGACGAACAACTTATTTGGTCAGTGGTGTTGGAAAAATCTCATTTTCACATCTAGACTGGCGTTGCTTTGGCTTAGTAACACCAACCTACCCTATACTGACAATAACACTACCGATACATTGGCAAGACTTGAATACTGCTCCCCGATGTCAAGCATCTGGTAAATAGTATTGGATGAGCAGTACATATCCTATCTCCAGGACGATAAAGACTCATAGCCGTGCGTCATCGTAAGTTGCTACCCTCACATTCGTGAAAGGTAGACCACGTACCTGGCATATATCATGAATGTTAAAACTCGCCACAGACAGGTTCTTTCAACGTGTAGTGCTGTGGAGCCTGTCAACATTGTGTCACGCTTGTTTTCAGCTCAGAAGGATTTGGCGATGTCAACCATTACGCAACGCCCCACGGACGGACAAACCATGGTCAACAAAGGATGAATTCCGCGGGGAAATTCTGCGAAGGCCCCTAAAACCCGCTACACGGCTTAGCTCTCACTGTTGCTAGATAAAATTTGGTATTCTTTGCGCATCCCGCCCTCTACCAGATTGTAATGGTTTCACATTAAGTAGGTGCCGGGAGACATACATAGGAGAGTCGATATAAGGTGGAGGGAGGGGTCGCAAGCGAAGCCGGGTATGCGTGTTGAGGGACCATTGGCCATAAATAGCGTCTGTTACCATATCTTTGGGTTCAATGCAATAGTTGGCGGGGGCAAAAAATTGACTACACGGCGGCGCAGTCACATGAGTACACCCAAAGCAATCCGCGACAATAAACCCTGAAATATCAGTACGCAAGGCGGAATACTATCTCTTTAGTTATGCAGACCTTGTAGGCGCGCCAATATGAGCACAACCCATGCCCATAACTCATGGGGGGGCTGATGGGGAACGCTGGAGTCTTAGTAGATAAAGCGGCAAACTTCGGCAACAACTGCCGTGTTGTTCACCGGGGTTGCTGCCGTTACTCTGTATCCGTCAGAGCCATCGGGAGGCCTTGAATCACTCGAAGCGAAGCGAGAATTGTTTCCTAGCAACTGGAACTTGTTAACTCGGTAACTCGGTAATGATGTTGTGTTTGGTCGGCAATTTGGTCAGAAATGTAGTTCTGTAAGTAGTTAGACCTTGGTGCTGTGACGAGGAGGAGATCACTTTACTCTCGAGCACTCATCAATGCATCGATATTATTGCTCCAAGAAGTTGGGCGAGATCCGACCATGGCTTCAGATACCACCGGGTTTTGCATCCACCCCTGAGCGGCAGCTGAATTATGCACTGAGGCGAGAAACTGCACATTTACTTCTGCATTTACTTCTCCGTACTTGCTTCATCTTCATTCAGACACTTGAGTCTCGTTGGTTTCTGGTGAAGCTAAGCGGCGCTGAGAGAGATGCTCTGTCAGCCCCAGGGACGCGTTGTCTTGTGCTTAAACAGATCCTGGCTGCTGGTACGGAGCAGTTGATTTGCAGTCTTGAACATACATAATACACAGCAGATGTCTCAATCTCTGCCGCATTCCAGCCGTATTCCCTAGCGGAAGCTTTTGAATCATCTTGTACCCTGCAAAGCCCTCCTGATCGGCAGGCGAGCGAAGGTAGCGGACCGTTCACCGCTGATCGCCAGCACGTGGCAGCCGCAAGACATTGGGTGCCAATGCTGCACGCTAAAAACCTTGCTGACAGGTCGAGGTTGGCCAAGACATTAATTCGTGTATTAGTCTTTTTGGGCTCGGGAGTTTCGGGTTTGTTATGTAGGCTAATAACAACGTATTCTCTGCAGACAATTTGTCGTTTGTGGTAACGGTTTTCTTCATGGACCAGTCATTCGAGGTTACTTACAGATGAATCGTTTGGCATTAGAGCTGTGCCACCATCTCTAAAACCACAAAATACGATGCTCCAATTGGCTACCAGCATCGTTTGTACTGCTCGAAATTTCAGGTCGCAGATTTTGTTGTTTTTGGATGGATGGAGTCACCGTTGACGATACTGTGATTGGCCACACCGCAAGATGGCTTGCCTTGGTCGTGTAGTTGGAAGAACTGTTGTAACAAGCGCGCCAGTGGCTTGAAATATAGACGGCTGAATCTAGCGCTTCCGGAGACATGTCTCGATCAAATAATGGTTGTTATTTTCGATTGTCTTGCGGCCTGGGTAAGATCAATGTTCAGTAAGGCGTTCGTTCAGCTCCAGAAAGCTGTGCAGTGTCACCTTGTCCGCCCATCCCTGTCGGGCACTCCATCGCACCTGCCTCCCTGGGCCCTGGTTGAAGTTAGTACCCAGCCGAACTCGGCAAGTGCACCCCTTTTCTCCCAAGGGGTTGACCTGTCGCCCAGCCACTCCTACCGAGTACCTGGGACCTGGAACTCTCGACTCGACCCACACTCAGCGTAACTTTTTGCCATTCAGGAGCAATCGGTATCCTATGAGCATATGAAGTTCACCGTTCAATCAGCACAATCTTTACCACATCTGGGTCAGAAAATGAGACGCGGAGGCTTATTACACGAGCCAATAACGGATCGATAGCATGATACTGTATTACGCCCGTCAAGAATAAGACTAGCAATATCATGAATCCACCGAGTCACCGACCATGACGCTCGTGGGAATCGACGTTCTCCAAGCGGGAATCGCGACGACTATTGCTGAAAGAATTGAGGACTTATTAATGGCGCAAAAGTCTTAGCTTGGTATTTGTCTGGACCCAACAGTCCCAAGCGACAACCGAATGCGTTCCCCATCAGAGGAAGAGTCCCAGCCGTCGATTAATGATGGTGAAGCTCTAGCTATGTACCCCAGTATAACTTATTGTAAAACAGGGCCTCGAAAGACTACTATACTCATCGACATAATTGATGCCGGTCGTATTTGGCTGGGAAGATGCTTTGCTTTTCTCCGCAATCCTCGTCACGGCGGATACTCGTCAAACATCTTGCTCCCTCTCTTCCGGTTAACCGACTCCTCCACAAGTCGACTTGACACAACCTCACCTATATTTGGCCTCATGTTTGAAGATGAGGGGAATATCGGCATGAGTGGCGCTGGCCCACTAACCCGGAGACGCCAAGCCGTAGCATCCGCAGTGGTGTCGTATCTACTCCGCCTAGGTATCGGGGAGAACCGACGTGGCTTGATGATGGCTACCAGCTGTTACCATGTCCTCCAGCTTCAGCGAATCTTTTACCTTGCCGACAGTCGCGAGTCCCGGGCATCTTTTGGTGTCGGACGGTTTGCAACAGAACCCGGGCAGGTAAATTTTCGCCGCGGCTCAATGGCAGGCAAGATCGCTTATAGGAAGACAACAAAAGAGGTGTAAAAAAGTTCCTGCAACTGCCCAGGACTAGCAAATGGCTGTCATTCGCGGTTCAAACGACTTGGTGGCAGTCGCGAAATCACTTTTTGCAAGCATAGCCCTTGCATGTATACGATGGTGAGAAACGACGATACTTTGGGGAGCACATGGACCATAGACGCGAATTATCTAGGTATGTCCTGAACTAGGAAAGATTTCCCACGCGACCCTGATAGCCGTCAGCCACTCACACATACGTGCTACCGGTTGACCTTGCACTCTGATTCGCAGAGTAGGGCATATCATCTGTGGAAAAATTGGTCGGGTACACGCTCAAATCCTTTATCTAGCCAGGGCAGACTAAATGGAGTGAAAGGAGACAAACTAGCATGCACATCAGTCTATAAATTTTGAACGGCTACTTAATAAGGCAAGGCCTTAAGATACATCAACAAGCTGGGTCGTACCGATTCGTCATCGTCGCGTTATTAGTCCTGGGGGTGCAATTTGGCCATGAAACGAAGCCCGCATGGCTATGGATCCTTCCAGCGGTCGGCATGCAGGCGGCCATTGGGCTGCCAGCCCTCAGTCGAGATGCCATTTCTGGATCTCTGTTCAACGCTTGGTCAAGGGACCGCGGCCGCCAAAGCACAGCTAATGAGATTGCGGGCAAACTTCTTTGGCAAACAAAGAAGAGCGATTGCTGCCTTCAGCCAGTTGATTGTATCTCCAGCTCTTATGAACATTCGCGGCTGCTCTGTCAGCAACTCGTCATCACGTTCGTTCCAAGAATGGTGTCTGGTTGATACATTGGCCAGGCCTCGCTTGGTGAATAGTCTGCGAGACTTTTCGAGGTTGACAAAACAAACGAGTCTGTGGGGAGGGCAACGCCACAAGGACGCTCGGACGAGTCGGATCCAAAAGCCAGAATATTGTTCACTGAGGATACCTGAGGCAGGTGAAGAAATATCCGAGACTCTCAAACACGGAGCCTGTCGCCGCCTTTGTACGGGAATGGTGCGGTGACGACATGCCCATTTCATCGTCATCAAGTTATCGTTATTGAAGTTTCTTGGATTGGCGGTCTTGGGATGCTTCGGCACAATCACGGTGACTGGTCATAACATTGACGAATGGGATACGGAGTATTCAAGCACACAACTATACTCCGTAGCTTCAGCTGAGCCGCGGCGGACCAAAACCGGTCCACTCCAGTGACAGCCACCAGATCCTAAGGGTCGCATAAGCCGCAGGCGCACGTGTATAGGGAGTGGAGAGAAGGGGGTGATGTTTTTTGTGAAATGCCATTCCAATGGATAAGAAATGTGAACATCTGCTCGCCTACACGAATTCTTTGTGGCTTTGTTCTTTCTCTATTCTTGGCGAGTTGAAATCCTTGATTGTAATTACAGTCCGCATTGCTCTGAGGTTCTGTGAATGGGACTCTTTGCAGAAGAGGGAAGTTAATAAGGTAACGTGTGAGCAGACAAGTGGATGCAGAATGCTGACCAGGACTAGGGCGTGGAAGTCTTCATTTGATGAAATAAACACCCCATCCAACCAAATACGGTGTCTCAAACGGACTTAATTATTAATAAAGCATGAATTATACGGAGTCCAGTCACAGAACTGAACCGGCCCGTGGGGCTGTGAGACGCCACAACATATCGCAAAGACCTCATGAACCATCTAGTGACACACAGCTACTTCGGAAGCGCTCAGGCAAAGCTCTTTTCACGTCTCGGTTCCGTTTGATTGACCTTCATCGCGGGGCAAGGCAACAGGCTTCCTTAGCGCTGGGGATATACCAGGCCGAGGCACAACGCACTAGTACGCCTTCATGACCTGGCCACGGCCCCTCCGTCTCTTGCCATATCGCCTGGGTTCAGTGATGAGAGGGCCGTTCGTGGATCGTACCTTTATTATTGCTTGCGAGGAGACCCTGGATGCAGCTGGTCCCTGCTTCACAGGAATCGGCCCAGGTCGGGGTCTGGTGGGGAGATTGAACAGAAACAGCTCGTGCCGACGGGGGATGAAGAGGAATAGGCATATGGATGGCCAACACCTCCGATGGTCAAGTAATGTCCGTAAGGGCCTCAAATACTCCGTCACTTTGGCCTCTGCCCCTTGCCCTTGGTCGTCAAACCACCGAAGTGGAGATTCCAATCTGATCGAGACTGGCTTGCGCCGGTAGTTGTTGCACATTGGCTTTTGTTTTTTTTGCCCGGTCTCGACCTTCCCGCGCCTCTGTCTCCGCCAGCATCTCACAAGCCAATGCATGTCGCAAAAAGTACAGCACATATAACGACGGCAGGCGAGCACAGTCCCGTTCAGAAACATGCAGAAGTCATGAGTATCAGTGGTTTGTTGCCAAAACAAGTTCGCCTGTCGCACACGTGCTCTTTTCGGGCCTGGTGATGCCTTGGGGTGCATAAAAAAGGAGGCGACATCTACGGAGTATCCATCTTGCTATGCACGGTTTGGGAGGCTTTCCCAGCATGCCAGTGAGCATATCTATCTGCCTCTCGTTGGGTCTGTTATTGTTCAAGAGCTTTGTGCAACCCGAGCTGCTCATTGGAAGCACGTATTTGGAAGAGACCCAGGCGCCCAGGTTTTGCCTGAGACTTGTCATAGGCACTGGCTGGACGCCTTCTCACACTGCTGAGAATCTGACGGTCTCGTTTGACAGCCACATGGAGCAGACACAGAGCTGGGTGCCAACGATGAAGGTTGGCAACGCAGTGATGGCACCCCCTCCATGCTGATCTGGCCCAGAAACTGGCCGGGCTGTCATCCAGGGATCTGGTTGACGATGACGGGTCGGGGGCCCGGGGGTGGGTGCCCTTGGGTGGGTGCCCTTGCAAGTAACCCCCTTGAGCTCGCTCGTTTTGAATACTCTGTCTGCATGTCTCTGCGATCTCTTGTACACACCTAACCAGTCATAGTGAACGGTACAACCGCTTAGAGTCCAATGCTGAGCATGGTCGATTCCTCCAAGGAGGACAGGATTCTCGTTCGGTGTACTCCCCGGACCCAACCGCTTTGCCAGGTGGAGAGGGGTGGATAGCTCCAAGGGAGGAGGAACTCTCAAAATCGCGGTTCGACAATCGATGGTCGGTGTACTCCGTACATTTGGGCCAGGTCAAGTAGACTACTCAAGAGCACGCCGTACCCTTTACCGTATTCGATACCCAGGCGAGAGGCTGCCGAGGTACTTCTTTGAGTTGTAACTAACCAAACAAGAAGCTGGGGTAGTCCGATGCCACTACGAGCAGCTCGGCATTACCTGGTACCAGGGTTCCTACCGGTTGACAGACATATACATATGGAGTGGGACACAAAGGCACTTCCAACAATGCGTTTTCTCTCATTTTCACCATCCTTGGATATCGTCAAACTCGGTGTATAAACGGTGCTTCGCCAATTCACCCGTCCGTCGTCTAGCACGATTGACGAGTTGAAGCGGCGGATATCAAGAACGTGCCGTGGACTGGTTCTTTGGCCTCCCTGATCTCCCTCTGCGACCTCCAATTCGTCACTCACGTTGCGTTGTTCCGCACAGAACAATGTCCGTATTGACAGAAACGTGCTGGAACTACGGCTGCGGAACTCTCGCCGTGAACACGATGGAATTTACATCGATACCTCTCCCAGTTTCGCCTAGTTCAATGTCTCCTCCCTCAGTTTCACTTCCTCCACCAGCCTCCTTCATGACTACCGATACCGGCATGCCACACCCGCCCATCCACCGCGATGGACATCGCCGAAATACTTCTAGGATGCGTCCTACCTCATCATCGTTGCCAAACCCCAAGGAGCTTAGTATCGAGGATGATTGGACCAGAGTGAAGGATCCAAAGGAAAAGAAAAGAATACAGAATCGGGTGGCGCAGAGGACATATCGTAAGTCAGTCATCATGGATGGCTACCAGACTTGGCTTTCATAGTGTCAACTATCCAATAGTGGCCATGGTGTCGGTTCCCTGATTTATGCGCCCAGGACGCAATTTGGAGTCTGATGTTGACTGAGTCTTTCCCACAAGGTCAGGTTGCTAATCTCCGAACTGGTACAGGTCATCGAATGAAAGCAAGGCTTGGAGAGCTTCAAGCCCGATTGGATAGCCACGAGAGGCAGAGAATCCACGCAGTTGCCCACGGTGGTAATGAGATAGCCCAAGGGGTGAATGGCGGGCCCGTTGCGTTCAATCCCAATGCTCTCACCTCAAATAGCCACCCAAACATCAATGGCCTCGCGAGCATCAATTCGGTTCTGAAGCCTTCTCACGTCGGAGGCTCCTCCAAGTCGCATTTGAGCAGTGACCAGCATCCACCCAGCTTGTCGATGCTTCAGACCAACATTTTCAACCACGTTGCAGAAGAATCAGGTCCTTCGTTTTTCTCACACAACACCCAATTCTTGAACAGCCCCCCAAACTCTCACCCGTCGCCCCAGAACAACAACGGACTACCATCTCCTCCCGGGAGGCCAGAATCTGAGAGATCGAACAGGGTATCTCAAGATTTTGTCCTTGACTGTCTCCATTTTCAAACGCAGCTCTTGAACAGACTGAATAGCCTCGAACAAGACTCTGGCTGTCCGGGTCAGGGCCCTTACAGTGCTGATGGACTTCCACAATGTACGTTCATACCTGAAGCTATTGGACACAGGCGGCTTGTTCATTTTCGTGCTGATAAGGTATTTGATAGATGGTATTAGCCAGGATCCAACTGCCTGCATGGGGACTTTTACCCCAGCCCACACTGAGAGCGTGGAATTCGCTCTAGAGAGTGCAAACGATGTGTGGAAAGCCGACGGGCTTCCCCACAGGCTTCCCCAACCTTGTTCAACCGGATCGATGAGCTATTCTCCAATGTTGGAGGCAACAGCGTCCCGAATCGAGACCGAAATGAGTTCAAATACCCAGCACAGCAACAGCCCCCCTCGAGGGCCAACAGGAAGCGGACCGGTCCCGGCTCGCAACGCATCCATGGATGAGCGAATGGAAAGCGTAATAAGGCATATGCAGTCAAATGGCTTTCAGAGCTTCGACGACTTGGCCACGGCTTATTACAGCAGGACGTTCAGCGACACGACTCCAATGGCAGCAGGACAGAACATCAGCGGAAACAAACGGCTATCAAAAGTGATATTCGACGTTTCACAGACAGCTGACGACTGGACATATTGGGAGCGCCGCGATTTCCATGACGGGATACTCAGAGTTGCAGAGTCAATGGTCACGTCAGAGCTACCAGCAGTGGACGATGCGCTCCTCTCTCAGATTCGCTCCCTGGTCGAGACGATCGATGCCCAGAACATAAACAAAGCAGAGTCTCTGGAGTCTGTGAAGAACTTGATCAAGCATGGGGTAAGCAAGCATGAATACGACACCGACGAGCCATGGAATTAGTCGCTAACCGCTTTCGGTGCGGTTAGATGCCCAACAGCTGGGCGCTGCACATGACTCTTGCCAACGGGACGGGGTCCAGATGGGACAGCAGCCCGTCGGATATTGCCCTAGCAACTACGTTGCTTCAGCAGTTTGTTGGAAGGCTACCAAAGGATAAACTAATGCAGTTGGTTGAAGCTTGCCTGTGAAGGATGATGTTTGAAGCAGCGCTTGTTGTCCAAAGTGTCTTCAAGGGGATGGCAATGGCGACAAGGGTCAGGGATGGACGCTGGCTACGCCTTGCATGTTCCGGCCCGGTATTTCATTTGAGCTTTGGCTTCTGCTTTTAGGAGGGACAGGGGAGTTAACGGCGGCGGTCATTGGAGCTGCTCTTATGCGGCGAATCCGGTTCATTTCTGATTGGGATATTTATTTATCGTCTGAGCTTTCATGCGAGTGGGGAGGGTGAGTCAAGGGGTTGTTGGCCTCTGGCAGACAGGACCGGCAGGGCATTACACCGGGTCGTCATGTACTCCGTCAGTTGTGTACCCAAATCGCGTGGGATACTGGCCGTCGCCTCAGCGGCTATTGCCAACACTTGTTCGCAGGGCCTGGGTCGGCGGCGGTGTCATTCTGACGATGGCGGCAATAAGAGCTGACGGTATGGCAGGCAGGCGGCCTGGAGATGGGACCGCCAAGCTCTCTGTTGCAAGTACAAATTGTGACACTGAAGAGCTTTGAGCTACTTGTTGACAACTTGTTCAATTAGTCTCGAAAGCTTGTCACGCTCCAACGGCGTGCGTACTACATCGTAGGAGTCCGATGCACTTACATGAGAAGAGCATTGGTAGCAGGGACAGAGCAAGAAATTGGATGTACTACGGAGTACTCGGATGTACGAGGCCAGCGGGCTGGCTGAGCAACTCACATGAGCAAAAGCACATGTGGGATGAAGTGAGGAAGCAAAAGGGGAGGAGCTTGAAAGTTCCTCGCTGTTGATTGACTCAATGTCTGATTGACTGAATAAAAAAAAAGAAAGAAGGAAAGAAAAAGAAAGAAAGACTGTGGGGGCTGTAAGGTTCGGCACGGAGTAACTACCATCCTACGAAGTACTTGAGTACCTCCTCAAGTACACCTTCATTGTTGGGAAGTGAGGGGCCGGGCAACCGACGAAGGCTTCCACATACAAACCCATATTCGACACTCGACAATTGAATCTCGGTACTCGAACATCTGGTTGTCTGCCCCTTGTGCCATGCATCGCGGCCCACGGATGGGCGTGCAGTAACAGGGCTGCCCGAATCGGACCTTTGGACTCCCCTCTCCCCCTGTCTCCCGCCTGTGGTTAATCTCTTGCCTTTGCATCATCCCAGATCGCTGAAAACGACGGGCCACGTTACGTCTCTCAACACCCAGATGCTGTGCGGGCATTGTGTTCACCGTTGAGCCATCCTTTGTCCTCGACTACACGCGGCGTGGCCATCAAGCAACGACACGCCACCGATGAACAACGTTGCCACGGTATAAAGCACAGATCTTGCTGTTGGCTCTTGCGACAGATCCTGCATCTCTTTGTATCCGGAGCATCGAGTACGTAGTTACCAGGGGCGAATTTGGTAAACGAGACTCCTATCTCGGTCTTGCCCCGTCATTTCTGGACATCGGACCCCCCCTGGTCTTCGTCCACCCTCTTTTCCCGCTTCAAGAATCTTAGTCACGAACCTACGATTTGTTTCCGAGCGTTGACCAAGCAAGGGGCCCATCGCCCATCTCGAACAATGTTTCCGGGTGGCCCTAACCCGACGCAAGTGCAGTTCGTACCCCCTGGCAAGGCTCACAACCCCCCTCTCCCGCTGGTCTTGATTCACGATGGCGGCGGGACGACCTTTAGTTACTTCGTCCTGGGGAGTTTAGGTCGCGATGTATGGGCCGTCCACAATCCCAACTACTTTGAAGGATTGCCGTGGGAAGGAGGTATGGACGAAATGGCAGAGAAGTATGCCCATCTCATTGCGGGGGAGTTGAGTGGCCCGGTAATGTTGGGTGGTGAGTTTTTTTTTCTTCTTCCCCCTTAATGTTTTTTTTTCCTCTCCTAGCCCACCCTTCCAAGTCCTTTTGGTACAGCCTAGTAGTCGGGCCTTAGAGGGGTGAGTACGGGTTACGGGAAAGGAAATGAATGCTAATATTTGTTGTTGCCAACAGGATGGTCCCTCGGAGGTTATCTTTCGCTGGCTGTGGCACGAGTGATTGCCACCAGCCCAGGGACGTATCCTTTTTCCGTGGCTGGCCTTCTCATCATCGACTCACCGTATCATGTTGCGAGGAGCAAGATCACTGTGCCGACGTCCAAGCCCGAGTTGGCCGGCTTGCCGCCAAGGGTGCAGAAGTCGTTCAGTAACTGCGATGACATGCTTCAACACTGGGACCTGCCGCCGTGGGAAGCGTCACCCAGTGACGCCGGCGCAGAAGCCAAGTTCACCGTGGCGGGTGAGGCATTCGCCGTCCGAAAAGGGGAGGTTTTGCACAAGCCCGTCGGCTCCGATGTCCACGATGACAAGTGGCAAACGATTTCTGTGCAAACCTATGTCGGGGACGCGCAACTTGACACATGGCGTACCGGTGCGGGAGGTAGCCCACCGCCAGCCGTGCTGATGCGCTGCATCAAACGTGCCAAACCGAAACAGAGCAATGGAAGCAATGGCCGCAGTGAAGTTGCCGCCGCGCCGCCGTGTCTGGTCGATCTCTTCCGGGATGAGAAGCTGCTTGGATGGGAAGCGCGGCATCCCGACTTTATCAAGGCGGTCATTGATGTCGACGCGGACCATTACAACCTCTTTGATCGGACGAACACTACGGGGTTGGAAACTGTGACGGCACAGCTGGTGACGGCGCTCGATGTTTTGGATGCCTTGAATGAGGCGGCAACGAAGCGCGCCCAAGGGGCCTAGTTGGGGGCGTACGGGGATATATAGAGACTTGACAAGCACCAGGGCGATAGAACTTCTTTCTTGGAGTATTACGTACCAGTAGACGAGATACACCTGCATATGAAGCGGGCCTCATTCTCAAACAGTCAACAAGCCCTAACCCTTGCCACTCGCAACGCTGGCCCGTTCAGCGCAGAGCATCTCGGCCGAGCTATCGATTGCGTCCGCCCAGAGATGTGCCTATCGTGCCGTCGACAGGCCTGGTGCATCTCGGCAATCACCCCATGCCTCCCTGATGTGTAACTTCTCATGCCAGCCTTGCTCGCATACCCATTGTCGTGCTTGGCCGCGTTGGGGGATGTATCCTTCATACGTCCGTGCAAACTCCGCTCTTCTCACATTTGACGGGATGGTAACTACTAGTACTTCCCATTTGCTATGCCTGGAAGTCTATATCGCCTAATAACCCGAATAAACAGCCAGATGCCGCTGAGCTGCATGCCCCAGAGCAAAGCCAGCGCGGCGCAGCACGTCATCTGCCTCTGTCTGAAGCACATCATCCATCCATCTATCGCTATCCCGGCTCCATGGCCCTCAGCCCACGGGCCTCTTTTCGTCTCTCTCGCGGGGAGGTAGGTCCTGGCGGGCCGGAGAGCCCAAGCGTAATGTTGCGCCAAAAGTCATGCACCAGAGACATGGCTCCATATCACGCATGCTTCTGAAGTGTGACATCGAGTGCAGCAGGCAAGGTACGGAGTACTCCGTAGGTGTTTCTGTCGCCCCACGCCACCGTGGCCACGACCACGTATGACAGATCAGGTCGCAGCAGAAGGCAAATATCGGACAAGTACGGAGTATGGAGGAGTCCCGGCCGGCTCGAAAGCCACAGGCTGCCTGGAGCCCTTGGGGTTGCACGGCACACCCCGAAGATGGTCGCGAGTGCTAGTCACGTACGGACGGAGCGTCGGCCGACGGCGTCACCTGGATATCCAGTCTTCAGTCTTTTCCACCGCGTGCCTTGTACTTGGTCTAGAGGACATGTGGCGGTAATGTACAGAACGACTGTGTAGTCGCCGGGAACCAGGGGCTGGAGATGACCACGGTCTCTCTCTCTCTCTCTCTTTCTGGGTGTGTGTGTGTGTGTGTCGGGTGACGGCGTGTCAATTGCAGGCGACCATGTTTTTGGCAGCCGAGCTGGCTACCCTGCGTATGTACGCGATGACGGGCCTCGACGTCGGTTTCAACCATCGCAGACGTTTGGTTTGATACGTACTCCGTAGGGCGGGAGGGAAAAGGTCGTTACACAGCGTCGAACAGCTTTTCTTTCTTTCGTGACATGTGACGGAGCGGGCGGGAGCAGCGCACACGTTTCGAATCACAATCTGGACGAGTGCTCGGAGAAAAGGGGGTGACCTGATTCGAACTGACGTGTGAGACTGTCTTGCGCGGCCGTCCGCTTCCACTGTGGATGGGCATGAAGGAAGACGGGGTCTCGCTAGTGGCGGCTTTGTTTAAGTTACTTGTTTCTTCATGAAGGACAGGCTCTCCAATGTCCCAGATGAACAGAGGGCTGTCATGCGGCCATGTTTCCGGCTGGAGATTTTTCTCAGCGCGTACAAGAACGCCACGTTTCAGTAGATGACAAGGCCTGGTTGGGGTGTATCGTTTTGTGTTCGCTGGTTTGGCCTTGTGGCTTGCGATTTGAGAGGATGTATTCTCCGGCCCGACATGTGCGCGTACATCGGTTGCTGGCTTGCAATTGATGCCATCTGGGGCCGCGTCGCAGGGCCCGAGCCTGGATGCCATCTCGGATAGTGTACTGAGGAGACTCATCACAAGGCGGACTCGTATTGTTTTCTGCATGATTCACACTGAAGCCCGGGGTGGAATGCTTGTGGAGGCCACGCCATGCAGCGGAAAGTGCATGATTACAGATGTCGTTACCCTGTGTCTGGCACGGTAGACGGTGCTTGTAAGTTGTCAGGCCGAAGTGCCAAAGGCTTTGACTGCTCTCATGGCAGCTGTCCCGGTACAAAGCTGCTTTTCTGGCCTTTGATGAGCTCCAGCATGGCAACCAGGTCGTCGAGGCTTTTATTCATGGGCAGATCTCGACATGGGGAGTGTGGGAGCCACAATGCTGTGACGTTTAGCTTGGTGTGCTGCGATAGTAAGAAGTGTTGACGAGACGGAAGAGCTGGTTGCAACAGTATGCTATTGAGCAGAAAAGGGAGAGCGGAATGCCTGGTATTACTTATGATGATGGTGATGATGATGATGTGGTTCGGTTCCGACTTGGCGCCTGAGGAGAGGAGAGCGCCCGCGAGGGTTGGAGACTTCCTGAAACGGCAATCTCGTGCGCAACATGCATCCCTGCGTCCTGCGTCCTGCGTCCTGCGTCCTGCATCCTGCAACTTGCACCTCTTCAACCGGCCAGAAATCGTCATCAGCAAAACTTTCTCTTCCGTCGTCCCCTCGCGTCAAAAATGTCGTCTAGCACTCGCGACAAACTCTACCTGCCCGTCGTCGCCACCCAGCTCGTCGGCATGCTCAGTACGCACCCACCAAACCTCCGCGGCCAAGACAATATGAAGACGACACCAAGCTGACTCGGCCGTCACCAGCCCTCGACCTCGTCCCGTTCTATCCCAGCCTCCTCTGGCAATCCCCTTCGGCCCCCCTTCATCCCATCGTCTCCCTCCGCAAGTGGTGGACAACTCATTCGGGCGACCCCTACTTTGCCTCGTCCACCCGTGAGCCCTGGTTCGAGGCCTTCCTCTACGTCGAACTGCTCATACAGCTCCCGCTGACGCTGTACCTCGCGTACAAGCTCGGCTCGATGAAGCCCACCTCTGGACCTACCGAACTGGCCGGGCTAGTCTACGCATGCCTGACCTTCATGGGATCCACGGCCTGTGCCTACGATATCTGGTACATGGGCGCCGACAAGCTCCGTGCCGAGCATAAACCGCAGCTGTTCTGGGGCACATATCTGCCTTTTGCTGTGATTCGTAAGTTCCCTTCTGATGTGTTGATGTATCCGGTCCGGGCTGGATAGGCTAATGTCTTCTAGCCGCCCTGATGGCCGTGGACATGTACCTCAGACTGCTGGCGAGGGTCTACGACCATCCAAAGAGGCCCTAGATGAGACGGCGTGTGGTTATACACAGACACTGTACCTGGCCCGTCAAGCCGCGTGTATTGATTTGACCCTTGGCTACAGAAGCCAGCTCAAAAAGAAAGCTCCGTTGACATGATACAAGAGTCCTTCGGCACAAGGTCGCCAGCCCCAACTCCCCATGATGAATCATGCAAATCGGCCAAGGAACGCCAGGCAATCCTACCCGTCATGTCATGCCACGTATGCAGAATGTACAACAGAAACAGGGAGAAGAAGAAGAGAGAAAAGAAAAGAAAAGAGAGGACAACCGCTCAGTATATTGACCCTCCCGCTCAGTCCTTCTTTGTGTATCCCCAGCCGTTGCCAAGGCCGCCACTGCTCAGCCCGTATCCCAACGGCGTGGCGCCGCCCATGGACCTCCCCTTCAATCTTCGCGGCAGAACCACGCCGAGGGTGTACATGGCCGCGACGACTACGCCGGCGCCAAACGAGACCAGGCTGTAAAACACAGTGGTGGCGTAGATGTGGCCGCCGAGCCCTCTCCACTCGACGCGTCCCTCCGTCTTTGGCAGCGCCGGCGTGGGGAACCAGCGCACCGAGAACTTGAAGGGCAGCGGCTCCCCGGGCATGATGCGGGCCGTCTCGGTGCCCTCCATGTGGCTCAGCGGGCTGGTGCTGTAGGCAACGGCCGAGTCGAGGACGCCGCTGTCGTGCGGCCGCTGGTGGTGCTTGGGCATGCTGTGCAGCAGCACGTTCATGTGCGTGCTGATGTGCATGTGGCTCATCTGCAGCGTGCCCGCCAGCGCAAACACCAGCGGCACGTACTCCTGCGCCGGGGGCTTCTCGCCCACGACCTCGACGTGGGCGGGCGGCCTGGCCGGGAGACGACACGACATGGGCGCGTCGCTGTGGATGTAGAACTCGAGGAGGTGGAAGAAGGGGTCCGAGATGAAGTCGAGCGTGCAGTTGAGCTCGCCCTCGTAGCCGTAGTGGAACTCGAGCGGCTTCCCCGTCTCGTTGCACACGGGGAACGGGACCCATTGTATCTCGTTGTTCTTCTCAATGTGCTCGCCGGTTTCTCTGCGGCACGCCACGCCATGGTCAGCACCGGCCTTGCTTCTCCTCCATCCAGCACGGCTGCGCAGCCCGGGGCAAAGAAACTCACGAGCTTCGGTTCATGCACTCGACCTTGATGGGCGCATTGTAATGATACGCCGGGAGTCCGTCGACGTGTTCCTTGGTGGCGGCGCCGGCGACGACGCTGGTGAAGGCGATTGCGCCGAGCAGCGCAACTGGCAGGGCAGGCATCTCGGCTGTAGTCCGAGTGCAGAGGCAACATAGCATGCGCAGCAGGCTCTTGTTCGGTATGCCCGCCGCTCGCCTGCGGTTGTTGAGATGGAGCCGGCCTCGCACACAGTCGCTCGGCCGCGAGAAGGGGGCCAAGGCATACGCAGCTTTTCCGGTGCGAGAAGGTTGAAGAGAGTTTCGTGGCCATGTCGAAACCTGCTCGTCATCATTGGCCAATCAGGTGAGGCGGTTGCTGAGATGTCCAGGTCGCAGATAACTACCGATTGCACATTAAGGGGGGGGACCACATTTCTGTTTTTTTCTGGGCCTAGCGCCACGAGCATGTGGAAATAGGCCTCATGTCAGAGCCATGTTAGTGTGTATTGATCTTTATTCCGTTGCTTACTGAGTAATTTCAATAAAAAAAAGACAAGATAAATACAATCACATTCTGTTTCGTCTAGTTTCCCGTCAACGGTTGTCAGCCGTCTGTCTCATCATGTTGTCGTCGCTCATCCATGACAATCACCGGTTCTCCCGACTCTTCTCCGGAGACGGCCTTGTCCCGCTCTGCCTCGTCCGACACACGTCCCGGTCGGTTCCATTGCGTCACTTCCACCCAGACCAAGGAATCCAGAGCGTCTCGAGGACGGTATGCCGATACAGTGCACAATTTCTTGACTTTGAAATTCTTCATCCCGTCTTCATTTGCAACAACTTGGACGAGGATTCTCTCTCCACCATAGTTCCCGAGGAGGAGACATGGTGCCTTGTATCATGGTCCAGACTCCAGACTCCAGACTCCAGACCCGATGCAAATGTCCTCCACGGACGGCAACTTGATCAAGTCCTCCCGTCTACCTGCATGAATGCCGCATCATACATGGACATGTACGGAGTACTACTGAGGCCTTTGCAACTCGACGTGTTAATAACGGGCCAACTGGCACAGCAGTGCCGTGCCACAGCCATGGCATCTCCCCACGTACAGTCAAACCCTCGCAAGTTTAGCCATAAGTGACCAGACAAGGAAGTTTGTGGGGGTTATATTGATGTTCACTGCAACCATTTTATTTCGTAGTGCTCCGTACGTGTCAACCACAACATGGGTCAAGTGACGTGGAAGCAATCGCAGACGTATCCCAACAAGAGACTTGGTCGGAAAGTCAAGGTCCTGTTCTGCCCTAGTTATATGCTGGCTGCAAAAAAAAAAAAAAAATACGACCTCCTATTGGCTTTGGCCCCCCTTGCCATGCCACTCCCGGCTCGACTCCCAGCGTCTGAACTGCAACATACATGTGCTCCTCTAGGAACAAAAGTCGGAATCCTAGCGGCTTCCACGTCGCAGCGTACATACAGCTCGGTCTCCTGCCACGGAAGCAGGTGCTCTGCTTCTCGATCAACCAGGGTCCTTCCTGCGTGCGTCGAGGGCGAGCAGCACGACAGCAAGCTGCCACGTATATATATATAAGACGTCGAGCGCCCCCTCCGCTGTGCTGTCCCCAGATACGCGACACCAACGGCCAGCAACGAAGCCGTAGCCGTATATCCCGCCTCACGTCCCGTCATGCGTGCCAGCCTCGTCGCCGTGGCCCTGGCCGCCCTCGTCCCAACTTCCGTTGCGCTCGCCGCTCGCCGTCAAAACCAGGTCCTGGGCGAGTTCCGTCTCCACACGGTCAAGAATTGCTCAGCGGGAACCACCGGGACCTTGATGGCTTTTGATGACCCGTGGCACCGTGAATGCCAAAGGTTTACCGGCATCCCGATCCAGTCTCTCTTTGTTACTCGGCTGAGCGCGCATTGCACGCGTAAGCTTGGCCCCGGGGCGATTTTCGCCACGCCGCAGAGACGCGCGCTGACCACGTGGCAACAGTCTACCTGTACACGGATGAAGATTGCACCATGGGCGAGCAAGAAGATGCCAAGGAATATGAGTGCTACCACGGTGCTCCATTTTGGAGGTCATGGAAAATAGCGTGCTAGTTGGACACGGCTCTCGGAGACGAGGCCCGGATCGTGGCTGAGCCGGGGACCGTCGCGGTGCAGTGCGTGATACGGGGTGCTGCGAAGCGGTTTAGAGTCGGAGGCGTGAACTGGGGGCTTTTTTTGTATCAGTCCGAGTCGAGACTAGACACAATGCCCGGGGCTGCCTACGTGCCGAGCCGCCGTGGTTTCGAGGCGGTTGATGTCGAATTCCAACCGTGTCCGTCTGTGCCTGTTTAGTCCGCCGGAGCCTTGGTTTAACTGCGTACCCGGCCATCGGCGCCGGCTGCTCTCAGACACGTCGTTCCAGTTCCAGCACCAAGTCCCGTGACTCCCGACCCCCGAGGCGCACGCGCACCGCCACAACCCGCCGCTCGGCACGACCCGTCCCATCCTCACGTCTCGCATCCCTCGACGCAACCAACTCCCGCCGGCCGAGGCCATCGTGGACAGCCTGTTCTGCCTTCCGGGGTCGGGCTGTCGGGCTGTCGGGCTCAGGAGGCCCAGTGCTGACCCGGCCCGCGCAGACTTCGTCCCCCGAGAAAACTCGACGACCTCGTCAGACCAAACCGCCGAGCAAGCACGATGCGCTTCGGCAAGGCCATCGGCACGGCGTGCAGCTCCTTTGCCATCACCAACATCGACGACATCTTCGTCCTCGTCACCTTCATGGCCGAGGCGTCCACCACCAAGACCCTGACCCCTCTCAAGGTCGCCCTCGGCCAGTATCTCGGCTTCACCGTCATCGTCGCCGTCAGCATGGTCGGCTTCGGCGTCTCGCTCGTGCTCCCCTCGCAGCCCATCGGGTTCCTCGGCCTGTTCCCCATCCTCCTGGGGCTGTGGAGCATCACCGGCCTCTTCTTCCCCCGCCAGGAGCAAGACCCGGACGACGACGCCTCGCGGCTCGCGGGCGCCAGGAGCGTCGTCAAGGTAGCCCTCGTGACGGTCGTCAATGGCGGCGACAACATCAGCACCTACGTGCCGCTGTTTTCGCAGACGCGCGGGGCAGAAGTCGCCGTCTACGTCCTCGTCTACTACGTCCTCGTCGGGGCGTGGTGCCTCGTCGCCTTCCTCGTCATGAGGCAGAGGCACGTGCTGGCCGTGGCCGAAAAGTACGCCCGCTACGCCGTGCCCGTCCTGTACGTCGGGCTGGGCATCTACATCGCCGTCAAGTCGGACTGCTACCCGTGGACCGTGCGGCGCATCGACGCCCGGAGCGAAGGGCATCCGGGGCGGGTCGTCGTGGCCGTCGTGACAACGGGCCTGCTGCTGGTGTGCGTCGCGGGCATGCTCTGGGCGAGGATGCGCAAGGAGAGGAGGCCGTCCGTCGCCACGGCCGAGCCGGGCGCCGTGCTGGACGAGGTGCCGCCCGCCTCGGCGCGCCGGTCGACAGGTGCAGACGCGGCTGGGGACGACAAGGGCGGCGCGGCGCCGAACGTGCGACGGCAACATGATGCGCCGCAGGCAGAGGCCTCGGCCCCCATGGAGGCGTAGGTGATGTAGATTCTATATAGAGAGCGGCCATCGTCTCCCTGTACTTCTCGTCAGGCACTTACAATGCACAGCCTGTCACCACCTTGTTCCAAGTCCCTGTCCTCTGCCTGTCTTGGGCTGGACCTCAGGCCAGTCACGCCCATTCTCAACACGTCGTTCGCGTACCCCAGACAAATTCCCTTCCTTTCCCCCGTAGGCCGCCTCCATCAGGGCAGTCCGTAGACCAGACATCTTCACAAAAAGCTACCAGGCATGCCAGTCAACTGTCTGGCTGGCCCTGCGGCACGTTTAGCTTCAAGACTCACAACCCTGATGGTTCGACAAGCATGTACACATGCGGCACGGTTCCTGCCACTCATACGCTTTGTCATTCTTACCAAGGAACTAATCTATCATCCCGCGTAATAAGAAGAAGGAAATTATGCTACATGGTTGGAAATGTTCTCGTACAACCAACGCTATGAGACTGTCGCTTGAGCCCCCTCGCCCTCCAAGCAACGACTGCTGCTTCCCAATTAACCATCAAGTTTATCAAGTTCGACAACACCGCAATGCCGCCTTGTTTGCGTGCGCCCGTCCCGTTGAATCACATGAACCTCAAGCTCCCGGTGGGGACTCTCTCGATCAATCCTGAGATTTCCCTCCTCAGCGACCTCAACACCCGTCTGACGTCTGCCAGATCCGCGCCTCCGTTGTTGTTGCCCTGCCCTGGTGGAGGGAGAGCAGATTCGCATCGGCCAACGAGGTCGGCGACGGGGGGTCCGATAGATCCGCCCTTGCCGGCACCGCCGCGTCGACGCACGTCTGCAACCCAGTCGTTGACGACGTACGCTATGATCTCGATGATGCGGTTTCGAGCCATGCCGCTGAAGCCGTAGTCCTGGGTGTCGAAGATGTTCTCGAGCACTCTCACAATCATATCGTGGGATACGCCGAGGGTGAGGAATAGCTGTACAGGCCATGTCGGATCGGCGCCAATCGTGGCGTCCTGCTGGTAGGCCACTGCATAGCGACACAGCTCCGGAAGTAGTGTCTGGATGGGGAACACAAAGCTGTCGAGGGAGGTGTGGTGCGCAATGTTCTGGATCTTGCTGGAGACTGCCTCGTATGGCAAGGGGGGGGTAGGCATGCCCGGTTCGGGCTTCTCCTGTCTCGCCATGACTTCGTCGTGTGTCTGCTGGATCAGATTGCTCCACGTTCCCGCGATGGTGGTAGGGTTGCGGTAGTTGGCTGCGTGGTAGATCAGCAGGCATAAATCGTAATAGCCTGCTTGATCCGCATAGTCATTGAACAGCTGCCGTTTGTTAATCCAACGATCGGCACGTTTGCGGCAATGACGGTACGTACCTCTGAGAGCCCCTGAATTTTACCGTCGAGAGCAAGTTCAATCTCGGCCTTTCGCTCGGGGTCAATCCTATCGTCCGCCTTGAGCCGCTGCAGTAAGTCGTCCTGGATGTTGGCCACGTCGAGGAGGTCGGTAACTTGGTGGTTGACCTGCTGCTGCTGCTGTCGGCTCACACCAACCGTCGCGACGTTGGCATTAGCCTTGGCAAGGGACAGCAGCCTGATGCGTTCCTTGATGCCGATGGGGAAATCAGAGTTGGCCAGCTGGGCTTGAACTTCTGCGGCGTCAAAGAAACGGCTGCGGTTGGTGTAGAAGCGACAGAGGAGATCAGCATGCTCGACATTGGTACCGGCCAGACGCTCCAAAAATGTAATGACATGAGGGGAGTCAATAGCCAAGATGCGGTCCGTCCATCCTTGTTGAATGTACCACTCGTATAGATCAAAGTGAAACACTTCATCATCCGACCCGTTCACCACATCATATGCCTCTCGTCTCTTGGTGGCGATCAGAGTGAGCTTGCCGTCAATCATTTCTGGCTCAATACTTGACGCGGCATCCAAATGGCCAAGCACGTCATGAATCATATCGTAGCACCGCTTTCGGTCGTTGAACGCATTTGCACGGGGGTCTCCTGGTGGCTTGCCGTCATTGACCCAAGCGAGAGCCGAGTTACCGCGATCCTTTTCACGAGCAACAACAAGACATAACTGAACAGCTCCAGCGTAATATTTCATGTCGACATACTGCGTGACCGCAGCTTGCAAGTTGGCAAGCGCCAGGCTGCCAGCAACCTTTTCGAAAAGCTTCAAACTCTCGTGTAGAAGATTTCGGAATTGGTTAGTGTTGACAGGCTGCTCTGAAGCTCGCTTGAGTTGCTCCTGGGCCTTGAAGATGACGACGTCGTCGGGGCTGCAAAAGCTGCCGCACCGTCTTCGCAAGGCATCGGCTACGGTCTCGACATTAGAGCCACTCTCGATATTTCTGTTAACAATTGCCTTGACCAGAAGCTTGGCGAGATCCCTCCCATCGTCCTGTGAGAATAGCTTCTCGTAGCTGAGCTCTCTCAGTTGTTGCCGCGAGACTTCATCTAGTCTGGTGAAGATGTCGGCAACTCGCTCATCGAAAAGCATCAGCACAAAGGAAATGCCTTCTGAAATGCTCTCCATCATCTTCTGGAGAGCATGCAACGCTTGGTGTTCGGCCTGTAGCGCAACCTCCTCTTGTCTCGTAGAAACCCTTTGGAGATCAGATGGGCCAGACATTCCCTGTATCAGACCGCGGTTGGTCTCGATGAACCTCCGGAGCCTCTCCAAATTTTCTTGAGTGGTGCCAAGTTTGGACAAGGGAATCGCAGAATCAATTGTCATGCCACCGGTAGGCGAAACTCCGGTTCTGACAACGGGTGCCTTCCATAACTTGCGGATGAGACGGGATAGATAGAGAGCCAGGGCATCATGGCGGGAAGACAGTTTGACAGATTCCGTGGTCAGCGCTGTACCGTCGGTCTCGGCCATGGTAGGTTGGCCGCCAAAGTCGACAAACAGGGCGCGGGCTCTGTCCTCCGTCGCCTGATCGATAGCCCTCGTAGCGCCTGGCCTTCCATCTCCGCCGTGGCCGCAGGCAATAGCAAGGGCCGTTGAGATGGTCTCAACCCGGCCATACAACTGAATCAACCGGCGTGTAATGGTGTCCAAAACTTCATCGCCGGGAGCGTCGCGGATTGCAGCAGCAAAGGTGTCAACGAGACGCCGTCGACGAATGACGTGAATTCCTGTGTTGGTCAAAACGGCAAACTCGCTTGGGGGCTCGTCGAATTGTACTGCAAGTTCATTGCCGAATCCGAGCGGCTGCGCGGCCGCAGCAAAGGGCTTGGTGATGAGCCCAACGGCTTCCGCTCTGCTACCAATGTTAATCCAGCACCCCTGCTCAAAGTATCGTAGAGGTGTAGTAGGCGATACGCGCTTGATTCGTCCCGTCTCCGGTGCAGACACAAATAAGGTGTCTATATTGGCATCGCTTCCGCTACTCACAAAGTCCAAGAAGAAACCAGGAGCAAAACGAATACCTTGCCGGCTGGCCGTGAGCATGGTCGATTCCAGATCGACCACTGACTCTCCAGCCTGGCCAGTCGGGGCAAACTGTCCCGACCGTCTAGCGTTCTGGCTGGGCGGAAATTTGATAAATTGCACCTGCATACTTTGAGGCGCCAGGTTGGATTGTGATCCGTAGAGGTACGATGACGCATTTGTAGCGCTGAAGAAAAGTCGGCAGCCGGAGTCAGTCAGCGCCATGAGATGAAGTTTGGACGCCTCCTGCTTCGTAATTGGGCTTATGGATACTATTCTTAACTTGTCGGTAAGCAATTTGGATTGTGTAATCATGTGGGCAATGTCGCGCAGACAGTGGATTTTCTCCTTCTCAATGACCTTGTTCAAGCGGTCAGGCGCATCCATGTGATACGTTCGAATGGTCGATCTGCTTGACAGCGTATAGACAAGCTTTCTTGAGTCATCGACAACAATGTCGACCAGGTGTTCAGGCTCTTTGTGAGACCAGAAACTGGCCTGCAACGAGACTACTGATGCCCATCCCGGGTTTGTGTGATTGATTCTGCCGCATCTATTTGAGAACCACTTTTCCTCAGATTGGTAGTAAACCTCGTTGATATCGATGTCGCTGCTACCGCCAAAGAAGATCCGGCCATCGGCTGATCCCGAAATTACGCGAACATCATTGCCACGCAGAGGTAGGTTCATCTTGGTCTGATATAGCGCGACAGACTTGGTACCAGCAGGCGTTTCTGTAGCTGATAGACCAAGTAGGATCATCTCCGATGACGTAGCGACGACAAGAATATGTGTAATTGTCTTGACAAAAATGCCCGGCTTCGGAGGTACCAGTGCGACTGCGTGGATAGTATGCGTTTGTTCTTCGAATCCGATCAGCTCAGGGTCGGCGTGAGTGTAATCCCACAGGTACAAGGAATTGTCAATAACAACCCAGGCGTGGTTAATCTCGGCAAACAACCCCATCAAGGTTTGAAGTTCTCCCGCATTGTAATGATCGAATACTTGGTTCGGAATCGGATACATTTGCGTCTTGTGGAAAGGGGCCCAAGACGATTCGGATCTCGGGAGCTCATAATCGGAAGAAGCACCCTCTGAGTCCTCTCAATTAGCATGTCTTTATCCACGAGGTCTGCTTAGTGCCTTACGCCTGCAATACGAATCCAGGTCCGGGAAACTCTCGTCCGCTTGTAAAAAGGCATTAATAGCCTTTGCAGCCTTCACGACTGGGGGCACATTTTCAAACCGCGGCGTCGGCGGCGGATTGGAAGCAGCCAAGCCAGCATCTCCAGCAGCATTCGCCGGCGTCAGAGCCGTTGAGGACCTCGACGAAACTAAACCACCGCCATTTGTCGCCGTTGCGCATAACCCGCCAGAGGCCAAATTTCCACCAGCCTGGCCGCCAGGTTGATGACTAGAAGGGGGCGGAAATAGCTGTCGTCGCACGGGGTCAGAGCCAGACTGAAATCTCGAAGCCACCGCAGGCGTGTTCAAGAACGCGCCTGGCAAGGGCCGCAGAGGCGTGGTCTGAGGGAACGACATGTCGAGCAACAATCAACAGCTTCACCATGAGCTGAATCCCGCGCAAGGCCAGCGAGAAGGCTCCGCCAATCGCCCAGTGTTGGTTCGGCTGGGCTAGAGAGCGATGCAAGAAGATCGGCTCGACGCGATATTGGGCCATTCAAAAACGTCGACAGACTCGGTCCGCGCCACCGTCTGGTGGGTTGTCGCGTCGCAGCTGCGTCGACTCAGGATTTCTGTAGCCCAGCGATCGAGCTTCAAGCCCAGCAATCTCTCGCGATTAGAAAAGAAGAAATAATGCGTTATGTGTCAGGCGGCAACGAAGAGTTTCGAGAAGCGACGGAAGGCAGAGCTGAGCTGCGGAGGCTGGCAATTGAAGCTTGGGAATTTTCGTGACAAGGGTGATTTTGGCGCTAGGCCCAATGAGGTTGCAGGCCAGCCACAGCACAGCTCTGATGGCAACACTGGCAGATTCATGCCCGATTTCTTTTGTAAATAGTCTTGTTCGTAATAAGCCGCTGGTTGGTGTGTAAATTATTCTCGACTCTAGGCGCTGCCAATCATGACTTGTTTTAATCGTTTCCAACTTTCCAATCTGCATGGGCAGGACGGTGCCCAATGTAAAGCACGCAGCTTGTCAGAGACATATTGTACCTTCTGCCTCGTACGTCTATTGTTTATATTTTTTTACCTAATTGACTTTGCCCATTCTAATTCATGGAGTCCGCTAGATAAGTAGCTTTTTGACTTCATCAGCCAAGTTGTCCAATGGAACTAATTTTCCATCGTCCTTCTCCGCAGGCTTGTCATCTCCCTTGTTCTCTCCTTGTCCCAGTCTCTTGAGTCTGACCTGGCCGGCGTCGAGCTCCGACTGACCCAAAATGACTCCTAACGGCACACCTTCGGCAGCCTTGAATTGCTGGGGCAGCTTAGGCTTGACCTTCGGAGAAAACTCTGCGCGGATACCGGCGCTCCACAACCTCTGGGCAACTGCCATGCGTTCCGGAAGAAGACCATTGAACGTCTTATCGCCAAAAGCCATGACATACACGTCCACGCCTCGTCTTTGCTCGAGCCCTTCTTTTTTGCGTCGTGCCTCCAAGATGGTGAAAATGCGGTCAACACCAAAGGAAATACCTACGCAAGGAATCTGCCGCTTGCCGTACATTCCTACCAGGTTGTCGTAACGGCCGCCAGCAGCAATACTGCCTACTTGGCTGGCGGGATCGTCCTTCTTTGATCTCTTGCCGGAGTCCTGGCCCTCTTCAGGCTTGGGGGGTAGGTTGATGACTTCGTAAATCAAGCCAGTGTAATAATCGAGACCTCGAGCAAGAGAGAGATCAAAGGATATCTTGTCGGCAATGCCGAAGGCCTCAACGTATGAAGAAAGCAAGGCCATGTCATCAAGTCCGCGCTTGACTTGTTCGTTTGCGACGAGCTCCTCCCTGGAGTTGAGAAGCTGCAACGTCTCGGAAATAGTTCCCGCATGACGAACATATTCGCCAATTCGGTCAGCCACCTCGCTAGCAAGGCCCTTCTCTTCAACCATCTCCTTCTTGACATCTTCCCAGGACATCTTGTCCAGCTTATCAACGGCCGAACTAATCGTCCTGATCTTCTCGGGGGCGACGCCTGCCACGGCGAACATGCCGTCAAGAACTTGTCTATGGTTGAGCTTGATGGTGACTCCAAGCTGTAAGGCCTCAAACACCTCAACTATAATTCGCAAGACTTCAGCATCAGGAATCATAGGATCGTACACGCCAGCAATGTCGAAATCGCACTGGTGAAACTCGCGATATCGTCCACGGGCAATGGCCGGTTGGTCTCTTCGGTAGACTTTGGCAATGTGGTAACGCTTTACAGCTTGTATGTTGTTCATGGCGAGCCAACGGGCAAAGGGAACTGTTAAATCGTATCGAAGAGAGCAGAGCTCGCCGCCCTGGTCTTGCAGGTCGTAGATGAGCTTGGAATCTTCCCCATATTCTACTAGGAGTTAGACGAGACGATCTCAATTGTGCAGCGCACACGCTCCAGCGCAACTCACTTCCTGCAAGAATCTCTTTCAACTCAAACACAGGGGTATCAAGAGGGGTGCCACCATGCCGTTTGAATACATCGGTGATCATTTGGCTGAAGCGCTCGGTTAGCCGTCTCGCCTCATACAAATTCTCCCCGTCAGGGGCAGCACAGGTCCTCGCGACAGCACGTACAAGACTTCCTCGCGCAGCAACATGTCCTGTCCGCTCCAGTCCCGCGTTCCCTTGGGGGTTTTCAGCGTAACCGTTGGGCCTTTTGGCGTCTTACTGTCTGGGGTCGCCATGTTGTCTTCTTGGTACGCAAGGGTTGCGGCAAGTTGTCGTGGAAGAGATGGGGCCGTCAAACGGCGACGGAACAGTATACCAAGTGAATGACCCGTTCGCGCAACTGGTATTGGGTATAGGCGTCTGTTCAACGCAGATAGCATGCCGGAGCCAACACACTTATATAAGAGAGAATAGCATGTCTAGTGCGTGGGTTGTGGCTCCTTGACTCATCTATCTGCAGCTGTACGCCGCATGAGTGGGGGTGGCAGTCGGGTCGTGGCAGAAAAGTGCACCGCAGGCAGGTTTTTTTTTTTTTGTTATTTTAACCTGCGGCATCCGCGAAGCCGGCCCCACGGTTAATCCGGAGTCAGCACTCGCATCAAAAACCCAAGCTCCTCAGCAAAGAAAAGGATTACAACATGAAGGCAATAACACTTGACTGAACTCAATTACTCAATCTGGTTACTGTATGAATAATCAGGGTCATTGTAGAATAAATTGACACAAGTACCTGCAGCCAACTTCAAGCACGTGTCCATACCGCCAACCGAATAATGATGTTCCATGAGATCATAATGCTCGACATCCCTCGCCCCTGTCCGCCACGACATTACTTGGAGGCTCGATACTATATGAATGTGCCTCCCATGGACGCCGCCCTTTGTTCCAGGATCTTCAAAGCTGGCGATTTTGCAAACTTCAAGGCCAACGCCACATTATCTACTGCTTCTTGGCTTCACGAGCCTGCTTGCGAAGGGCCCGCCTCCGAATATCCAAGTGCATCTTCTTGTTATACCAGATGGTGACAGGGCTGTTAACGCCAGGAACGTTCTCAATCAACCACAGCATGAAAGAGTGACTCCACCAAGGAGTGTAAGTGTTGGGAGCTGTCTGATAACCACCAAGACCAACCTTGCCAAGAGCAGCCTGGACAAAATTACGGGCATTGGGAATCAGGAGACTCGGGCGGCGGACCTTACTCATGGCAGTGGTAACCAGGTGGCTAAGAACCAGATAAACGTCAACGTGATCATCAGCAAGCTCAGACGAAAGGGCATTGCTCCATTGCTGGAGGAAGGCTTTGCTGCCAGAGTAGGTGGCCAGGTATGGGGTAGGAGTCCAGCCGCCAAAAGAGCCCATGGTCAGAATTAGTCCATGCTTGCGCTGCTTGAGAATAGGAGCAACAATTTGGGTAATCTTCAGCGTTCCCAAACAGTTGATAGTAACAATATCCTGAAGCTCTTCCTTGGGCGTCTCAAGGAAAGGAACGGGTATGCTATGACTTTGTCCGACGTTGTTGATCAGAATAGCAACGTCGAGGCCACGAACAATATCGGCGAGCTTCTCGTAATCGACATCGTCGTCCTTGGCGAAATCCATGGCGTGGATCTTGATTTCAATGTCTTTGTCATGATATTTCTCTTCCAACTCCGTGGCGAGCGACTCGAGCTTGGATTTGGTTCGCGAAACGAGGACGAGGTTGAAGCCCTTGGCAGCGAGTTGGGAGGCGTACTCTTTACCAAGGCCATCCGACGCGCCGGTGACGACGGCCCACGATCCGGCGCGGCCATACTTGCGAAGCTACGATGATAGAAATACATGAGTCACGTGGCTAGAAAATTCCAGAGCTCGACTGGGGAACTTACATTATGTCCGGAGTAGACGAATGCACTCATGACAAGCTGGAGATAGCTAAGGAGCTTGCTTCCCAGCCAGAGTGCGCCAATGCCAGCGAAGGCAACTAGCACCGGCTGTGGAATCGGGCCGAGTTGCGCTACATGCGACTTGATGCTCCCTACGTAGGAACTCTCTAGCACCTTATCCATGATGAGCAAATGGTCGAGACAATGCTTGGAGTCGGAGAGAAATTGTGTCAGTGGGAGGCCAACGTGATGGGGGATGGGGCAGCATGCATGTATCGAGTTTCGAAATATGGAGGCTCAACAGCAGTCTGGAGCGCGGTGGCAGCCCTTTCGAGTCTAGCGCCTGGCAGCTGTACCTGGCCAAACAGAGATCTCTATCTATCTCCAGGCAAGACGGAGGAGGCGCAACTCCGCGTCAATGATTGCATCGAAAAAAAGGGATTGCACCATGGAGAAAGCCAATCTACTTGACTGGTATTAGAGAGTGACGATTTCTTCCAAGTCTGTCTGCATCTACAAGGGGTCCGGCAGAGCCGCGAGTAATAAAAGCATTTGCTCGCAGGAATTTGTTGAGCTAGGGGTATCCATCCTCCACCCCACCCCCAATACGCCCATTCACCGAGGTACTCACTTAAGTAGTTGAACGCCATGTCGACGAGGTCTGACTTTATGGATGTGTTGCTATTCAGTTGCGCCTCGTCTTGACCTTGAAACGTTCAACCCTCTACTGTAGGGTAGTGTTTTATGATGACGCCTTATTAATCTGATTTGAATTAACTATTCGTCTGTACTACCACTGGTGGGGCCAGCCGCTAGGGTCCACTGGAGCCTTTGTCCAGTATGGTGAAATTTTACCTCCATCCTAGACATCTCGCAAGGCTCCCGCTCGCCGTCAACGATTTGATACTCTCCCAAGGTCCTGTTTTGCAATGGACTTCGTCAAGTCTCTCCTCCCAGAGGCACAGGGTGTTTTACCCTACTACATGCTCGTCGTACGTTGCACCGCGCGCGGACGCGTACGAACCACCTGAAAGGCCAAGCTTATCAACCGTCGTCTACAGCTCTCCATTGTCTCTATTGGCAACTGCCTACAGACATACACAACCCTCCACTTCACGAGGCGCGTGTATAATGGTCGCTTCATCCGAAACCCTAGACTGCCTCCCGCAACAGCGACCTTCAGCCCCGAAGACTCCGTCGACAAGCTCGTGTCCGCCCAGAATGACCCGAAAGCAACTGACCAGGTAACCCCACTGGCCGGTCGACTCTTTGGCACATGGACCCTCATCACCTCTATTGTCCGCTGCTATGCAGCTTACAACCTGCACATTGGTCCTGTGTACAACATTGCCTACTGGACGTATATCGTGGCGTTGGGCCATTTCGCCAGCGAGAAGTTTGTGTTTAAAAGCATGACCTTTGGCCTTCCTCAGGCGTTTCCCTTTGCGCTCGCAACCTGCGCCTTGATTTGGATGCCTCTTGTTCGCGAGCACTATGTTGAGATCAACTAAATCATATGGGCGCCCCCTTGTCAGTGAGCGCTCACCTGATCGATAAGACAATGGAACGCAACGGATGAAACGGGTGGATGATTGTCGCGAATAGCTCTCGTGGCCAGCGAGGCGGCCGATAGGTATAAGTTCATTTATGTTTAATCGTTTACTTCACGCTAAGCTTTTCCTGTATAAATCCCCGCCGCAATCTCGCAGACGAGCCGTCGCCTGTTCGGGAGTGATGTCTCTTTGCGGCTCAGCCATGAGCTCGTATCCAACGAGGAATTTTTTGACCGTTGCAGAACGCAGCAGGGGCGGGTAGAAGTGCATGTGAAAGTACGAATTTTCAATCTCCTCCTTTGTTCCCTGAAGCGGCGCCTGGTGAATTCCCGAACTGTACGGGAAACTGCACTCGAAGAGATTATCATAACGCCTTGTGACCTCGTGTATGGCTTCGACAAACTGCAGCCTCTCCTCGGCCTCAAAGTCCACCAAGGATCGTATATGTCTCTTGGGAAGGATGAGTGTCTCGAATGGCCAGACCGCCCACCAGGGGCATACCACTACAAACGACTTGTTTTGCCAGAGGACGCGCTCCTCCTTGACAAGCTCCAACTGAACATAATCTTCCAGCAAGTGTCGACCGCCATTGTTCGCACGGTATTTGGTCATATGGGCGAGCTCTTTTGCAGGCTCCTCGGGCATGGTGTTTGTCGCCCACACTTGGCAATGGGGATGGGGATTTGAACAACCCATGGCAGAGCCCTTGTTCTCGAAGATCTGCATGTAACGGTACTCATCTTTGGGGATGGGTGCTTCATCCCTTGACAAGGATATTTCCAGCTTTTCGGCAAGCTTTGCCAAGGGGTTCGAGGAGGCAATGTGGTTGCCGTAAATGCGGGTCCAGTGCTCGATGACGGGCAGAATGTCTGGGGCAGGCATGTCTGCTAGAGTGAGGTGGTGTTTTGGCGAGAAGGTGAGAACATAGCAGACGCCCTTGACGCCCTGGGCTCTCAAGAGCATCGACTCCAGATCTGCAGAAGAGTAAATAATAGTTCTTGTCAGACGAATCGTGCTTTGGCATACCGTTGGGTTTAGTGTCAGGCACATAGTCTGGCTGTTGCTCTTTCACGGCGCTGTAATCATTGACGAAGGCGAACGTCTTGCCGTAGTTGGGATTTGTGTCACCTGAAGCACGAGTATTTCCAGGACACAGATAGCACTGTAGATTGTGTTACCTACCGTTTCGCTCGACAAGTGGTGGAATTTGCAAACCTTGGGATCATATTCGGGCAAAGTATTGGCAACTGCAGCTTCTTGGGCTCCTCTGCAAAACGGCAGGCGTCAGACGACCCGCCAGGCAGCATACTGGGATTCATACTTACTGCCAGGGTCGCTTGGTCCGATGCGGCGAGACAAGTAGCCAACTGTCGGTAAGAGGATTGTATCTCCTGTGGGAAATGTCGTCAAGTATCTTGTCGGGCATGATGACGACGGAGGAAGGGGGAAGGGTGTTTGAGAGACAACAGAGCGCCCTGGAATTAGCACAGCCCTCAAAATAAGAAATAGGGAGAGAGGGAATGTGGACCAGACATCATACACCTGTTGTGACGTTACAACTGTTATTCAACGGATAGAATAACCAACGGGTCGGCGCGCCAAAGTTATGCGGGCGGAGGTTTCGGCCAATCGTGGCGGCTTCTGGGCCGATTACTCCACTTCAAGGCGGCGCCATTGGATGATCGTTGCATGTGGGGTAGACGACTGTATGAATGTGGAATCACGTGATGATGCTACGTATTTCCAATGCTGCCAGTCCTGCCCATGCTTCCCCACCAACGACTGGCTCGGCGCAATTGTAGGGATCCACGTCGCATCGCGACATCCATCCAATATCCGACCTCACTCCGGCAGCTTGCCTCCACGATTTCATCAAAGCAGTCGCGCGTCGAAACAGATTTTATCATAATACACATCTTATCAGGAAAATTGGCACTTCATAACCGCCAACCTTCGTTTATAGCCTCACCAGTGCCCTCCGCCGACCGGTATTTGCTGCGGAGACAAACCCATGGTTGGGAGCAGGCGCATCGGAGGGCCTTTTGAAAGCGCTATATTCACGGTGACAAATGGGTGTCATTCGTAAGAAGACGGTCACGAGGGGTGAGGGTGGTGTGAAATATGTTTGCGACGTTTGCTCATCGGACATCACATCAACGGTACGTGATTTCCACACCGAGTTAGCCAAGTGTCATACAAGATCAATCTTTGCGACTTTCACGGGAGGTCCTGCCCACTAAATTGTTTACTTCTGCTTTAAATAGGTTCGCATTAGGTGTGCAGACCAATCATGTTCCGATTTCGACTTATGCGTCTCCTGCTTCGCCAAAGGGGAGTCTCGCAATAATCACGACCCCGCCAACCATGAGTTCCGGGTAATTGAGCAGAACTCGTTCCCCATTTTCGAACGCGAATGGGGTGCGGACGAAGAACTCTTGCTTTTGGAGGGCGCCGAAACGTACGGTCTTGGGTCATGGGCGGATATTGCCGACCACATTGGCGGGTTTCGCGAGAAGGACGAGGTTCGCGACCACTATCTTGAAACTTACGTCAACTCCCCGAATTTTCCGCTGCCGAAACGATGCAGGCTGCACGATTGTGAGCTCGCAAACGAAGTGCCCCGAGAAGAGTTCCAGGCGCAAAAGAAGAGGCGGATCGAGGAGCGGCGAGAAAAGTCCAAAAGCGCGCCAGCGTTGCAGCCCAAAACCAAACCCACCGCCAGCGTGCCCAGCTGTCACGAAATCCAGGGCTTCATGCCGGGTCGTCTTGAATTCGAAACTGAATATGCCAACGAGGCAGAAGAGGCCGTTCAGCACATGCAATTTGATCCTGGCGATGGCATGAACCCGCGCACTGGTGAACTCGAACCGGAGATGGAGCTCAAGCTCACCGTCATGGATATTTACAACTGTCGGCTGACGCAACGTGTGGATCGCAAAAAGGTCATTTTTGAACACGATTTGTTAGAATACAGGGAAAACACCAAGATTGAGAAAAAGCGATCAAAGGAAGAGAAAGATATGTTACAAAAGGCCAAGCCTTTCGCCAGGATAATGAATCACAAAGATTTCGAGGACTTCAACCAGGGAATTATCGATGAGCAGAATTTGCGCCAAGCCATCGCCCAGCTACAAGAATGGCGCAGCTTGAAGATTGGGGACTTGAGAAGTGGCGAAAAGTACGAAACAGAAAAGGCTGCTCGGATACAAAAGGCTATTCCCTTGGGGTCCATGGACAGAGAGAGGCTTGCCAGCAACCAACGATCAAAACAGCAAGCTGCGCCTGAAGCACCCAGCGGCGCGTCGCTTCTCGTTGCCCCGGAACTCGCCATTCGTCCTGCTCAGACGAATGGCGAGACCATCAATGGCGAGAGCAAACCCCTAGTCAACGGGCATGCTAATGGGATGAACGGGGTTGACGGTATTCATGGCCAGGCGCCGGCCAGACAAAGATACACACCGCAGCCTATTTCCGGTGTGCAACCTCTTCAACTGAACCAAGACACTGCAGCGGACCTGCACCTGCTCACGCCTGACGAAGCCAAGCTGTGCGAGATTATTCGACTACAGCCCAAGCCCTACTTGATGATCAAAGAGCAGATACTGAAGGAGGCGCTCAAGACCAACGGGACGCTTAAGAAGAAGCAAGCCAAGGAAATATGCCGACTTGACTCACAAAAAGGAGCCAGAATATTCGATTTCTTCATCAATGCGGGATGGTTAGGAAAGGCCTGAAACTTTAATCGTTGGTTACGTCTTTGGTACGGTTGCAGGGCGTTGTATGTTGTAACATATGACACTCCTTGGGTAGGTTGCCTGTGTCATTTGGAGTCGGGTTGCATTTGTGGAGTTTGGAAGAGCGCATGATATCCATTTCCGAGAAACGAAGATTTAGAATTGTTCGCTTTGCGTAAAAGACTGTGGTCAGTGCAATAGACTGGCTGGCCAGTGAATGGTGTGAATCGCAGAAACAGAATCGGCAATGGCAACCCAAGTAGTAGCCTATCACGATGCCCCGTCCTGGTCCCTCTGGATGCTTCCGAAACTCACCTCGGCCGAAGTGGACCCCCCGCCTCGACACCCTCGACACCCTCGACATCCCCGATGCCCATTTGAACCCTTCTCTTGCCATCTCAAGCTGCGCTCACTCTTTTTTTGTCCGCCAAAATTTGATGATACTGTCCAGGCTCGCCGTACAGAAGCACTCGCTCTCCCTCGTCCGTACCATGACCACGATGTCCAGTCTGCAGCGCATGTCCGCGAAGTCTCTCTCTGAAAAGATTCTGGCCGAGAAGGACACGGCCGATACGTCGTACGCCATTATCGACGTGCGCGATGACGGTATGTAAGCCCTCGAGGAACACCAGGTGCATCACAGGTCCCCGGCTACACTGGCCATCAATACGTCTGTCAAAGTTCATGTCAATGACCATCGTTGCAGACCACGTAGGCGGCCACATCAAGGGTTCCGCCAACATTCCCAGCGGCCAACTCGAAGCCATGATGCCCACCCTCGTGCGCAAGCTGCAGGACAAAAAGACGGTCATTTTCCACTGCGCCCTCAGTCAGCAGCGTGGCCCGAGCGCCGCACTCAAGTATCTCAGGGAAAGGGACGGGCTGCTCGGGAGCCCGGGTGGCGGGAAGAAGATTGGCACACAGCAGGAGGTGTATGTGCTGGACCGGGGGTTCGTCGGCTGGCAGCAGGCTTATGGGAGCGACGAGCGGCTGACGGAAGGGTATGTGAAAGACATTTGGGAGAGTTGCTGATTTTGCCCGCGCTGCGGCGTGTCTTTGTCGTTTTTCTTTCTTTCTTTGCAGGGTGTGTGTGTGTGTGTGCGTGTGTGAGGATGGCTCGCGTACGACAAACCATAGGAATCAAGGGGCACGAATGACTTGTGTTTCCTTGCGGGCGGTTTCGGCGTGGACATTTTGGGAAATCCTCATGACGTCCATGTGCAATGCCCGCCGCCCATGGCTGTTGAAAGCACATGGGACGCTGGGGCCACGAGCACAAGGCGAGGACCCCCAAACGTTTGTTTACCGGCACTTGGACGGCTGAAGAGAAATCTATAAATCCTGTGCTTCTGCGGCGACATCTTTGGTCACAAGTCACAAGTGCAGAAGCTTGGAAATCCTCTGCTTCCTTATCCGGTCCCTGCCGGAGCCCTTGCCCGTCAAAACAACAAACTGCTACACAACAGGTAATGTCCAACGTGCACGGTCGTCTTGGCCTTTTTCCTCCTGGACGCTGACAGACATCACAGCACCGATCTACGTACAGTTGTGCGAACAAGCGCCTACGCTCAATATGTCTGTACTCCGCTTCGTCAGGTCGAAAGAAGAGGACAAAGCCGCCGGACCTAATCACGATCGAGATTGGATTGTAATAACTGTCATCGCTGCACTCATCATGGTGGCTGCTGGGTCGACTATGTTTCTCAATCGTCTATGTGCGAAAATCAGGCGCCAACCGAATCGGCAAGTGCCGCAGCAGGGCCTGTCTGGACCAGCGCCTTTGCCTCCGTCGTACACCGAATCACAGGCAATGCAAGCAAACAGGGGAGTAAGGAAACCTCAAGCGGGAGGCGGCGTGTAGCCCACTCGGACGTGTACGAACGAGGCTCCCAGGGTCCAGGTGATTGAAACGCATAACAGCTCATTCATGGACTACAGGTCTTTCTTGGATTCAGGGATTCAGGGACCAAGGCAAGGGGGAAGGGAACGGAAATGTGTGTCTGTACGTGTACAATCGTGATTGTTTCACGGATGCTTAAAGAGAAGCGTCGTCTGCGGTGGAACCAAGGTCTTGAACCACGAAGACAAACTAGCCCAGGGGGGGGGGGGCATATTTGGACTGTTTCGTACTGGCAGGTCCATGAACGACAAAGGAGGTTGAATATTTCATCTACCCGCTTCGGCCTCGCCGCCTCGAGAGTTCACGCAGGTTGGCGGACTCGATGTAACTGGGGAGTTGTCGCCGGGACTCGGGAGCCAGGTATTCCATGTTGAAAACCTATCTTGCGACGTGGAGCTTTCGTGGCGCTGTTGGCCATGTGCCTCATGTGATGTGTGCCCGAGGAAACGTGAAAGAAGAGTGCTTTGTGATGTGTGTATTGGAAGGACTTTGATCACCCAGCTCCGGAGCCAGTAGAGTTTTAATAACCAGTGACCACACCGCAAGGTAAAAAAGTAGTTATAAAATAAACCCAAGGAGTGTTGTCGGTGCGGGTGGATCCAGCAACGCCTGCGTTTGGAAGGCGGTGCGGTGCGGCGGGGTGCCCTGCAATCCGGCTGACCCGCATTGGTCACTCGGGCCCTGACCAAGTGGTCGCTGCAGCAATGTTCGTGCTTGGCACATGTCTGAAACCTGTTTCCTGTAACCTACTGCTTCACCGGTTGAGTAGGTCGTCGAGTCTCCGAGCCTGCCACGCCTTTCCACCGTGGAAAAGACTCGTCGATTGGGACAACAGAAGACTGAAGAGAGAAAAGAGGGCGACGGAAAGCAAGTCCCACCAGACAAACACATCGCCTCAACCACTCGCAAAGATGGGGTCACAAGCGGGACGGACGAGCAGCGGCAAGCCCGATATTTCTAGTAAGCGTTGAAGTCGACAGCTCCAAGAAACGGCGCGGCTGACGAGGCTAGACCTGGGCTTCACGCCGATGATCAAAGTCTCTGGACAGTGGGAAGTGGAAAAGGTGGTGGATGCGATTCCCGGGGACGTTCCCAAGTCGGGAGGCCAATCTCCTCTTGCCTTTTTCCACATGATCGAGCGACTCAAGACGACGAAGCGTGAAGGCTGGAGACGGTTCGGCATCGAGAGGTACGAACCGACCTTGGCCTGTTCCCGCGGGCGGATGCTAACAAGTCGCAGAGGCGAGTCCATCGCCGACCACATGTACCGCATGTCCATCATCTCCATGTTCGCCCCTCCTTCGCTTGCGCAGCGCATCGACCTCCACAAATGCATCAAGATGTGCCTGATCCACGACATGGCCGAACTCCTCGTCGGCGACATCACCCCCGTAGACGGCGTTCCCAAGCCCGAGAAGAGTCGACGCGAGAGCCTGACCATGAGCTACCTCACCAAGAACCTGTTGGGCAACAAGGACGACGCTGCGGTCGGTGAGGAGATTCGGGCCATCTGGGACGAGTACGAGGATTCCAAGACGCTGGAGAGTCAGTACGTCCACGACATTGACAAGATGGAACTGCTGCTGCAAATGATGGAGTACGAGAAACGTGCCGAGCGCGCCCTCGACCTGGGTGAGTTTGCTTACGTATCGGGCCAGATGACGCTCGACGAGACCAGGGCCTGGGCCAAAGAGCTCCTAGAAGAGAGGGACAGGTTTTGGGGGACCCAGGACCACGTTGACGGGCTTAAGGGTGTGGCGGGGGGAGTCACAGAAGAGAAGGTCAAGATGCAGGATGAGTACTACTCGAGGGGGTGACGGGTTGTGCGGACGAATGCGAATGCTATGATGGTCATCTTCTTTCCCCCCTCCTTCCCTGATCAGTCACGGGCGGTGATGAGATGCTATCGTTGGATCGGAGATAGATGGATTGCGCAAGCATATATTCCCGGCTGGTACGGTGACGACACGGGCCGACATGCTAATTTTAATGATACTGGCTTAGACAGTGTGTACGGTTTAGTGCTGGGGAATAGAAGTGGAAGTGGAATGCCCTGGCCCCAGCCTTTGGTCACTGGTGAGACATGAGGGTTAGCAAAAGCAGCGGCTGCCGTGTCTTGCGCTAGAAATGACGACACATGACATCTGGGAACTCGACGCTGCGGGCGAAAAGAAGTGGCAGCACTGCGAGTCTCGACTTGACGCCCGGTGAATGCGGTTCCTGTTGGGCAATGGCGGGCAAACCAGAAAACCTGTACGGACGGAGTCCTGGTCCTTGTTGACGGATTGAGACCATCAATCACCCCGGGCAACGGCGACGACTAGACTGGCAAGTACCGGGTACCTACGTGGTTGAGTACCTAGGCAGGCGCAGGGTCTGGTACCCACCAAGGAATCTTCGGTTTACGAACCAAGTGCTTAAAAGTAGTAGTATTGATTTTCTTCACAGCGTGTCTGATGAACAAGCAAAGCATCACCTCTTATTACACCGTCTTTTCCCCCGTACTCCATATGCAGAGGGCGCCAACGTCCACCTCTGCCGTTTGTCGGCCCCGCTTCCGCGGCGTTTTATTCCCTGGTCCTCACCGCTTTAAGATTAACCCGGAATCTAGGGGCAGAGAGCAAGCAGTACTGCTACACCGGTCATTGCCCCGTTGATGCGCACGGTACGGAGTACGGGGGCGACGTCACAAGTAGCTCGCGCTTGTACAGACAGGCCACGTTTTCGAAATACGCCGATGCGTGATTTAACAAACAATACCATTCACTACCAGGGACTTCGCTGCCGCTACGGAGGGCACCATCGTCCTGCCTTGCTGCCCGTTTGCTCGAGCCTCGAGGTCACGAGCACCACGACGCGGCACAGTGCATACGCACCGCCGCCACCGTGACTGACCTCCCTCAGCCCGAGGTCATCGACGCGACGCCTTCACGGCTACAGTGCCGCTCCGGCATCCCAACGCCTCCCACCCGCCGCTTCTGATCCCTGCAGGTCGAAGTTTCGAAAAGAAAAAAAAATCAAAAGAAAAAATCACTCCAGCCAGGCCGACGACACTCGCTGTCATGCGTCTTGTTGCATGCTAAGCTTCGAGGCTCTGTCACAGGCTCGATCTCGGCTGGCCGCCTGGGTCACGGTCCGGCTGCTGGCTCTTCTCGAAGACGACGCACCGCCTGAAGCTGCTGGGCATTCTCGTCCAGTCTCTCTCAGCCCGGCAGAAGTCATGACCTTCTCCTCTGGCTTCCACATGCCCGGGGGCTTTCACGCCGACGGAATCCACCAGGGCCTCTTCCGCCCCCCGGTGTCTCCAGCGTCCAGCTCCGGATATCTATCTCAGAGCCGACCGTCTGTCGAGGGACCTACTTGCAAGCGCAAGCGCATTCGCGCCGATGCCAGACATTTCGACCATGCCCAACATCAACCAGAAGAACAGCAAGAGGGCTTCTGCGACGACGCCGGCACCAACGCCAGCACGGTCCTGATAACACCCGCCGGGAGACGTGCTGCCCACAATGGCAGGGCCTACACGCTCGCCGGGCAGCTCGACACACCCGCCAGCGGGCCTGGGGAAAGCGGGACTCTGGGCGACAGCACATACTCGGATGCGGATTACAGGAAAGCCCTTGGCTCCAGGCGCTCGCGACACGACCATGATTTGACCGACACAACGGGACATACTCGCTTATTCAACCTCCCCACGCACCCCTCTCAACCTCCAGGATGGGGCTCGCTGGCTTTCAGTACCATAGGCGGCGTCGTGGGAAAGGTGTGGGAGTTTTGCAAAGCAGGCGCGTTCAAAGGGTTTTACGCTGGTGGGGGAAGAGGCTTCGAGATGCAGCCCGGCCATGGCGTCGTTCCGGATGTATCGATACCAGACCCAGCCTGGCAGCACGGCGCCGAGGGCGACGAGCAACACCACCGGATACCAGGGCATTTTCCGCAAGGAGATGCGTGTTACGACGAGGAGGCCGCCGAGGACACGCCTATACCCAGCGGCGCCTCGACGCCCTCTGCGCCCGCTGCGAAAAGACGTCAGACGGCGCCGACTGATGAGTTGGGCAGGAATTGGGTCATGGTCAAGGACCGGGCCGGCGGTGCGGACAGCAGGTCGAGGCGGACCCTGGCCGCCCATAGGCCGTCTCCCAGAAACCGCAACCAAGGCCCTTCACCTGCCACTGGACGTCGGATCAGCACACCACACAACCGCCGCGTCTCCGCCAGGGCAGCCAGCCCGGCACCGCATCGTGCCAGTGCCGCGCCCTGGAACGGCTTCAACATGTCGCCCCAGGCCGCTCTCGAGCCTGCTCGGCCCGCGTCATCCGCGTCGTTTGCCTCTCCCCGCTCCCCGTCGCCGACGAAACTGGCCAGCGCGGCACCCAGCGTCGCGGCCTCACCCACGCCACACACAGGCCGAGCCCAGGGACGGCGGCGATCAGTCATGTCGGCCTCCAACCACGCTTCTCCGTTTACACACAGCCGCACGCACAGCGGCGCGTCCACGGCATCCGGTCGCGGAGCCGCAGACGACCTGGACAACAGTCCGCGCCTCGACGCGGAAGCCAGGCACCTCGCTGCTCGGCGACAACGCGAAGAACGCGACACGGACGTCCGCATCGCAGCCTTGAACAAACAGCTGCAGGATATGATTCGTCAGGGGAAGGAAGCGCTGGGCACGACGATAGAAGTAGATGGCGATGATGGCGGGTGGGAAGATTACTAGTACAGCCCGCCGTCTGCTCTGTTTCCTTTGTCTCTCTTTTCTGTTTCCTTTTCTGGTGTGGGGGGTCTCCATTCTCTCCCGCCATTGTTTTGGGCCACACTGTGGCCACGATACCCGGATGGTTGGGGCGGAATCGGCAAGACAGTCGAGCGGACTCTTTGGCTTTCAACTCGTTTCATCGGTACGGACACGACGCCTCGGGCTTCTGGCTTCTTTTCCTGGCCGGCGTCTCCGAGGAACCGGTCTCCTGGATGGGCGGGAGCTTGGGTCGCGACGAAGTGAAACGGAACGAGGTTTGACGTGGGCGGCCTGACGGGGGCTTCTTCCCGTCGTTGATGTCCTCTAGTTACTTGTCATGGCGTTGGTTTTGTTGACGCAGTGGGGGGTAGGAGGCAGGCAGTACGAGCGCAGATTCACAGACGCACGAGATTGACAATGGGCACGTGTTTGCGAGCAGAGTAGTTACTCCGTTGCTGTGCTGGACAAACACGGGCGCAACCACAGGACTCGACGGATCCGGTGCAAGACGCCGAGGTATTATAAAATACACGCTATTTCTATGCATACAGTGCTTTCCAGCACAGGTATCTTGTCTATTGCACGCAGCCCAAAACGCCCAGCCTCAAACGAAGCAAAAACTATCATCATGGTCATCACAATGCCACAGCGTCGTCCCGGGCATCCCTCATCAGGCTGGCCTCAACAGCATCCCCACGTCATTGAGTTGCACACTGTTCCCCGTGGGCGGTGAACCACGGTCTATTCTGCCCCATCCGGCTCCCCATGTAGGCAATTGTTGCTGCGGGAGACCGGCCTGTGTCAAGTGTTCCGCGTCCGAGGAGCCGGCCGTGGTGCCCGACGTCCGGTTCCGCAGGGCAATCTCGTTGGACCCGTCGCTGGACATGCGTGCCTTCCGGTTTCTCTGCCAGAATCGGTGTCGCTTCTGGCGCATGTTCTCCGCCACCACCTCTGGCGAGGCCATGGTGTCGTCCCGCGAAGGTCGTTGGTGCTTGCCAAAGTGGCCACCGTGGGCTCGCGGGTACGCAAAGCCTGCGGGTTGACCGCCGTGAAACGGATTCCATGCTCGCAGTCGCGGCGAACCCAGGCTGATACTGCCGTTACAGCCAGCGTTGTAGCTCGTCCTGGATTCGCCGGATAGTTCTTCCAAGGTGAGCCCTTTCGTCTCGGGGATGAGGAACGACACCATGGTGCCGAGGAGCATAAAGAGCGCAAAAAGTTTGAGCAAACGGTCAAGGTAAGGAGAGCAGGCGTTCCCAACGCATCCATCAACTTGGCTATTCCTCAACAATGGGATGCTGATGGCCTGGGCGACAATGGCCCCGATTTTCCCCATGGCCGCGGAAATGCCGTGCCCAGTTGATCGGTATCGGGTCGGGAAGCATTCGCCTGGTACAACGAATGTGGTCGTGTTTGGCCCGGCATTAAAGAGAAATTGTCCGATGATGTATAGAGCCAACATTGCGCCCTCGCTTAGGTGATGAAGCCGGAAACCAAGGACACTAAAGACGATGGTGAGCATAAGGAACCCGCCGACTTGCAAGGGCTTGCGGCCAACGGTGTCGATGGCGAAGATGGCGGTCCAAAATCCAGGCAAGGAGCCAGCAGCCGTCAAGATGATTGTGCCCATGGCCTGATTATACAGCTTGTCGTACATACTGCTTCCCCTCCAATATCCAATGGCGTGGAGCACAATGTTTTGATTCAGGCCGAGGCCGTAAAACGCCAAGTCCTAAAGTCTGTCAGTGAAGCCGAATCAACACAATGCAGAAATCGGACGTACCAGAAAGAACCATGACATGGTTGTACCAAGCAATACCTTGAAATTCTTCCACGCCCCAAAGTACGCAAAAACATCTGCCCACGAAGCACGCGGAAGATCGAGCGAATTCTGGGAAATCCTTGACCGAGAGTGCCGAGTATCATAGTCACTGTTCGATTTTCTGGATACGTAGGCCTTGATATCGGCATCGGCCTTTTCAACGTCGTGCTGGATATCAAAAGTATACCGCGGGGTTTCAGGAATGGTGATTCGATAGTAGAGCGCCAGACACGCTGGGATGGCGCCAACCCCGACAGTGATCCTCCAGGCACGATCAGCAGCCACTTGACACCCCGCATCGCAGTGTTTCTCGTCAGGAATGTTGACCAGGGACGACTTGAAGGCTACGGTTGTAATGAGCGCCACGATGGCAGACATGAGTTGGCCAACGCCTTGCATTGAGAAGACGGCAGAAATCATGGCACCCCGCCATCGAGTGGGCGCGAATCTGGCGGCTGATTAGGACGGCGTCTCGAGAAGGGCAATAGACACATACTCGGACGTAATGACGGATGAAAGAGGATAGTCACCACCAATGCCAATGCCCTACGCAAAAACACATGTTAGACCAGCGTCCCCGGGCCTGCAAATATCAGACGTGCGCGCACGTACCATAAGAACCCGCCAGAACAGCAGGAGGCCGGCCGAGTGGATGGATGGGCTGCTCGAAACCAGAGCGCAGCTGAAAGTTCCAAAGATGATAATTGCCAACTCGACTCCGTACATGCGTCGGCGACCTAAAGCACTGGGCTCGTGGTCAGTATTGATTCTACCGAGCGGGACAAAATAACCTACTCTGCCAGCCATCCAAACGCAACCATTCCAATGACAATACCAGCGCTGGTGGCAGCTTTCAAAGCCTGGCTAATGGTCTCAGGTAAGATGCCATGGTTGCCACCAAAGCCGTTGATGGAATCTTTGCCGCTCCAAAAGACCATGCCCAGGAGGGTAGTAATGAGGTTGATGGAAAATATGTCGTATGAATCGACAAGAAAGCCAACACCAGCAACCAAGATTGCTCTGACATCTGACACCAAGGTTAGTTTCCCATGCATTCCGTCGCGATTCAACAGTATCCAACTTGTACAGGTGCCACTACGTACGGTACAATCCGAAAGGGACCTTGTCAATCTCAGACAGTGCTAGTCGCCGGCGCAGATTAGGATCGGATATATGAGAATAATCATTGTAAAAGTTGTGAAATGCCCGATTGCCGCCGTACGTGCGCGAGTGACCACTAATAGGGGCCAGGGGAGGAGGTAGCATCTCGTCGACGGACGTAGCCATCTTTTGGCAGGCCGAAGACGAATCAACGACGAGAGCTGCTATGCTTCGACAACAGAGAATGCATGAGGTATCAGACCAGAATAATCGAGTAAGACGATGCGGTGATGGACGATCGAGGACTAGTTATATGGGAATCGCTTCTCGGCTCGACTTGATGCGAGTATTTGCCGCAATACACACTTGCAGGATTTGTGGAAGCGATGCAGAGAGAGGACGGTTGATCCCAACTGTTTTCAAACAGTGATGCCATTGAGCGAATAGCGCCGAGTTGGATCCGCTGTCTCTGCGAGTTGAATAGCTAATGTCTCCGACAGGCAGCGTGGACCATGGCCGCCGTGATTGTCCTTTGACTAGTGCGGACTTTGATCCGTCCGTCACGGTCAGAAATGTGAAGTCTGATGTACGTCGCCTTTCTCTCTTTTTTTTCTCCTTTTCTTTTTGTGCAGGGTGTTGATGGAGCTCGGGCCGTGGCTCAAAAGGACATGATATATTATTATGCACGAGACAAAGGTGCTCTGCCGACAACCGCCAAGGACGATACTGGAAGAGGAGAGGGGAGCAAACGGATTGCGTGAAAGATGTTTCGGGTCACCAGTCCGACGGCGCAGACTCCGCTTGTGGCGACGACTCCGTAGTGGAGAGTATCTCGTAATAAATGCAGAGCAGCTATGGGAGACTCTGGCATTGCTTGCGCGCTCGGTTGTAGACTGTATGTCGTAGTCATGAGAGTGGGAATACCCTAGTCATTCCAAAAGTCAGGCCCCGCTTCGCGACAGGTAAACGAACACACAATGACTAGCAGCAGGGCGTCTTTTGCTTGGCCAGGCACACAATGAGACACTACTCGTTAGTTATGTCCACTATTATGTCCTAGGCTCCCCGTGCCCCATGTGGATGACACTTGCCAGCAACTTTGTCGGAAAGGTCGGGGTGGCTTACGTCGGCTGGCTTGACAGGGTGAGAGAGCAAGTAGAAGACGGCTCGTCCAAAGCGATTTGGAAGAGGTCAGCAGCAGTTCCTATTTTGGCTCCGACTGGGAACCAGGCGTTTACACCGAAGGGATTATACGTTGGAGTTGGCCGTGTGCCGTTGTGCCCGTGATAACCTGGAACCCGACTTGGAGCTTGGCCCGAGGAAACGTGGTGCTAGCAAGGAAGTTGTTTCTGTTTCCTGCTTGGAGTACTCGGTGTTCGTCTCCGTACGGAGTACTGGTGGTGCAATAGAAAACGGCAGAGAGTGACGGTTCAAACGCAAGGAGGGGAACTTGGGCAATGGGATGTCCATGGTCCATGGATGCTGGGAAGGGGGTGCGCTCCCAGCAGGGATGGGGATGGTGGGGAAGATTTGAACGTTCATCGTCGACTGGACAGGAGAGACTCGAACAGGGAAGGATGCAGAGTCTCGGGCCAAGAGACTTTTCCGTGGGCCGTGTCCCTGACAGGACGTGTTTCAAAAGGCCGCCCACCCACAGTACATGCCGTACAGTGCGGGCGGAGCACCTACCAACCTTTATCGTTGCTTCCCACCTTCCGCCCTTCCGTCGCATTTCCAGGAAGGCGCGACGGGACCTCGGAGGCTTTGTGCAACAGAACATTGAAGCACAAGGCAACCGTTCATATGGAGCATTTCCCATGTGCGCAAATGAGCAGACATACGGGAGAACCGGGACGGGCGGCCACTTTCTGACGCTGGTGCATAAGCAGACGATGGTGGTACTTCGGAGTGTGTGTAACTTGTTCCGTATCTTGCTTGATTGATCCCTGACCCAGCGGCTGGCTACGTATGCACTGTATAAGTATTATTCGCACATGCATACGCGGCTGCTCAACTCCACCTTGACGGTTTGCCGCGAGCGCCCGAGCGCCCAAGCATGGGAAGTGGAAGGTCGACAGAAGACGCAGAAGGCCGCTATTCCCTATAAAGTCGTCACGCAACTCACACCGTGGCACTACCGGGGGGGATGGGGCCCGGCCTCGGCTGTTTGGTTTGGTTGGTGCCGTTGTGGCTGACGCTAGCTTGGCACTTTGGCAAGGATAACATTGAAATATAGTAGCTTCGGGCAGCCTTCCAGAACATCTGGCACTCGTTGAATCATGCCGTGGGGCGGGCGAGCCATGGTCAATGACTGTGAAAAGCCCCAACGGCAAGAGCGGAGTTTTTGCTCTTTCTCTGCAAGCGCACCAAACGCCGTGGCGGTGGCAGCGTCGTCGTCTCGTGTCAAAATTCCTTGCAGAACGCAGAAGCCAGAATCTACAACAAGCTGGTTTTTGTGGACAGAGTGCCGTCTGACAACTCGATCACATGGCTTGACGCCATCACCATCGCCATCAGCCGCCGGAACAAACACGGCATCTTATTCATCGGGAGCAAGTTTCCTGTCAGGGATTCGTTTTGACCCCCCTCAGTACACTCTACTATCAAAAATTATGCCTCGCCGTTTCTGCAAGGGTGCGAATACGGCTTCTCCATTCCTCGGCTACCGATATTTCGGCCTTCCATTGATGCTGATGGACCGGCACGAGTCGTGTACGGCCACGACCGTGATTGATTATGAACCCGCAGCCAAAGAGGGGTCAAGCCGGTCCTTGGGGCGGGTCGTTGTGAATTCTTCACGAAGGACGACGAGCAATCATGTTTCCGACCCAATGTGCAGGAACGTATCCTTCTTGTTCGCAGCCGCTTACTGGTACGCACTTGTCGCGAAGGCCGTTGTTTCAGTCCACAAGCAGTCGACGATATAAATTTAGATGTACGCAGTATGCATACTGCGTCATCGGGTACCTTGCTTCAATAATCATCTCTTGGCCTTGCCACACACGTCATATACCCGAGTACTGGTGGTTCTGCCAATAAACCACCGTGAGGACAATCAGGAAACGGCCCAGAACACTGTGACCTTCGCATCCTCAGATTTATGCAACCTCGACTTGTCGGGAGCTGCGTATCAATGCTCCTTGAGCCAAGCCCGGATGGCCGAGGAAATCGCTCATTCGGGCAAGTCGCATACTGCAGTGGAGGTGGAGTGCGGAAATGTCAGACGTATGCGTGCCATCGGATGAATTCCTCAGTGCGCTCAGTCCTTTTACTACCGAGCACCCGTCACCTGTCTTGGAACCTTGAGTCGACTGACCTGTGATGGGAGTGCGACCGTCAGTGTAGCATCGACTTTCCGAAACCCTCGACAACAGACAGCCTGACGCTTTACGTGCGAGGAGACTTTGCCGGACACGCAAAAAGCTGCATACCCGGCGCTGCAAAGAACTTGACGGTTTGTCACCGGCCAGGATGCTTTTAAACATTCACACGATCCAAAACGCTCTATTGAAGCCCCTTTCCCACGTACAATTCCCGAGTGCTGGAGCGCCGTGACCGAGAAGCGATATAGCGAAAGACGGGATCAAGTCATTTGCGGCTTGGAATCGTTGGGCGTGTTCGACACAGCTACAACGTTGTAAGCCAATGCATGTTGAATATTTCCGAGGGCAGCAAGCCTGAACCGGTCCTTATGATGCTGCATACCGATTATCGCACGAACATCAGGCGACGTGTTAATCAACGCCGCCATTGAACCCCAAATGGACCGACTTTAGCATACAAGGTCGGGATGGGCCTACATGAAAATGGCAAGCTAGACACGGGCAAGGACTGTTTCTCCCTCAACGTGTTCGAAAAGTGACCGCATGACCGCGCGCCAAGTCGCAGAGCGATGTAGCACACACAGGCGCTACTGACTTGGACCATGTTAAGAAGTTTCCTTGAATCAGCGGGATGTTTCAAGATGCATCCGCCTAATGCTGGTCGTATACCGTTGATTCAGGTTGTCCGCTGGAATTTGCTCAAGTTGCAGATGAAACATCCACCGTGAGTCTCGGGATCTCGTTCCCCGTCATGCATCCCCCGCATTACTTACTCCATCACGACTCGTCTTCATGAGGCACATGGAAACCGCACCACTGCGATGCATAGTTGAACCGTCGCGACTGAGCCGGCCAATTCATTTACATCTACTCCGTATAACAAACAGGACAATGCTACACAAACAAGACACAATTTCATCACTCGGCCATTGCTGAGCCTTACTCTTCTCTTTAACCCGACGTTGCAGACCGCCCTTTGCTGTTTCCTAGACATTAGGTGGCACCGCACCAACCTGTTGTTCCCATATCAATCTGTTCTTTTAGTGACAACGACCCGTAGAGCGGCGGACGTCCTCGAGGCGCTTCCAGTCAGTGCGGCGAGTCAGGCGCTTACCAGGATCGTGCTTCAAAGTTTCACGAAAATGCCGCACTAAATCCGGCACCTCAATACTTAACAGCATCAGTGGTCTCGTTCCGGCTGAAAACGTTGCTAAAGCTGCTCGCAATGACAATAGGGATCTGCTTGGCTAATGTGACAGTCGCGGCTGGCTTGGGGGAGCTGCCACAACCAAAATTGAAGCCACTCTCCGAAATATCGCCCGTCTTTGCAGTTGTTGAAACTCACAAACGTAGCTATCCATACATATCTCAGCCATCTCCCCTAGATACCATCAATGTTGATGTTCTCGTCATCGCAGAGATCGCCTCCTCCGCTACCTTGTCCGGGGAAGCCAGCACTCACGCTCTCCACAGCATTGTTAAGCTCGTCAAGGGCATCTAAAAAGCAAGTCTGATCAACCACAATGATCGCCACTGCCCTACCAATGATTACTTTTAATACGCCTTAAGGGTTCTGATACCGGCCCGGGAAACCATGGCGGCTCTGCCAATACATGAAGCTCGGGGGCTGATGCAGCCTACAGGGAAACGCTTGTTTCTAGCACTTAGTGCTCCCCGTCCCGTGGTCATGTTGCTCACGCAAAGACGGTAGGATTGGCATACTTGCCAAGGTCTGCTCGGAGTCAGCAAACTCGATACAGTGGCTGAGCGCCCGCAGTCAGCATGTATACAGCATGGCTTCACCTCAACGAATCAGATCCAAAATTCAAAAATTATACCTTTTGTCAGAAACGCCTACCGGCAGGACACCAGTAGTGGAGACTTGCTACGCTGCCGTTCTTGACTGTGACTAGCGACAGACTGCTCCCGCCCGGGCACGCAAATCCTTCCTGAAGGACTCGCCCATGGCCCGTTGCTTGTCCTTTCCCAGGAAAGAAGAAGCCATGCCTGTGGGCAAGCTCTTCAAGAAGACGGTATTTTGGAAATTCGATTCAGATTCGTTGCTAAGATTACGATTCAAGCTCAAGACAACCTGTCCATCATAGTGGGCCTCGAGGACTCCGATTCCATAAGCTTCTTGGCATCTGTCCAACCGTCTTCGTGTGTCATAACGCACGACGGAGTGGTGTGGCGTGACGCAATCTCCGTGCTTGACTTTCTTGCAAGGGGAGAGGCCGACGGCGTGGCGCTGGGCAATCTTCTCATTGATGGCCTGGGGCTTGACCATGGGCTTTTCGGAGGACATCGAAGACGCGTCACGATTCACAGGCGTTTTCGAGTTGCGAGGAGAAAGCGTCTTCGAAATGTTCCTTCAAAAGGGGGTGGTGTTGTAGGCGCGGAGCTGCGACAGTGATTTGGCGCGGCCAACTGTCGCATAGCATATATAAGAGGACCTACCATAAAAATATGTGGCGTTGGCCACGCCCATTTTTTAGTGTGACACCAACGACGGTGAGAAGGGACTCCATTACTACTACTACTACAAGTAAGAGCTCTCCGCCGAAATCGAGGCACGATTCGCACTGACATGCAATTAGAGTGTCTTTGGCCTACCTGAGGGGCAGTAACCACCAGAGGAACACGGAAGCTGTGGAGCCGGAGCCGCGAGTTGGCTTACGTAGCAACGAGGTGCCGAGGGAAAACGGACGTGATTGCGATTGGAAGCGTTGGAGCTGGCTAGAGGGATTGTTTTCCCATAACTGGCCGTTGCTTGCGAGTGGAACGTAGAATATGCTGCATTGAGTACGGGGCCCCGGGGGAAATGTTTCTATTTATGCTACGTATATGCGTGAGAATATAATCCAAAAATCCTTGTTGGAAGGCATTTGTATGCACAGCTCCAAATACTATACACTGTTGGTTGAGTCCCCGTTTCGTCAAGCAATATACATCAAGTTAATCCGCGCCTGTTGATATGCAGATGAGGTTGCTGTTTGACAATGTGTGCCACCTACCATGCCGTAATGTCTTCGACTTCTGCCTCTCCAAAGGTGCTGGACTTTGTCAGCTTACCCACGCCGGTTTCCTCTGGTGCTCCGCCCTCCTTGTTCATGATGTCAGGCAGCACCTCTTTGAGAAATTCCAAGATGTAGCCATTGACCTGCTCGAACTGGAGTAGGAAAGCATCGTGACCTTCGGGGCTCTCAATCCTTTCAAGTCGGGCGTTTTTGACGTGCTCAGCAATTTCTTCTTGCTCCGCGAATGTGAAGAGCCCATCGCTTTCGATGCCAAGCACCAAAGTGGGCTGCTCAATCATAGCCAGGGCACCGCCGATGGTCTCTGCCCGTCCTCGTGACACGTCGTGCGTATCTAGCTTGCGGGTCATTGCGATGTAGCAATTACTGTCAAAACGCTTGACGAATTTGGTGCCTTGGTACCGTAGGTACGACTGTGCCGAGAAATACTGAGACTGTGGAAGGTTCTCGCCTCCAGCCAAGCTCTCGCCATTGACGCTCTCTGTTTTCCGAGGCCCGCGAAACTGCGGGTCTGGGGCATTTGCCAGAGGAGGAGTGGGCGATCCACTGCCTTGACGAGAGGAACTTTTGCGCTTGATGTTATGTCCATCATTGTGGATATGGAAGTGTGCCTCCGAAGGCGTGCTAAGCCGCGGCCGTTCACGGATTGTTTGGACTTTGGACGGATCAGGAATGTTGCGGCCGAATCGAGATTCGAAAGAGTTGCGGCTTCGATACGTGAGCAAGGCAGCCATACGAGCGGCGCCGAGCCCGGTTGCTGGCGGGTCATCAAATGGATAGTATCCGTCGTCATATTTTGGGTCGGCGTAGATGCTTTGCCGTTGGGCTTCACCCCAACTGATGCCCCATGCACTGTGTCGGCTTGACGTGGCGATGGGGACAATGCACCGAATATAGTCTTTGCCAAAGTACGCCCATTCCAGAACGAACATGCCACCCAACGATCCCCCGATGACAGCAGCAACCTGATTCACCCCCAAATCATCTAGGAGAAGTTTGTGGAGGCTAAAGGCGAGTCAGCATTGCCGTGATGTTCGGATTTGTCGTCGAGCAACGTCGTCCCGACCTACAAGGCAGAAGGATGCAAGTGATTGACGCAGGTGGTGTTCACTTACTTAACGTCATCACGGATAGTGGTCAGCGGGAACTCCGGCCCATAGTTGCCCTTTGATACATCGCCATGCTTTGCCGTGACCGGACTGGCAGTGCCGTATGGACTGCCCAGACTGTTCATACAAACGATGAAGAATCTTGAAGTATCGAACGCTCGTCCTGGACCGCCAAGTAATGGACCCCACCAGTCACTCACGTCAGCACTGCCGGTGAGAGCGTGACATATAACCATGGCATTGTCACCAGCGTCGTTGAGCTTGCCTCGCGTCGTGTAGGCCACTGGAACATTTCGGAGTGCAATACCAGACTCCAATGTAAACTCCGGAACAATTGCTATTTCCTGATCGGGAATTAAGATAGCGAATGGGTTCTCGGGTTGTGACTGCGTCCTTCCTTCCAGTTATTCAGCAATTACTTTATAAAGCAAGAAGGACAGGGGGAGAGGGCAGCGCAGCGACACGTTACGGCGTCTGCCAACGACACGCAGAGAATGGATGTGATTATCAAAATGAACGGAGAAATCAAGAAATCACCAACCGTATTGTCTTCTTGAGTCCTTGTTGGCATCCTGTCCTTCCTCCATCGTGGCTTCAATCTGAATGCGACACCGTTTTGTCGGACCTCCGACAACGGCGGAATTCAAGACCGCGAGTGCATCCGCCGGGCCTGATTGCCGCATCCAACGACTTAGAGAACGATGTTTCGAAGAGTGGATTTTCCCTGAGAATGTCGTCGATTGATTAATGCAACAACATTCTAGGAGATAGGGAGCTGAGATAGCGAGCTGAGATTTGGGAGTAACAATAAATCGTCTAGGAAGACGTTGTTTCCGCCACCACTCAGTTGATGGTGCAACTGCTAACAGCTTCTCGGGAGAAAGAACTTAGTGACGGGTAGCTGAGACCCCAGTTAGGCCAATCAAGTCGCAGAGTTTGCGATCGCGACTTGCCGCCCTATGGTCGTAGTCACGGGGAACATCATGTGACCTCGCGACGTCGGCTCTGGGCGCGCTAGCTGTCAAATGGCCCACCTGGGTGCAAGGCTGTTACTTTTGTCTGAACCTCCCCTTCGTTCGGCATCGTGAATGCACTGTTGCTCGACGCCAACCCGTCCAGCTTTTGTTGACAAGCAGTCGGCTGAGAAACAGCGGCGTGCCGTCTAAGGGGTAATTACTTGCTTCTGCGTTTATTGCCGCTTCACCGCTGACAGATTCGTGCAAAGTCTCTTTCATTTTCCCGACGGACCTCTCGAGCCTTTCTTTGTTCCAGCGTTCGGCCCTCACTCCTTTACACGCTGTGCCATATTTAGTCACACCGTCTTGCTCGGGCCACGGGCCTGACGTTGTTAAGCGTTGGCTGCCCGCATCTGCCGGTGTTGACGTGGTTTTCACCGTTATTCTTGTCGTATTTTCTCTTCATATCTGTACCCAGCGCAAATGGGCTATCGAATGCTTTGCCGCCGACGAAGTAGCTAAAGAACAACAAATGCCTCCGAAGCGAAAGAGGCCCGACCGGCCAGCTGGCGATGGGGGCCGACCATCTCCTCACAGGCCCGGGGATGCGAACCTTGCCCAGCACGATGGCCATCATGATGGTGCCTCCAGAGGACGAGGAACTCGCGGAGGCCATTTCGCACACGGCCAACGCGGGGGTTTCAATCGTCGAGACTCATCTCAGGGATATGGACGAGCAGGCAGTCAACACCATGGTCAACAGCACAGCGTGCACAATCAACCTGGAAACCAAGGCCAAGCAGAACCTCCATCGCCCACCAAACAATCACCTGGTTCCGTCCAGTCACAGCCTCCAAGGCAGCCAATTTCTCCCGCTCTGACGAAGCCACCATCTGAGCAAGTACCACGGCCTGATTCTCCCGCGAGTCCAAATTATCAGTACGAGAGCCTCACAGACGACATAGTACAAGCTTGGGAAGAACGAGGCCGTCGCGATATAGTACAGCATGGCTTGCAAGCCCGGGAAGACGTTGATACCACTGAACTGTCAATGCTCTTTCAAGAGTTCATCCAAGCCGTCATTGAGAGCAGAATTGACGCTGCTGATGCTGGAGCATCTATCAAGGAGATCTTGGGGGAGGACAATGCAGATGCCGCCCAGGACGCCGATGCCTTTGCGCCTCACACTCTATTCCTCGATTCTTTTGCTACCATTATGGAGAACGACCCCGGGCTGTATCGACCGACACTTCGGGATTTCTTGATTGCCACAGGCGTTTCGCCTACTTTGATGCGTCTAGTCCTGGATGCTCCAATCTTACAACAAATGGGATTGGTTCGAGATAATTTTGGTAAACTACGTGTCCGTCAGGCCACGAATTTTCTGTATCGGCAAGCAAATTACAATCTTCTCCGCGAAGAGACTGAAGGCTATTCAAAGCTTATCACAGAGCTCTTCTCAACCAATAGCATGACACCACCGCCTCCCGAGCTAGCTGAGCAGACATTCGAAAGAATGAAGGGTCTCATAGGCACCTTCGACTTGGATGTTGGGCGTGTGCTTGATGTTACGCTCGACGTCGCTGCCGCTGTCCTGATCAAGCAATACAAGTTCTTTGTCAAGTTTCTGAGAGTGAGCTCGTGGTGGCCACGATCTCACTTCAAATACGATGATGCATATAACGGAGGCTTGCCACTATGGGCCAATCCAGGATACTCGCAATGGACAGTGACCGCTGAGGACGAAGCTCAAATCGCCAAACAAAAGTTGGCAAGGGACGTAACCTTCTGGGAACGTGCTAGAGAGATACACCTCGGTGCCTTCTTCGAACTGGGCGGTAGACGAGTCAGCGATCTGGATTTTCAACAAGTCAAAGCGGCCGACGGTAGAGGAATAGAAGAGACAGCCGATTTTGAACAACAATGGATTGAAGAAACAAATACCCGACCCCCTCCCGGAAACCGTGTTGCCGCACAGCTTCTTGGTTTCAAATTATCATTTTATAACTCGAAAGTACGCGACAAAACCGATGTCCTTCCCGCTAACTTACTCTACCTTACTGCCCTTCTGATCAAAGTTGGATTCCTATCTCTCACGGACCTCTATTTACATCTGTCCCCACCTGACGACGATATGGAGAAAGTTCGTGAGGAGGAAGCAGAGAAATTGGAAAAGGAGGAACGCGCGGCTCGCGGTGGAGGACAAATGAACGCACTACTGATGGCAGGGGTCCTGCCACAAGGGGATGATGACAACCCTAATGTATCGACTATACCGAAAAGGGAGGCACCAAAAAAGGTTGATACGGAGACGAAGCAGGCGGTAAAAGAAGAAAACGACGCGAAAAACAAGCTTCCCGAGCCACTGGAACAGAAGGTGTCACTCTTAACGCAGCTTCTGACAATCGGTGCTATACCCGAATCGTTGTTCATTCTCGGTCGATTCCCTTGGATTCCTGAGATCTTTCCCGAGGTGCTTCAAAGAATACATCGCATTCTTCATGTCAGCCTCGAAAAGGTTTATACTGACACTCGGCCCGTGGCAATGTCAACGATGGACTGCCCCAGCAAGCAGCTCCCGGATCTCGATCAAACAGGCATACCAAAGGGCAGTGTTAGACTCGTCACACAGGCGCCAAAGAAACAATGGCGGTGGCCATTCCCGGAGAAATTTGACGTCAACGAGAACCAAAACTATCGATTCTATTGGGACGAGTGGGCCGACAACATCCCGGTATGCCAGACAGTCGATGACGTCTTCACGCTTTGTAATACCTTCTTGAACATTTCTGGTGTCAACATAGGCAGGGACGAGGCTCTACTGGCCAAACTGGCCGGCATTGGCAGCAAGAGTCTTGCAGATGACAAGTCGGACTCGAATCTTAATCGTTGGTACGATCTTCTGCGACGATTAATGCTGCCGGCGTTGAGCCACACCAAGGCCAACGCGTCCGTTGTCAACGCCATTTGGGGTCTTCTCAAACATTATCCCTTGACAACACGATACTCGGCGTACGCTGAGTGGTTTGAGGGACAAACATCCAGACTACCTGCCATGAAATCCGCCTTTGCTCGGGCCACGTCCGAAACTAGAGGCACGATGAAACGTGTTTCTTTGACAAATCTCAGCGAAATGGCTAAGCAACTCGCCAAAACCAGCTACTCATCTCCGGGCATTGTCTTCCGCGTCGCTTTCGAACAACTGGAATCATATCCAAACTTGATTGAGGCATTTGTCGAGTGCGCCAAGTATTTCACGGATCTGTCGTATGATGTACTGATTTGGTCATTATTAAGTTCATTGGGCAAGTCACGAAGTCGAACTCAGGCTGAGCACGCGCTTACGACCAGTAAGTGGCTGCAGGCTTTGTCGCGATTTTCAGGCAAAGTCTTCCGCCGATATCCAGTCTTAAGTCCGACCCCCATCCTGCAATACGTCAATGACCAGCTTTTCCGTGGCAATGCTACCGACTTAATTATCCTCAAAGAATTCGTCTCGTCAATGGGCGGCATTGTCGATTCTGTGGACTTTACCGACTACCAGGTGCTGTCAATGGCAGGGGGCGCATGTTTGAGAAGACATACTCTGATTCGGGCCCAGGATCGACGATTTGACAACGTCAAGAGCTCGAAGCGCCTCATACAAGCTCTTGTAGACTCCAAGTTGGCAGCCAACCTTCTACTCAATCTAGCCCAGTATCGGCAGGCTGCAATTTTCCAAGTACCGGAAGACGAGGCACACATCAAATACCTATCTTCTGTCGTCGATGACTCTCACCAAACCTTGATCCAATATCTTGATCTTCTCTGGAGTAACCTCGACCCCGGTACATTTGATGCAATTGTTCCGTCTATTTCTGAACTAATAGCCACGTATGGTCTCGATACTAGTTTGGCTTTCCTCATCGGCAGAACAAGCCTTGGCCATCGCATCTTCCCCTGGAAAGAAGGAAAAGGCAAAAAGGTCGCAAAATCTGTCACTGACAAGGAATGCGATGTGGATATGGCAGAGGCCAACGCTCAGAGCGAGGAACCCAAGGAGTCGGAAACCCAAGGAATCGCGGGAAACGAAGAGCAGGTATGCATGATATTTCGTCATCTCAGCGGTATTTCATGGATGGCAGCTAACTGTGAGCAGAAGTCGGAAGACGTATCCCTCACTCGAACAACCGTAGACGCGTTGCACCCTATCATCGAGTCGGTTCGATCCCACATTCGACCTGAAGTTTGGCAGAAAATTTCTCCCGAACTGTACACCACTTTCTGGGCGTTGCAGTTGGGAGATGTCTGCTTCCCGGAAGAAACATATGTTCGTGAGCGCCAACGGATCATGAGTGACTGGCAGATGCTCTCAAGTGACAGATCGGATATGAGCCGAAAAGCTGTTGACCGGAGGAACGAGAAACGGAAAGATCTTATGGACCTGCAAGGCTATCTACTGGACGAACTCAGCGAGCATGGTCTCCGTAAAGCTAAGTGGAAGTATTACTTAACCAAGCAGTTTCAAACGTCTTTCCCGGACCTCACTGCAAAAGCGGACACTATCTCCGACGTCCTGCTAGAACAATGTCTACTTCCTCGTGTTCTCATGTCGCCAGCCGACGCTGAATACACATTTCGCTTCATCAAAGCTCTCCACGAGTGGAATGCTCCTGCGTTCAAACTCATGTCTCTTTACGATCGACTCTTCAACGCAAATCGGCTGAGGTCGCTCATATTCACATGTACCGTGCGAGAGGCCGAGTACTTCGGCCGTTTTTTGAAACTCATCTTGGAAGACCTATCGCGTTGGCACAAGAATGACCCAATTGTGGGAGATAGGGACAACAAGGGTGCAAAGGATATTCCGACGCTTGGAACATATGACAAAGAAGGCAAAGGCCTTACCGAACAGCCGCACTTTGGATTTTCTCTTACGGTGAACCACGACGGCAAACCGGAAACCTTCGTTGGGCATGCCCAATTTAGGGATCTGTTGTTTAGGTGGCACAAGAACTTGAACATGGCACTTAAAAATTGCCTTGGGGGCTCTGAATGGATGCACATTCGAAACGGTATTACGGTGCTCAAAACTGTCTTGGACTTCTTTCCGGCCATAGACTTCATGGCAACTCAATTTATCACTCAGCTGCAGAACATCACAAAGCGGGAGGCCACGGCGAAGATTTCGCCTGACTGCGAAGAGGGTGGGCGTGTTGACTTGTCAGTTGCGGCGCAAGGTGCAATGTCGGAGCTGCAACGACGAAAGTCGAAATGGGTCATGGTACAAGCGTTCCGCCAAAACGCTGTACGTTGGTTGTCATAACTCTATGTCTTGGAGTCAAACTAATTTGTGACTAGGATCCTGGATCTCGGCAAGAAAGTAATAAATCATCCGGCCCTGCTTTTCGACCAACCGCCCCTGATTTCAAACCGCACGGCGATAAGTATGTTCGGATTGTTGCTCAATGTTGCCAGGCCGAACGTTGACCACAGACTGTAGAACCTCTATCACAAAGAATGCTGCCGTTGAGAAGGAAGACGGGGAGGTACAGGACAGAGAGGGTACCCGAGAAAAAGGTGGAAGCACGCCCCAAGAGCCTGTGCCCCCCAAACTCGCCGGAAATGCTCGAGACTCGACTAAGCCAGGTGAGACACCTGGACAGTCAAGGTCTTCGACCCCAAAACCTGCGGTTGCGAAGACTGAGCCACGAGGCCACAAGCTGCCAGATCGACCCTCTCACAATCTTCCCAGTCGCCCAGATGTACCCATCCCCGGACACTTTACATCTGAGCGCTTCGGTCAGTCGCGGGGTCACGATCGCCGCGATGGTAGAGAATCTCGCGGCCATCGAGATGTACGAGATGTCCGAGAAGGCTGGGATAGGGACACAAGAGACGCCCGCGATGTTCAAGACTACAGGGAATCTCGACAGTCTGATTCAGAGCGCCTTGGACGGGGTCGTGACTTTGCAGAACGTCGTGCAGCCGACTTTCAAGAAGATCTTGGCCGTACCGAATTGCCCCCACGACCAATACAGTCAGAGCGCGAACGACCACATCGCGAGCATCGGGTTAATACTCAAGCGCACGATCGTCCCCCTGAAAGCGCTACATCAGAGCCCACCGTGCTCCCGGAAGCGCGCGAGCCTGTCATGAATCCTGAACGAGCAGCACTTTTTGCCCAAGATACACCAGAGCGGCCGTCTCGTGGACCAAACCCTGACCGCTCATCAAGAGGTCGCCGACCGGGCGGCAGTGCCACGACTGATGACATCAATCTTGAGCGTGCTGCTCTGATCGCCGACAGAGGCAACGACACTCATAACACTCCCGGCAGGCTTAACCGTGATGACGGCCACGAAAGCGCTGGAATGGGCCAGTCTCCACGACGTAGCACTCGGAATAGCAATGAGCAAAGCTCTGCGCTTGGGGGTTGGGAAGATCGTCAGGCTCGTAATGCTTCTCAAGATCAACGTTTTAGTGGTCGTGAAGCACGAGATCGCTCACCACCGCCAGGAGCTTTCAAAGGAAAATGGCCGATGGATTGGGAAGACGACAGACTACACCCAGATACGATGCGTGACAGCTCTGGATTTCACCGATCAGTAGGCCGTCCACAGGAGGCCGAAAGTCGCAAGTCATACCAAGACCAGAATTATGGACGACTCAATCCCGTCCCACATGCTTCCAATTCTGATATTCCGTCAGGTCCGCGAGGCAGAGGTAGAAACACAAGCCGAGGCGGACACGGACAGCCGACGTTGCCGGGTCGACCTGAAAACCGATTTGCTCCTCCAGAGACGCCACGCCCGCCATCCCCCGAAAGGTCTGGTCCACCAACTGGTCCACCAACTGGTCCGTCTTCAGGTCGATACCGTCGCGGTTATGAACCTGGCAGCGGACCGCAGACGCCGGCTGGTACTCCGGCAGAAGCCTCAGGGCGAGCTAGGAACTTCAATCAGAGCGGCGAGAAGCCTGTACTAGCAAATGTAAACGCAACACCGACGCCTGTTGTGCATCCAGAACGCCTCGCCCAGCTTGGTACTGGCCCACCTTCTGGACCTCAAGGAAATCAGCGCCACCACGGCCAAGTAATCAATACTCCTGATTGGCAACAACCTAGCCCGAGAGGCGCCTCTGGATTTGACGTTGAGACGCCAACTGGACCGGCTATGGCAGATCGTCCAGGACGGGGCGGAGGCAGGAGACAACTTGCAGGAATCAACAGTACTCTCCAACAGGCACAGGCAAAGGTACCAGAACCGCCTCGCACAAGCGGGCTCCGCATGAACCAGCCGCGGCAAATGCTAGGCAATTCTGACATTCAGGTTCTCGCTGGTGGCTCATCAACATCAACACTTGGCCAAGAGCGGCATGACACATTGTGGATGTCCTCCAACGGAGGTGACAACCAAGCGCGACGGGATTACGACAGGTCCAGGACTGATCGCGATGGACGGTCTGATAGATCTAACCGCACGTCACGCCGAAACAGTCGCGAACGTGATCGAGAAGGCGTGGATCCTATCGAAGGCAGGGAAAGACGATCCGGGGGCGGTCCAGATTCTGGCGACAACAGGGAGGAGCGCGAATCTCGTCGTCAACCAAGGAACTCGATGGGCCCACCTTCATCGGCCAGCGGACGTGACAGCCGGTACCGAAACGATGGTCAGCCTGGCGGAGGTAACTGGGGTGAAAACCGGAGCGGTCATAGGACCTCAAGCGGCACCAGCCGAGGAACATGGCCGCGAGACGGTGGAAATCAGCTTGTCAACAGGAGAGATTATCGAGACGACCATGGACGCAAGAGACGAAGCGAGGAGGGCGTAGGCAACTTGACGAGCGAGCGCGAAAAGCGGCCCCGGCGATAAGACGTGGGGTGTCACGGGGAATGCTCAAGTACTTCAACGGTGGACAATTGATGTGGTTTCCAAAGCTCATGTTTGGCGAACAAGCTCAGACGTGAATGAAACAGCGGAGAACTCTTTTGCACCATGTATTCAACGGTCAGCGCAGCGCTGTGCGCCAAAAAAGCAAAGACAAGGACGGAAGTGGCGGCAAAATCTTGAGCCGATGTGTCACGAGTTTGGGCGTTCATTTGGTCGACATGACATCGCATTACTATTTTGTTTATTTACGATTGCTACCATTACAAAACAACTGCATTCAGCTTCAACTGGCCTTTTTTTTTTATTTTTAGTCGGCTTATACTCAGTACTCTGCGAAAGGTGCCGCAGGAGATTTTACGCCGCAACAGGAGCTGATTGTCTCAGGCTGATTTTTGGCAGACTGAGCCATTACCCTGGCTATCGTCGATGGCTTGCCTTGACGGCAACGCATCACTGTATGATTCAATGTGAAGTCATTTTTGTGTTTGTAGTGTTTGCATAAAAAAATAATGAGTTGGTTACAGGGGGAGGATAAATAGAAGCCTGGATGTAAGAGTAGCACTGACGGAAATGTCGGGCATTTGTGTTGTTGGGATAGCATGGGCGCGGAGTTGGGAGATTGACAGTCTGGACGGGCGTATGTGCTTTTGATGAAGACGGGTCTTGGCAGTCATGGTCTGTTTGTTGCAACCAAGTACGGAGTATCTGGAGGATATATTTGATCATGTCCTCGGTGGTCCGTGGACGATGGCACGTGTACAGTGGGAATACCGCATATCTGGCCACTAGAAGTGGCCGTCTCCTCTGCGAACTGGAGCGTAGCTTTACCGAGCCACAATGTCTGCAGCTTGATGTCTCGGCGGCAGTGTTGAGCGTGGGCGCATGCGTTATGGAAAGCCCTTTGGCGAGCGCGAAGACAGCACGACGTCTCTGGTACAGGGTGTTGCTGGCGAGTGTGCTTTGCACGACGTCTCGTGTGCAATGAGACATGGTGGCGCTGGTTCGGCAAATCTAGTCTGGGACGTCAACCGCCCTCGTAGACGTACGTTGATGAAGCAAAAGCCACACTCGGCGGGCGGGCATCGCTGCTTATGTAGACGCGGGGGACGAGCCGAGAAACTGCCACCTGGTGAGGCCAACGGGGGCAAACGGCACTATACACCATCATGCAGTTGCGACTTGTGACCGTCTATCGATGCCAAAGAAGACGGGGCGGCAGATTCGATGGCTCGTCTCAAAGATTGGGGACAGCTACGGGGGATCTCTCCCTGGGCGAGGACCGTGGAGGTGTGGCCGTCACCGGCATTATTCGTCAGTTGTTCCCCTCGGTGAGGCTGAACAAAGGGCAACAAAGATGGTCCGCGCCTATTGGCCGGTCACGACCGCAAAGTGACATGCCCACGTAAGATTTGAAAGGCGCAGAAAGCCTCCTCCGCCGTCATTTGGCGCGTTCGGTCCCGAGCCGCACCCAGAGACTTGTTGCCAACAGGTTTCTCGGGCTCTGGCGGAGTCCACCCCTGAAAATTGTCCGCACGAAATACTAGCAGCTTGCGGAGTACTCTGCTCCTTCTCCAGCTTTCGGATCCGTGCTCGGCGAACCTGACGCCAAGACGGGGCAAGACGAGCCTGAGCCGGACGGCAATTTAAATGCCCTGGTAACTACTTTTTCCGTACGACATGAGGATAGGATGGGATCTGCACCACCCCGCGCACTGCCACGTATGACTTGAGAACGATCACGTTGAAATGTCCAACAAACAGCATTGTTTGCATCGTGGGTGGTAGCACAAACTTGGGACAGAAAGTGTCGCGGCAGAGGCTTATTTTACTGAATCTGCGGTGCGATGGCTCGGGGAGGCAGTCGAGGGGCCCTGTGCTTCGACCCCGTTGAAACCTGCCAATGTCATGCGAAAGAGGCTTGATGAAACGCGCTAAAATGGCCACGGATTTAGTTGGAGACGAGCGAGTGATAGACTACCGGCTACCCTCTCGTAATGAATGAATTTGTGATGGCGGGCTGGGAGTTGCGAGGGGAGGGGCCTGGTGGAAGAGGCTGTGCTGGCGAGGTGAGACCGGCAGATCCATTCCCTTGGTAGCACATGCCGCCTTCTGTTTTCACTCCGCATCGAACTGAACCGCCGGGACAAGGGTCGCACGCCGGGCCCAGCAAGTGCGAGTTGGGTTGGTTGTAGGGGCCCCGGGGGGCGGAGAGCGAGGCAGATTTGTTCTGCCAGCAACGGCGAGAATGATGAAATTGCTAAGTTGGTTGCGTGAGATGACTAGAACGGAGGTGTAGGGCAAGAGGCCGCGCCGCGGGCTTGGCAGGTACGACCGGACGACAAAAGCCGCAGACAAGAAGGGAATAAGGGAATGGGAGCAGGAGCGAGTGACGTCTCGCCCCGGCACCTGCCTTCCCCGCCAGCATTCCGTCGCCCTTCCGAGGGACCCAACCCAACCCCTGGTTATTGCGACGGCCTTCATCTTCTTGCATGCCCCATGCACTTTGTTCATGAATTGTTGCATCTACGAGTGCTCATCCACGGTTTCAGTCGCTTTGTCTGCGTATCTTTTTAAGGCCTCTTTTAGCCCTCTTCCCCTCGTTTTTCACCTGTGCTCGTCCCGACCGAGACGACTCTGCGCCGCTCCGACAGGCGTTCGAAGCAAGCAAGCGCAGCCCCTCGGAGAGCTCAAACGGCGAACCTTTCAACAGAGCCGGCTGCGACCAACCAACATAATCAAATAAATACGCGAGCAGAGATATTCGCGTGTGCGAGCCTATTGCGTAGCTGCAACTTCCAAGATCCTGCCGCCGTCAGCAACGTCGGTTGTTTCTTTGCGACTCGAGCGCCCCCAATCTCTTGGGCGCATGATTTTCTCGGCCGGCCTTCAATGTCGGGAACGTACGTCCGAAGCTCAGCGTTTAGATCCGAGACTTGACTCGACTTTTCAACACCATTGCCCATCTCGACAGCTGGCCGAGATTGGATACGCGTTGCCCCTGGAGGGCCGAGGCCAAGACCACGACCGCACCCGAGACGACGCCACAGCCGTGAGCCGCACCCACGACCATGAATCTAACATGCAACACTACATTGGAGGATATGAAAAGTAAGTCGTCCCTGCCGGCCCTCCGATGCATGTACCGTGCGCTTTGGACCAGACGGACGACTCTGCCTGATGCCTTTACTTCGTCGAGGCCACGACTGCACTGTTCGCGCTCCTAAACGCTGACGCCGTTGGACGCAGTATCTCCCGGCTCGGAGCGCATTCTCGTCGGGCACCTCAACTTCCACGACCTTGCGCGAATCATTGCGGCGTCATGCACGCTCATTGCCACGGCCTTCAGCTTGTACCTTGTTTGGATGCATGCTCTGCATTATACCCAGCCTCGTGAGCAGCGATAGTGAGTCATTGAACCGACAATTTCTGCCGTCCTGCTCTAACCACGAGCCACTGTTAGCATCATCCGTATTCTTTTCATGGTTCCCGTGTACGCCATCTCCTCATATCTGCAACTCGAGTGGTACTGGCATGCCATCTACTTTCAAGTCATCTCGGACTGCTACGAAGCCTTTGCTATTGCGTCCTTCTTCGCCCTGCTATGTCACTACGTGGCACCGGACCTGCACAGCCAGAAGGTCTTCTTTCGCGAATTACACCCGATAAAGCAATGGGTCATGCCAGTCAATTGGTTTGCCAAATGCTGTGGCGGCCAGCGAGGTATTTGGAGGTTACCAAAAAGCGGTTTGACGTGGTTCAACATCATTTGGATCGGTGTGTATCACTACTGTTTTATTCGTGTCGCCATGACTATTTCTGCAGTCGTATCCCAGTACTTCAAGCGTTATTGCGAAAGTTCCAACAGCCCGGTGTTTGGCCACATTTGGGTACGTCGCATGCCTTGACTGTGTCGTTGCTGTGGAGAGCTGGTGCGCTGACTCTTTACAGATTATCGTGTTCAACGCAATCGCAGTCACAATCGCCATGTACTGCCTGATTCAGTTTTACGTCCAGCTTAAAGAGCCGTTGGCCGAGCACAAGCTATTCGTCAAGATTGTCGCCATTAAACTAGTCGTCTTCTTGTCTTTCTGGCAGGCATCAGCCATCTCGGTCGGCACATCGACCCTTAGGATTGTCCACCCCAACGAGGTCATCGCCTATCCTGATCTCAAAGTCGGCATCCCAGCCCTGCTCCTTTGCGTCGAAATGGCCCTGTTTGCGATACTCCATCTGTGGGCTTTCCCGTACGCGCCATACACCGTCGGCGCACCCCGAACGTATTATCCGAGCCCCGACGCGGACAAGGGCTCTCCGTCTGCCGAAAACGAACGCCAGCCGCCCTCCGGCGGTTTCATGGGTCTCATGGCAGTGTACGACGCAATGAATCTATGGGACTTCATCAAGGCCTTTGGCCGAGGCATGAGGTGGCTCTTCTGCGGAGTCAAGCGCCGCAAGGAGGACATTAGTTACCGCCGGAATCATGGCGACGGCCTCAACATGGACGACCTTGCCGAGAACAAAGAGGGCGGCGGCTCCCGTGACCACGTGCGACCAGCGGTCGCCCCTCCCGCTCAGTACGACGAGGACGGCTCTGCACCGCAGGGCTATGGGCACTCTCAACGAGCGGACGCCTACCGCTCTGCTCGGGTTGAAGAGAGGGCCGGCTTGATGGACAACGCCCAGCCCAACCCGGAAATTCGCGGCTACTCCACGGCGCCTCCGCAACAACTGCAGAGAGACAGGTCGCCGTACAGACCGTACCAAGCGAAGCCGCCCCGCGAGCTGCAGCATTACCACGCTCCCGAGCAGACGGGCGTAACGCAAGGGCGCTACAGTCCGTACGACGGCCCCGACGGCAGGAAAGCGACGCCAACAGGCACGCAGGCGGCTGTAGGGCAAGCGTTATGGGGCCCCAAGCAGCCAGCATGAGCCAGCCCTCGGCCATGCACGAGGCGAGTGGAGAGGCCGCGTTGGAATATAAAGTGTGCAGTTATTTCGTTGGACAACAGGGAAGGGATTGGACTAGGTTTACATTTTGAGCCAGGGACAGGATGGACGCACAAGACTTTTGAGGATTTGAAAGCACAGTCGGAAAACATGGCCGGTCACGATACCACGGGGCGCAACGGACACAGTCGCTAGGAGTATTCCGCTATTGAATAGATTCTTGGAATCCAGAAATCCGCCCACGTGCAGTCCCGCGTGTGCGCGTAGCGTAGTCCACGGCCAAGTCAGGCACGGATATCAAGTCTGGCCAGAGGCCAAAGTCCGGCATGGCGTCGAAGCGTCGGCGGCCCGCGGCTCGGACGAAGGCCTCGGCGCGCCTCGGGGCAGTCGTCTAGGGCGTCGAGGTCGCGCCGGCCGTGGTCGGCGACCATGTTGAGCCGTCTGCTTTCTGCTCCCGCACGGCGACCCGGCCGCGTTTCGGGGCTCGTGTCTTGTTAGCATCTTGGACGCTCGACGTCTGACGTTGGCTCGACTCTCGGGTGAGCGCAGCGCCGGACCCCGAAGCGGGCCAGTTGCCCCGTTCGGCCGTGGCCACGAGGCGCCACCGACGGCTTCGCCGGCACCAGAGAGCCGTTGTGGCTGCCGGCGCCGGGTGCCGACGACCAACCAAGGTCCGCACCGTCCCCTCCAGGGCGCGACTCAGGTCTGTCCACGGCCTCGTGCTGGCCTCGAGTCGTCGACGCCCCAAGTGTCCACCGCTGACGGGAGGCTTGGATTCGGCGGCCTGCCCCTGCGCCGTGGTGGCCGCCGCTTACTCGTGTCCGAGGTGCCCGAGCCCCGTGGCGCCCCCCCCCCCCCCCCCCCCCCCCCGTGTCCGACGTGGATGGAGACCACGGGTGCGCCTCGGAGCGAGAACAGCACATGTGTGGCTCCTCCTGGGCAGCTCTGTAGCCGGGCCGCATTCCAGAAAGACGCAGCCTCGTGCTGGGCCGCCAGCTTCCCCGGGCGCCCCGAGCCCTCCACGACAAAAGGACGACAGACAGCAGGCGACACGGACACAGTGCGAGGCGTCGCCAGCCTCTTGACGTGGCCGCTGACCGTGCGGCAGGCCGGCGCCGCTCACCGCGTCCATGACGTCGAGACGGACGAGCCGGGCTGGGAAGCAAGCGCCCACGCATGTCGATCCGTTACACCCGCGCAAGTGGCAAACAACAACCTTGCCGATGCAGCGGCGCAGGGTGCCAGGCAGGGAGGGAAGCCCTGCCCACCGACGCAACGGACGTTGCGCGCCGTAAGCAGCAGCCCGGTGGCGGTTCGAAATTCGAAAGCACTTCGAAATCCGGACGGATGGCTGACTTGCGAGTCCCCGGGGCTGAATGCAAGACACTCTACCGGTTTGTCCTACTCCGTACGACGTCACTCCAGGAGAAAAAGGAAGGAGAGGGCCAAAAGGCGAACCGAGGAAGGGGAAGACCCAAAGATTTGTCAACCCAACCTCGTTGCTTTTTCCTCCTCCAGAGAGCACAGCACAGCACAGCACAGCACACACCGCCGCCAGCCTCCAACCACAAACAGGCCCAAAAAAGACACCCCGCGCTCGGCCTCTTGTCCTCCAGCGTCGGCGGCTGTACTTCCTTGCCCCTCGGCATGGGCAGTCTGGGCATACCAGGGGCCGAGGTCCAGACATGCAGCCGTTCCGCATACGACACGACACCACATGTCCAGACCCCGAGCCACGGCGCCAGCGGGGGACGGCTCGCCTGCATGGCTCAACGAGGGCCGCACGAGCCCGAACCCAGAGCCTCGTACGCATCCCGCGCCCAGCCAGGCTTGGCAGACGGGCAAAGGGCACCACTCGGCCCCCAGAGCCCGTCCTCCCGCCCAAGCAAACATGTCCGCCGGCCAGATGGGACCCAGAGAGGGGTGTGCGAGGGGCGTATGGCGAGACAGGGACCCCAGACACGGCACGCGGCAATGGGAGGACGGCCCGACGCCGTACCCCGTCTCGGCAGCCCTGCCACGGGCCCGGCAGGCTACGCCATGGTACGACTACAGACTCGGCATACACAGCCCCCGAGCCATCGCTGGTCCCAAGTGATGCCCGTTGGACCTCGTTGGACCCGTTTGGGGGGCGGGGAGAGACCCGTTGCAGCGACATTTTTGCTGCAAGCCACGTGCGGTGGCGCCGTAGGGCAACACACGCTTCATGCATGCTTTGGGCCGCAGGCAAGATCCCCTCCAGGTCTCACGCCCTCGCTGATGCAGCCAGCCGCTGCCCGAGGCTGGACAAGTTTCTTTTCCCGGCACCGACTCCATGGGTGCGTGTGGTGTGGGGACCAAGCCCAAGCATTGAATACACATCATGCACAAAACGGGCTGCCGGTGTGCCAGGTCCACAGGCTCGGCACCCGGCCCGGACGGCGCCGCCAGTCGCCGAAGAGTGGGGCCGCTTCTGTCCGCCAGATCCCAGATCCCAGATCCAGATTAAGATTAGATCCAGATCTGCTGCCGAGATGTGAGATGATATGAGATCCAGCCCCCCCCCCCCCGGCC